AAAGTTGGAAGTTGTGCTATTTTGAGAACATTGTTGTTAGTCACTCAAACAAATACAATGTACATCATGTACAATAGCAATGTATGTAACTTACAAGAAGTGATGCCCAGTTTGCTCATATACTCATTCCAATCTTTGTCAGGTATAGTTGCTGATCCTTGACCCTTAAAGAGATCGATTAATGTGTCCGGTGATGGCTTTGGCATCATGTTTGCGCAAGCCATCGTAGCGAGTCTATAGGCTAGCTCAAGCATATCATTGTAGTACACTTCATCGCTTAGGAGCCTGGCCATTGTTGCTTGCAATGGCTCGTCATGCAACACATCCAACTCGCCTGTCAGTGGATCGCAAACAGGACACGCTTCTCTATCTAATCCTTGACTGTTACAAACGTGCTTCTTCTCACGTAAGTGTCGATTTAACTCCTTTGACGTCGTGAACTCTGCTTCACACCACGTGTGCAGACACTGATACTCCTTCGCCTGCCTATTGAAGTGCCCACAGGATAGACTGCAAGCAACAGCGTCGCATTTGGGATGACTCTTGTTCTCGTGATTAGACAACGCACTGGCTGACGAGTATTTGAGTGGCGCTCCAATCCAGCCACCACAATGATGGTGGCGGCAAACGAACGCCATATATATATATTGCTCTCTCTCTCTCTCTCTCTCTCTCTTTTTATCTCTATCTCTATCTATGAAGTTCAACAAAATTAATTGATCAAATGCACACCGGTGGGCTTTTGATGAATTAAATTGGTCTTGGCGTAACGTTTCATGCCATGCCAAGTCAAGAGAGAAACATGCAAAATACAAAGGGTGGTCATTCAGTTCATCATCAAATTTGTTGGGGAATGAATGAAGATTCCGGTCATCTTGAGGTCGAGACACAAAGTGAATTTCAAATTATTGCACCCTCAAGTCATTCAATGAAGTTTGAACGCATGAAAGAGCAAAGGAGAAAGAGATAAATAAATACATATAAATACAATGGCAGATGCAGATGATGATATAGCTGTTGAACAACAGCAACAGTCGTCACCACCACAACAACAGATGAACACTTCAAGTGGCAGTGTGCCGCAGACACCTACCTCACCAACATTGCAACCATCTTCAACAACAACAACAACAACATCATCTACACCAACAAGCGAGAAGAAAGACTCAGGTATGTATAGTAAACAGGTCTATCAGTCAGTCAGTCGATTATTACATTATACTTACGCACTGTGAACAGTGATTATATACTTTAAGAACGCTGGTAGTGCACCAGCATTGAAACAGAAGAAGTTCAAGCTGCAGGCTACACTATCATTCCAACATGTGATCGACAATCTACGTAAACAACTGAAACTCAAGTCATCTGAACCTTTAGTATGTATATAATATGTATCAAGTATCCCAATCAATAGTCACTAACTTGCTATCATTCTCAATCAATAACAATCAATCAATCATTCAGTTCTTATTCGTGAATCAAATATTCCAACCATCACCAGATGAGTGTCTTGGAGACCTGTTTAAGGTAAATTAGCAACATCATACGCATGCATAGTCAGGCGTGACCTGAGACTAATCAACCTTACAAACAACCATACAGTGCTTCAGTGTCAATGATCAACTGGTTATAAACTATTCAAGTGCACCAGCCTGGGGATAATCAATCAATCAATCGATCAACCAATCGATCAATCCTCTCTCCAGGAGATATATATATACATATTATATAACAAACCAAACCATGCATGGCCACTCAAATCACACAACGATTACTCAATCAATCGCCAAAGGTGTCCTCCAAGGCACATCAATGATCCAACAAACCCAACAACAATGCGACCCTCCAGGTTTAACCGATCGTGTATTAAATATCAATATCCATTTTGTCTGTATCCCTTGTCCCTCTATCATTCATTCATTCATGTTCAATCAATCAATCAATCTTGGTCAATGTCGTTTGACTTTGAATAACGTTACTCCAAAGTCTGACACACACTGAATAGATCGTCGTTGTTTCTGTGAGGATTATATTAATTTTAATAAAATGAATTTTGAGGATGAGGGGGATCACGATTCTCTCTCGTTCCGTCACAGACCACCAACACACAAAGTCTTGCCAGTTGCTTTTAAACTCTTCAGGTTCACATACTATCTTCACTACAATAGTACTTTTTACTTCTTCATAATGTCTGTTGTAAGTATTGACTACTGCATGCTGATGATGCGCGATTCAATGAAGCAACGCCAATGTCTACTACTACTTCGATAGGTAGTAAGACATGTGGCGAACACAAAATGACAGGTCATGATAAACTAACATTCATTCATTCAATGATTCATTTAGTCCATCATCACCTACCCAAGCAACCCACGTGCTTGCAAGTCATTGATTGCCGCCAAGTACACTGGCGTCAACATTGAGATCCCCAACGTCGATCTCTCTCAGCTTGCCACCAACAAGCCAGTCGAGCTGATGAACGCCAACCCATTCGGAAAGGTCCCAGCCGCCATGACCCCACAGGGCCCACTGTTCGAGTCCAACTCCATCGCCAGATACGTTGCTCGTCAGGGTGGTAACAAGATCTACGGAAACGACGCCTACGAGGCCTCCGTCATCGACCAATGGTTGGACTTCTCCTCCAACGAGATTGAGTCTGCCGCCGTTGCATGGCTCTACCCAATCCTCGGCTACGGTCAGTTCAACGCCAAGGAGACCCAGAAGGCCAAGGACAACATCAAGAAGACCTTGACCACCCTCAACACCCACCTCCAGTCCCGCTCTTTCCTCTGCGGTGCCCGCGTCACCCTTGCTGACATCGTCGTCACCTGCTCGTTGCTCGGATTCTACAAGATGGTGTTCGACCCATCCTACAGATCCACTTTCCCCAACGTCAACCGTTGGTTCACCACCTGTGTCAACCAGCCAAACTTCAAGGCCGTCCTCGGAGAGGTCGCCCTCGCTGCCACCATGATGGAGCCAAAGAAGGAGGAGAAGGCTGCCCCAGCCCCAAAGCCCGCTGCCCCAAAGAAGGAGGAGAAGCCAGCTGCCCCAAAGGAGGAGAACCTCGATGACGAGGAGGAGGAGAAGCCAAGAAAGGTCAACCCACTCAGCTTGCTCCCACCATCCAAGTTCAACTTGGAGGAGTGGAAGAGAATGTACTCCAACAACGAGACCCGTCCAGTCGCCCTTCCATGGTTCTGGGAGAACTACGATGCTGAGGGATTCAGCGTCTACCTGTGCACCTACAAGTACGCCAGCGAGCTCGGCCAGGTCTTCATGACCAGCAACTTGATCGGAGGTTTCTTCCAGCGTCTCGAGACCCTCCACAAGTACGCCTTTGCCTCCATGATCATCTCTGGTGACCAGGAGAAGACCCCAGTTGCCAACCAGGAGGTCACCGGTATCTGGATCTTCAGAGGAAAGGGACTCCCAGCCGACATGGTCGACTGTGATGACCATCTCGTCTACGACTGGAAGGAGTTGGATGTCTCTGTCCCAGAGAACCACACCCTCATCGACGACTACTTCGCCTGGGATGGTGCTCTCGGTGGTCGCAAGTTCATCTCTGGAAAGCTCTACAAGTAAACATCTTTGTAGTTGTACTCGTCGTCTAGCCTAACTAGTTCAACAAGTTACCAAACCTTCCAAAGCTTTATAAATAGAGTAATAAACTAGTTTATTACTTATAACCTGTATTACAATGAGTTGTATATGATGTTATGTGGATGGCTTAGACATTTAGACCAAGTCTTCAATGACAGTAGAGCCACGATCAATCATCTTGATCGTTTGTTTGTTTGTTTTATTAGGGATGGTTGATGGATGGTATGGGAAGGGAAGGATGGAGGGCTGAATGGCTGGAAGATGGAACGGTGAGGAAGACAGACGGATGTCTGATTATAATGGTTGGGTTGAGAATGCAATCATTCTATCATTCTCATGTAAAATGGTTGTTGGATGTGGACAGGTGTAGACATAGGGCATAGGTGCGCCCATCGGTTCCTTCGACCTAAACAGTCCAACAATAAGTATGTTCTGTTGCAAAAGATAGTTCTTGACAAGCTCACCAAAGTTTCTCTCCTACATTTTTTGATTGATTGACGAGGCAACAAGTTAGCAAAGTCTGATGGGATGGTGAGGTCAGACAAACAACTTACATGATATGACTGTGGAATGGGCAGAAGCTGTGAGTAACACTTGGACTCCTCGTTGGTCATTAGGTTGTTGAGTCCAAGGACGTGATGGTTCTGGTAGAGTCCATTGACACCAAACGCCAACTCTTTGGCAACGGTGGTGATGTCTTCGTTGTAGTGTGCCTGCACCATTAGACTGTCGAGCACGGCGTATGTGTTGACGCAGCCGTTTGCAAAGTTTGGCGTTTGGAAGTAGTCGGGCTTGATGTCACGGTTCTTGTTGGCCTGGAGGTAGGTCTGCAGCTTGCTGGCGCCACCACGCACCATGTCCTTCTCGAGGAAGCGGATGTTGGGCTCGTGTAGCAGCTCGGTGATGATCTTGGCCGAGCTGTTGACCTTGGCAATGTCAACGTACGACATCAGTGTGAACGAGTCGATCTGAGTCTGGTCACACTTCTCGTACGGGTTGGAGGTGATGATGATGGTTTCGGCATTCTTGGCGCCGCACTTGTTCAGGTCCGACTGGTTGGACGCCGTTCCCTTGATATAGGCGATCAGTGGCAGCTGCTTGGTCGTGTCGAACCACGACTCGCCGCCCTCTGGCTCCTCTTTGTACAGCACGACAATGGGCTGGATGCGGCCCTTGGTTGTCTTGGACGTGAGAGACGTCACGTAGGGCAATCGAATGTGATGAATGAGCAGCTCCAATCCCTTCAGCGACTTGGTAACGATGAGCAAGTGCTTCTTCATCTGTTTGGCGCCGTCCTGATTGTACTTTCCATGCAATGTGAATGTCAACAATGAATGTTTGTCGATGATAAACTTAATCCTCTCGTGTATCTTCTCCTGTTTGTTTGTTCGTGGTTGGGTAGGGCATGGGGTCAGTAGCCAGCATACGCGTGTGGCAAGGATGTAACTTACAATGTGAGGATCGTTGGTCTTTTGTGAAGAGAGGTCACTTAGGAAGGCAATCCAGTCACCTCCATACTCTGCAATGCACAGGTTCTTGATGAGGTCTTTGGGCGTCAACTCATCCTCCACCTCCTCTCTGAGCTCAAAGATGCCTTGCTTGTCCAACTCTGCAATGCGCTTCTGGAGAATAATGGCAGGCTTGGGCTTCTTGGATCGCGACGTGTCTCGGATGAACGATCGCAGTGACTCGTTGATGATCTGGTCCTGTTCCTGATGGTCGTCCTCGTCGACAAGCAGCTCGAGGTCGGGCGCCGCTAGACGATTCAAGAATCGGCCAACTCGTCTGGTGAATGTGTTCTCGTTGATCTCGCTTCGCATCTCTTTGGCCTCTGTCGTCGTCTTTAGTACATTATGAGAGATGAGCACCATTGTCATTGATTGGGACATGATCGTGGTGCCAGGTGGGTTCAAGTAGAACCTTCCCTTTATCTCGCTCGAGTCCTTTGGTATGAACAGTCCAATGAGCATACAAGCACTTCCAAAGTACAATGACAGTATCACATCAGTCAGAGCAAGTCCAACAAGGAAGTCTGGTACCTTGATAGTGAATATAGAGTTGTTACATCCATAGTCTAATCATTGGGAATGAGTGTAAGTGATTGATTGATTGATCGATTGATTGATTGAGTGATGGACTTACAATATTCAGTTAGCCACTTGACTTGGACAATGCTGGGGATGATACGTGAGGTGAAGAGATTGGCAAAGAATACGTTGTAGCCTGGACAAATGATGGATTGTGCCAGCATTGCTCCTCTGAACTCCTCCATGCACATTGTTCCACGGAGGAATGTTGCCTTGTTCTGTGGAAGTGGAGTGACGATTGATTGATTGAATGTTAGTGGATGGAATAGTTCCATGTGCTCCTGGAAATGCATACCTTGTTCTTGGACGAGATTAGGTTGGAGTAGATGTTGAGATTCTTGTTCAAACTCCTGACGGCGTAGGAGCAGAGTATGTTGTCTGTGTCACCTTGTATTTGCCAGGAGGGTGGTGTGGCAATGAAGCATGAGTCGGCCTTGGTCAGCTTGGTCCTGTCCAGATCCTGCTCAAACAATGGTGAGCCCTGCAAATAGATCAGACGCTTCTTATAGAATGGATTCAGAAGCAGTGACTTGAGCTTGTCATCTGGTGGGTTGGGGCAGAGTAGCACAATCTCCTTCTTTAGTCTACCATGTCGTTCATGATAGAACTCGGCCAAGAAGTCGACAAAGTGAGTGAATGAGAAGTCGCCACAATAGAACACGTGTCCAGATACTCCAGTCGATGACAGGTTCCTCATGAATGCTGTTGTTGTAGTTGTTGTTGTGGAGTGTTAGTCAGGTGATCGGCGACATGATGATGAGGATGAGGACACGTACGAGAGTCTTGTTGTAACTTCTCCATGAGTTTGGACACGTGATAGGGTATCAGAACACCGGCGCCAATCGACAAGGCGAGGGTGATTGTAACTTGTCCCAATGCAGTGGTTGGGTAAATGTCTCCATAACCAACTGTTGCCAATGTGACTACAAGGAAGTATACTGTCTGATGGAACTGAAGTGGTTTGTTACTGCCTGGATTGGCTATAATATATTGGTTAGTCATTGCTACATGGTCCACGCGATACCATTGAAGACTGGACAAAGACTACATACTCTCAATGTTCATGTAGAATCCAGCCAGGACAATGATAAATGTAAAGACTACAATGAATGCTTTGAATGTGTACTTGGCAACCTCTGTCGTTTGGATGAATGAGTTAGTGATTGATTGAATGAATGATTGATTGAATGCACAAGGACATACCATTCTTGAAGTAGTGAAGCACTCTGGATAGACGTAGAATGCGTAGTACACGAAGTACTCTTAGGAATTGGAAGGATCGCAATATGTTATGTACGTTGCCCTGAACAATATCAATCAGTAGCGGGAATATAGTGATCAAGTCGACGATCGAGAAGAATGAGAATAAGTATCGCAGTCTGTCACATGTGTCATTGATTGATTGATTGAACGAGTGTTAGTATGTGGACGATGACGACTCCCATGGCTCGCCAACAACAACATACTTGTCCTTTGAGAGGAAGAAGTCGAGTGCCCAATGCATGCAGAAGAAGACCATTAGTGAGATCTCAAGTGTGATGTACCAAGTTGGTGGCACCTTGTCCTCGATGTACGTGCCATAGATGAATAGTACGACGGAGAAGACTGATAGGAACACCTGAGTGAACTCAATCAACTCGCCAAGATGTGTATAGGCCAGATAGATCTCAGCCTTTACACGCAATGACACCTTTAGTTTCTTTCTCTGATGACTTCTTCTAAATATACGTCCAACTACTATTATCGTCGATGTTATCAATAGAAATGTGAGCAATACAATGCCCAACTTGAGCACATTGCCCCATATCTTTGATGGGCCAAGTGGATCTGACATCCTCTATCCTCTATCTAAGTATTAATCTCTCTGGTTCAATATATATATTGTATTGTGTATCCGACCAACCAACCTCTGCTGCTGTGATTCGATGTGTTGTTGTTAACTACTACTACTTGCTCGCGCTCTTAAGCTCGCTCAATCAATCAACTGAATAAATATTATTAATGTAGAGTAATACTACAAGTGTTATATGTATATGTGTATATGTGTAGATGTAGATAGTTTGAATAAGTATAGACTATAAGCCGACAGTGACGGGCTTTGATTCGTGCAGAGCAAGCAATGCTTCAGCTGCAGCCCAGTGTTGTTGCTGCAGTTATCGAGAGAGTGGATGGGGTGTGTGTAGTTTGGGGGGTGCTGACCCTTTCGTTCACAGTTGCGCAGCTGGTCGATCTCTCTTTGGAACACCTGAGGTGCTTGATTTTTTCGTGTTTGTTTGGGTTCACCTGAGCTTGGTGCTGAGTTGGGGAGATTGGATTCCAAGTCTATCCATTCATACATACATATAAAGATAGATGATATACATTTATTATTACTTTGGAAGAGTTGTATTCATTCGTCGTCAGTATCAGTACGATGTTGTTGATCAATCACTCTCTTCTTCATCTTCATCCTCAGCAACATCATCTCTTCGCTCCTTCTTGAATGCTTGGTAAAGGTTTCCATCATCATCTCTGTCATTGCCTTCACTTAATGCCTGTTGTTGGTGTGGAGAAGAGTTAGTTAGTTAGTTATAACTTGTGTTGATCAATCAATCAAACTAATGAACATACTCTCTTGGCTTTGGTGTTCTTTTGAGAAACGGCTACTGAGGGTGCGGCAGCGGCGGGTGCAGGTGCGTCGCCTGAAGGTACTTGTTGAGCATGTGTTTGAGGTACTTGTGCTTGAGCTAGGTCGTCTTCAGGCTTTGAATCTGTCTCTTTCTCCATCGATATGTCATTGTCATTATCAGGCTTGGCTGGTGTAGCTGCTATTGCCACAGCCACTGCCGCTGTTGATGTCGATGAAGTGGTGGTAGTAGTGGAATCATCATCCACTTGCTCCGATGAAGTGTCCTTTGTGTTGTTGATCTTATCCAGATCATCGACATGATTGGTGAACCAGGGATGATCGAGTGTCTGCTCGATGGTCAGACGCTTATCTGCATCGACCACGATCAGCTTCATAATGAGGTCCTTGGCCTCCAGCGATATGTTGTCCCAATAGGGCGAGGGGAATGAGAAGCCGCCCTTCTTCACACGATCAAAGAAGTCCTTGTCCGATGGGTTGCCAAAGGGTGGGAAGCCACACAATATGATGTAGGCGATGACGCCAATGCTCCACAGGTCCACAGTCTTGCGATAGCCCTCCTTCTCGCCCTTGGTCAACACCTCTGGCGCCACATACTGTGGCGTTCCACACATTGTCTGCATGAAGCTGCCTTGGTCCAACGCTCGACTCAGGCCAAAGTCTGAGATCTTGACATGGAACGAGTCTGGCTTGGCCAGCAATATGTTCTCGGGCTTCAAGTCACGATGGGCAATGCCCTTCTGATGAAGATACTTAACCGCGCTACATATCTGGCGCATGATATATCTGCACACGTCCTCTGGGAAGTTAGTCTCTGCGACGATCTTGTCAAACAGCTCGCCTCCAGTGATGCTGTTATCGCATGATTGGGATGGGTCCAGGGGTGGGGTCAGTCGCGAGTCCAAGATGGGCTACGCCTAGGCCATGGCCCAAGCCCACGAGGCATGACAGGACACTTACAGCTCGAGCACTAGATAGAGATACTTGCGAGTCTCAAAGACCTCTTTGATACCGACGATGTTCTCATTGGCCACTTTGCTTAGGATGTTGACTTCGTCCATGAGTGCATCCTTGCGCTTTGATGTCATGGACATCTTCTTCTTGTCGATCACCTTGATTGCGTATCGCTCGCCCGTCTGTCTATTCACGGCCAGACGCACGGTGGCAAAGTTGCCCGTGCCCAGCACATCTCGCATGTCATAGGCCTCTTGGGGACCGCCCTGTTCGATCTCGCCAGCCTCTTCGCCGCAGTCCTGATAGATGAATGCGATGCGCTCCTCAGCGCGCTTGGGGATGATGCCCACTTCGCAGCCATTGTTGATCAGGATCTTGCTGTTCTTGCCCAGCAGCTCGTTGTTGTAGAACGTGCCGTTGGTGCTGGTGTCCTCGAGGAAGACGATGTTCTGCTTGGCGGTGGGGTCGCGGAACACCTTGCAGTGGCGACCGCTCACCGTCGGCAGATTGTATGTGACCTGGCACAGCGCGGGCGTCCTTCCAAAGATCACCGTATTCTGTCTCAGCTCGATCGATGGATACTTTGGATTGAGTGACACCATCCTGCCCCACAGCGGTCCATCACCGACCTGAATATATCCATTGCTGTCCACTACTTGTGTTGGTGCCTGTGCTTGTGCTTGATCAGCCATTGTTGTTTGATTAGTTATATATATGTATTATATGTATGATTGGTTAATTGAACTAATTGATTGATAGTGTGACCGTTATGATGCCTGATCATGAGGCTTCGAAGAAGATTTTGACGCAAAATGATCAGTTTTTGATTGGAACTATCCCACCCCAACAAACACTCGAACAATCAGATATGTTGAGATCTATCTGATCACAATCAGATTGATGATGATGTATACATTTACAGAATAGTCAGTTGGTAGACAGACTATTTATTGGATGTCGGATCGCTGTGCCTTCCTTGGCTCCCTTCTGAGGGACTCGCGATGCAGGTCGGCAAGCGTCATGTCAAGACTCTGTCCTTTCAGATCGCTCTTTATGTTCAACAAGAACTCCTGTATCTGATGCACGGGCTGTATGTTGTAGGACATCTGCTGGTACTGCTGCACCAACGAGATCACCTTGAACATCAAGGTCCTCTTTGTGAAATTGATCAGGTCCACCTTGCGATTGGGCGCCACCTCCAGATTGAGCAGGTCAGGGTTCTCTTCGATAAACGTGAGATCAGTGAGATGCACACCGAGGTATGGCATCAGTGGAGGCGAGGCGCATTCTAGACGCGTGCGGTAGTTCTTGAACGAACTCTCTGAGTTCATGATCTTCTCGAGCTCGGCGTACATCTTGTGCGTCTGCGCCGACAGCTCCTCGCGCGTGTACTTTAGACGGTAGACCGACGAGAAGCTGAGTCCAGCCACGATGGCCATCAGTGAGTTGAAGTTGTTCATGTTCATGAGATGGAAGGCGATCTTGATGAAGCGTGTCATCATCCTGGCACGCGCCTTGACCTTGGGCGTCTGGATGATCATCGTGGCCACCCACATCGACACGCTGTTGAAACGGTCGATCATACGCAGTACGTTGGGCGCGCGATGCTTCAACTTGGCCTTGTTCCACGACTGATTGAGCAACTCGGGAGGCTTGATCTTCTTGAACATCTCAAACTCGATCAGTGTCATCTGTCGGGCGATCTCCTCCTCTTCAATATCGTATATCATCAGGTTCTGCGAGAAGATGTTGCGCGGCACGATAGGCTCGGGTGTCTTGTCGTTGAATATCAGCTTGCTGCTGGGCATCTGCTTCTCCACCTTGTTGAGCGACTTTGTCAGCGCCGACGAGGGCAGCGGATGCTTGATCTGAATCTGTTCGATGAAGCCTCGCAGCACCTGAATCAGCTTGTCGTCAAAGTCCGAGTAGTATTCGTCCAGCCATCGCTTGACGACGTTGACCACCTTGAGCTGGATGGCCTTGATGGCCACCTCGCCGCTGATCTCCACGCCGTTGGCCTGCTTGACGACGTAGTTTGTGACGTTGTAGCGCTGCATCAGCTTGGTCAGCAGCTTCTCGGGCGAGCAGAACGACTGGTAGGTCATGAGGAATGTCTTGAGGAACTGCAGGTCGACCTTTGACTCGTGCGTCAGTCGCTCCACGAGCTTGTTGAGTGAGGCAAACTTGACGACCTCCTCGTCCTGGTCGTCCTCGGGGTTGCGGATCATCTCGATGACGATGTTCTCGGGCGGCTCGTCCCAAATGTTGACGCCGTCGTCCTCGTCCTCGTCGTCCAGCAGACCCATGCCGTACAGCAGGTCCTCGCGCTCCAATATCTTTTGCTTGCGCTCCTCCTGGCAGAACTCGATGTGTTCCATCGAGAGATCGTATATCCTGTCGGTGTCGCGGAGTGCATTGCGCACGTATGTTACCAGTCTGCTCTCGCTGAGCTGGTCGCCTGTTGGCGTGGCCAGCTTGGACTCCTTCTCGAGCGTGAGCTTTGTCTGTTTGAGGCCGTGTGTGGCCAGATGCTGCAGGATCAACTGTACAATCGCTGTCTTGTCTATCTTTTGCTTGACCTCGGGGCGACCCGGTTGGAACTGTTTTCCAAAAATAATACCTCTATCCATTGGATTAATCCTCTCGCACAAATCACCAATAGATGGATTATTTCTAATTACATTCCTTCTCCAATCTGATCTATCCACTGCTACCTTTGAGTAAAGTGCTACATATATATATATTGAGTGTGTAAGTTGATGTTGATTGATTGATTGATTGATTGATTTGGTAACAACATACGCTTTAGGTTATCGATACCATTCATAGCCATCATTTCTGTATTTGGTTATTATGTATATATTTGTATTATAAGTATTATTAACAACAACGACAACAATGAATATGTTGTGTGAGTGAGAGATTATAAAGGTGTGTCACTTGTGATTGAGCTGTATTATGTTTATAAGTAAGTATCAAGGTAAAGTAATAAGTATATGAATAATATATATTATATGTATATGTTACAAGTTATAATTACATGTATGTGTATATAATATATATCTATATATCTATATGTATCTGTTTTAATAATAGTTATAGAACGTGAACGTGGGTATGAATGAATGAATGAATGTATGAATGACAACAATCATCAAACCCCCACACTAACAAAGAAAAACCCCCCATGTTGGAGCTGTTTGTTTCCCCTTTTGCAAACACAAACACCATCATCTGACCATGAAAGTGAGATCTTTTTCAAAATCATCAATTTTTTGATCAGGCCCAAAGTACTTTGGGCATCAATCACAAAGCCCTGATCTATCTTTGGACCATGTATTGACTTGTCAAGACATCCAAGGACATACCTCTGCACATAGGTGTACACCCAAGCTGGCCACACAAGTCACAAGCAAATGTCGGCTTTCGTGATGCGAAGAAAGAGAAAGAGAAAGAGAAGAGACAAGTGAGGAGTGATTGGTTGATGGATGGATGATAATGTACATTTACAACATGCTATGATAGCGAGATACCATCCATTTGAACGTACGCCTACGATGAATGGTTGCGCTTGCTGGTGCCTGACAAGGACGACAGAGCGATGAATAGTACTGCAAACACTGCCGACGTAATCAAGAAGCGACTGTTCATGAATGTCTGTGCGTTGTCCTGCTTGGTTGGGCAAAGATGTTAGTGGTCTGGGACTCACGACGGTTAGAGCGAGTGTATGGAGAGACATACTTGAGTTGTAGATGGCAATTCGATAGATGTTGCCTGCTCAATGCGCTGCTGAGCAGTGTCGGATGATGGTGATTGATGGAGTGATTTGTCCAGTGGAGTCTTTGGCGCTTCAATAGATGGAGTGATGTCTGCTCGCATTACTGATCCAAAGAAATCGGTAACTGGTACTTGATCGAGAGGTCTTGAGAACAGGTCTTTCCTGTACTCAGAGTGAGACAACAGACTCTTGAAGTCGTACGAGTTGAACAGCTGTAACAGTGACACATTATGTGGATCGACATTCTCAAAGAACTCCAAAGTATTGTATGTGAATCGATCGATCACTGACAGTCCAAGCTCGGGATCAGAGTGATGCTGTAGTTGAGCGTAAGTACATGTTCATCGTAGTCACTTCATCATCTTCATCATTATCATACCGAGTAAGAGTTCTCACCAAGTCTGCTGCTACCAATGGCCAGGATATTTGGCGAGTTGAATCGTTTGTACAGGGTGTTGGCCTGGCATGTATCGACCATGAACAGTATCTCATTGTAGCGCTTCTTCTCCCACATCTGCTTGAAGGCGTCAGAGAGGTCGTGAGAGGAGATCTCCTCGTTGTCTTGGAACTTGAGGAACTCGTCTCCACCATGACCCGTCAGGAAGATCAGGATGTTGCTCTTGTCGTCTGTCAGTAGACGCTTGGATCGCGACACCTCTGGGTCGTGTCTGCCCGTCAGTACTCTGATAAAGTTCTCGACGTTGACCTCGTAGCCGCGGTAGTCCACCTCGATATTGTCGCCGTACAAGTTAATCTTATGATTCTCATTGTTGAACATAACGCCAGCGTATGAGTTACGAGGGTTACAAGCCATATCATCGGCCAACATCAAGATGACTAAAGGTCGGTACAATGTATGTATGTATGAGTATGTGTTATCGATCGGCTATTCATTAGTTCGCCAACATACTCTGTGAGTCGGGGATACCAAGCTTCTTGACAGTCCTGTAGAAGCCAAGCACGTTGGCAATGTGTCTGTAGTTGAACCAGAAGCGTGATGTGCAGACGAGCACCGCCCAGTTGTTCGTATGAGTGCCGCGATAGAAGTGTTCGAGGTTATAATCACTGTTTACTACATTGACATTGTTCAATCCTGTTGCTGCTGTTGGTGATGCATTTGATGTTGAAGATGATACAGCCAACATTATCATGATCAACATTGTCACAGTCGCCAGTGTTGTAGTATTAGTAGTAGCCATCATAGCATAACTACTTCTTCTTATATATATCATATCTGTCTGTGTATTTGTATCTGTATATCTGTATCTGTATCTGTGTCTTTGAGCGCAAATGATTCAAAGAATGAAGTTCCTCAGATAGAGTGTGGGTTCAAGTTCTAGATCCCAGGCCAGCTTGATCATTTCCATCTTGTTCAAACAAATACATAACATACATATATACATCACAATCAATCAATCAATCAAACGATGAAGAAGGGAGGCTTATATAACTTGGCCTTTGACAATAAGTTATCAACTGCACCAAGTGCTGTTGTTTATCAGAATATAGAATGTGTGGATATTAAGCCGAATGGTATCTACTTGGTCAGGTTCATGTATAGAGAGTGGGAGGGTCCACTTACACAGTTGGTCACTCAGAAGTTGTCTATCAAGCTCTCTATCGACATCAATGAAGGCTTGGTAACATGTCTACACACGGACAAGAAGCGAACAGTCTATCGATGGGACCTCAACCAAGGTCTTGAAGCCAAAGGCGTTGGCGGCAAGGCTGAGGAGAACACAGTACAATACAGTACATTTTATGTCGATGACTTTGTTGTCGATAACTGTAAGTACAGTACTAGTATGACTGATTGATCGCCAGGACTAACATCCATGTCAGACACCAATGAGTTGTTCTCTCACAAGAATGAGCAACAGGCAATCAATCATCTATCATTCCTGAATGAACGAAAGCTTGGATGTATCGATCACTTGAAGAAGGATGTGTATAAGAATCATACTATATTCATCAATGCATCAAAGGAGATTGCGAGTATGTAACTCATCTTGGAGTTGATGGTGATGAAATGACTAACATTCAATAATCAAGACTCTGAGGTTGATATGCTTGACTTTAGGAATCTGATCACAGAGTATGGCAACTCAATCACATCAATCCAGAACCTATCAATCAGTTGGGATCACTGTAGGTGTACAATGAATGGACTTCCACGATCAATCGATCACTCACTCACTCACTCATTCAATCAATTACATGATACGTATACTCAGACAAGGTCAAGAAGCAATCAAAGAACGAGTTTGAGAAGCTGTCAAAGACGACTGAGCCCATCCAGTGGCTCACATCAGTTCCACACGACCTGGAGATGGCTGTTCAGCAACGCGAGTTTGAACAAGCTGTCGTCACGATTGAGAAGAGTATGTGTTGTTGAGACATGGCCATCCGGAGGTCAAGGACACATGATGACTGACTAACCAGCTACTCTCACAGTGAACGAGGTGTATGAGAACAATCCAAAGGTGGAGATTGTGATGCAGACACATCCTTTAAAGGAACAAATCGATCAGAGGATAAAGACACTGACAGAGTCATTGATGGACACACTGCGATCACCAATCCTGAAGCCACTTCAAATCAAGGAGACTATTGCGTGGTTGGTGCGACTTGATCAGACGGACAAGGCCAAGTCGATATTCTTGGAGTCAAGATCAATCGCCATCAAAGCGTCGATAAAGAAGCAGGTCAAGACTGGCGACCTGGTGCGTAATATTGGCGAGCTGACACGTATCACTTTCAGCCAGATCGACACCACCTGTCAGGACTACTGCAACTCCTTCCAAGAGCCACACATGACCAGTGGTCTCATCGAGTGGGTCATGTCACAACTTCAACTACTAAGTGATATCCTCAGTCGTCAAGTGTTCATCATTGACAACTACCAGACCATATCACAGATCATTAGAATAGTTGAGTCACATTGCGAGATGGTCAGTACTAGTGGATACTTGTCCCGACCCACACAATCACTAACTCAATCATTCGTTCATTCATACATAACAGATGGATCAGAATGGATTGTCATTAATATCCTATTGGAATGTATTGTTACAGCCTCATCTGGAACAACTTATTGTAAACTATGAAACAAGACTTAGAGAGTCGTTGCAACAGCAATTGGTGGAGGACAAGTGGATTGGTGACACGCAATGGGTGTACGAGCTTCCAACCTCACCTCAGTTGGGTGCATCCCCTGTTCAATCACCAAAGAATCAATCACCATTCCTCAGCTCACGTAACAACAACAACAACAATAATAACAATAACAACAACAACAACAACTACAACAATAACAACAACAATGATGAGATAAGACTCAAGTTGACAAAGAGCACGATATTCCTCAACACGATCACTCAGAGGTTCACGATGGACATTTGCCAGATCACGACTGTTGAGATGATACCAGTGATATCAAGATCGATCAGCAAGATATTCAAGGAGTTTATGAGTCATTTGCTGACAGCCATCCAGGATGACCTGTCCGACAACCAGGCACACGCGATAATAAGTAATGCAGTGTTCATCACCGATGACCTTGTGTCGAGGATATCAAACAAGCTGGAGGATGTGCTCGGACGCCCGATCAACAACCTCGAGTCGCTGAACGACTCGCTCCGCTCCATGTTTGAACGCATCCGTCTCGAGTACGCAGTGCGCAAGGCCGAGGAGATCGTTCACTCGGTCATGGTGTGGGACGAGGGCGTCTACGCGATCGAGGACGACATTGAGCCCTTCCCCAAGAAGTTCATCAAGCTGTCCGAGTACCTGGACACCCTGTCACAGCAGATACAGAACAATGTCAACGTGGAGAATGTCACGCCAATCACATCGATGATCCTGGCCGAGGTCGTCGTCATCCTGTCGCAGAAGCTACAGACACTGGGCGACTCTGTGCAGTATGGATACGGAGGTCTGCAACACTTTGTCCTGGAGATGAAGTACTTGACCACAATACTCGGTCGCTCGGACGTCGAGCAGATCACCTACGACCTAATCACATCGATGATACACAGTGCCACCAAGTCCTACGCCACAGCAGGCTCATTCGATCCCGACACCGTACTCAAGCCCAAGGACTACTTTGATCAAGTGATCGATAACATTGTCTATCAAAAGGCAGTATACAAGTGATCAATCGGTTGGTCGATACACATTCAATAACACTCATATATATATATGACATGTATTCTTACAACTCTTGGACATTGGATAATGATTATTTAAATTGATTGATTTCCAGGTCACCTGGAAAGTGATGTGAGTGGGAATGGTTGATCAAACTTATTCATTTTGAATGAACTAACATAGAGATAGAGATTGACAATGAGTAGAGATGGCAGTAACAGCAGCAGCAATAAGATGATTGAAGTGGAGATGAAGGTCACTTATGATGAGTCGACGAAAGCAAAGATACTCGAGTTGGCCACGGATAAGGGATCATTCCAATCGTTCACAGACAGATACTTTGATGATGATCAATATAGTCTGACAACCAGAGATATTTGGCTGCGATTGAGAGACGAGACATGGGAGTTGAAATGTCCCGTCACCAAACAGTTGGCATCAATGACTTCGGCAACATCAACATCGACCACGTCATATTACGATATGGATGACAAGCGAGAGATCATGAACTACTTGCAACACAATGGTATCATCGACCCAGTCACGAGCGACAATGTTGTCGACGTTGACGAGTACATCGACGAGCTACTCGCACGTCTGGAAGCCAAGTCCATCACACCATTCGCCGTGATCGTTACATTTAGAGAATCATTCAATATTGTTTACAAAGGTCAGCAGTTCAGAGTTGACTTTGACACAACAGAGACAAGTGCACTTAAAGATTATCAACTATGCGAGATAGAGTTGATGGTGAATGATAATGAATCAGATCGATTGATTGCTCAACAACAAATACAACAACTATGTCAGGAACTTGGACTCATCCCACCCAACAAGCTCTATGGCAAAGTACTCGAACTAATCAAACGAACTCGTCCAGATCATTGGAGAGCATTACTCGACGCCAAGCAGAAGTCTGTTGTTGCAACATCATCATCTTAGTGGCATCCACATCTATTACATGTTGCCAATGGCAACAACGATGGTCATTGTCAAGCTCACGTGGCGCCTATTCATGTCCAAGTTCATCGCAATTCTTGAGAAAGAGACGTGATTGTTCACAGAATTTTGGTCCAAGAAATGAAGGGGGTGTACCCTTAGCTATTCTCAGCGTCGACCCAGCTCAGCATTCATTCAGTCAATCCACCTTGCTTGTTCAATGTGTATCCCTACCCTACCTACAACGACACAATACACATTCATTCATTTACTCCAGCATCAATAACATATAACCATAACATATAAATAAACAATGAATAAGAAAAGAATATTAAAGTATGCTTCGGATATACATTTGGAGATGTCCAGCGATACGGAACATAGACCTCATGTGGCTGCACTGTATAACTTTACACCAAAGCCAGATCATAGATACTTCTTGGCATTGTGCGGTGATATAGGGTCAATGCATACACCAGCACTTTGTAGCTTCCTGTGGAAGGTGTCACAACGTTATGAACACGTATTCCTGATCGCTGGCAATCACGAGTTCTACAATCCACCACGACACGATATAAAGACAATGGCACAAGTCAAGCATGAGATCACTGAGCGATGCAAACAGTTGCCCAACGTCCACTTCATGGACGACACAGTGTTCATGCTGGACGAATACAAGATCATCGGGTCCACACTCTGGTCATTCGTGCCAGAGAAGCAGGTCAATGTCGTGCAGGCACAGTTGAACGACTACCACATGATCTACGTGGAGGACGAGCGCACCCCTGGCGCCAAGCGACTGGCCACAGTCAAGGACACAAACATCCTGCACGAGCGAGCAGTGGCGTTCATCAAGAAAGAGGTGGCAGGCGCCTCGAACTGTCTGCTGCTCACACATCACGCGCCACTATTCAGCATACCAGAGCAGAACAAGCATCTCTGCGATCCAATGTACCTCAACAGCCCAATCAATGTGGCATTCCACACCGACCTCGACCACCTTGTGCGGCCACCCGTCCTCCTATGGATCTTTGGTCACACTCACTATACATCAAAGTTCATCCACAATGGAGTAGTCGTCGCTTCAAACCAAGTTGGCTACGACATGCGACCACGAGACTACAGCATTACCGAAGAGATAGAGTTAGGATTTGCCAAGCAATAATATGTTAGTTGGAGGCCTTCATCAATCAATCAATCAATCAGTCAGCCAGTCAGTTCAGTCAGTCCAGTCCGATCAAATGTACATACATAAACATATAACCAATCAATCAATCATTCAATCAATCATTCAATCAATCAAACAAGTTCCCAGAGTCAAATGAGGGTTCGCGCATGGGTCCAGGAAAATTCAAGTAACCAAGGTACATCAATACAAAGAAGTGGAACGATGATGCATCAATCACGTATATGTTGTTGTCATCGTGTAGTAAGTAGGTGTCAAATAGCAAGTCGTCCATCCCATCTCCGTCATTAACCAAGTCTAATTGCGCGCGCTATCCCCAGGAACCCTGATATAAAAATAGGTGGGGGCGAGAGACCGTGGAACAACTGATCATCCGTGGTCTAAAAGTGTCGCAAGATGTCACCCCCACGGGTCATAGTGCCAGAGGCTTCACCATCCGACTCTTTGCATTGCGCATAGACTGCTGAATGAATGGAAGACACACCGAACCATCGAAGTAATCATTGGACGATGTCACCCCTCGCCAAAATACATTGTTTTTTTGTTTTTGCATCATGCAAAACAACGATTCGATTATGTCTCGCGGATATTTATACACATGGCGGGGTCAACGTGGACCAAGCAAGGCAGACCCCATGTCCGCAGGTCCAAGACATGTTCTATTCTTCTTACTTTCATCAATAAGATAGATAGAAGGTGTGTGTTTTGGACCTCCATCTACAAAGGGAAACGAAATACTTACGTTGTTGCCATTTCATTCATTCATTCATACATTAAACTACTTATTCATTCATTTCAATCATTCATTTAGTCACACACTCACATTGTGACCACTACCAATCAACAACAGCAGCGTAAGCATTACCTCCAACATGGGCCACTAAAGGCCCCTATCCATTCCATCCATCATCACCTCTTCATCATAAGGTTTACAACCTTACGATACTCATCATTTTCCCAACCTCTACTATAAATACACACCGATATATATCGGTCAATCATTAAGTCAATCGACCAAACATATTTATACACATACACACACATACACACACAACTATACTTTATTTGTATATTCCATTCCAATTCAATCCAAACCCATCACTTGCCCGCCCTTTACTTGTGGGCAAAGAACAAACAAAAGTATGTCCACCAATCCTTGCTTTGTCGCCAACAACCACACAATGTAGCGAATCAAAATAACTCGTGTTGTGTTTGTGTGTTTATGTGTTTGTGAGAGTTGAAGGAAGATCTGTAGAACAAGCATCATCATGATGGTGGGTGTATGGTGCAGGGAAGGTGTGAAATATGAGAGGTTGTTGTGTGTTGTCCTGTTCTGTCTCTTTACATGGCGATGCCCGAGCCCCTTCCATTGTTAGTAGTGGCAGCAGCAGCTACTAGTGCTTGGACATGGCATTCGAACGCTTCCATTGGTCGTCCCCCAATGTGATGCCATAACATGTGCCTCATCTCTCTTCCTTGCTTGCTTGTTAACATGTTTGAGGAAATGTCGCCAGAGCAAGCTTCGTCATCCCATCATCCCATCATTCATTCATTCAACAAATCAATCATTCAATCGATCGATCACATTACATTCTCCGCCTCTTCCTATTAATATCATTCTTTCATTACAATCATTCAATCATTTAATATCGACATCAACTGCACTCGAGAGCAGTCTAAACAATCAACTAACCTAACAGCTAACCTTTAATATCTAGCGCAGCTAGCTGTAGATTTTTAATGCTGTAGTAACATTTACTATATTATATATATTATAACATACAATACATACAATACATAGTCATTAACAATGGCTAAGTTAAAGAAACTAAAGAACGAAACAAAGGATGAGAAGGGTGAGAGGAGGAGAGTCAATAGGGCTGGTGTAAAGGGATTCGGCGGAAAGAAGAGTCCAGAGGAGAATGCCAATATCTTTACAAAGCTCACATGGGACTGGGCCAACAGCTTCGTCTGGTTCTGCTTCAGGAACGTCCTGGAGCATCGTCACATCTGGAACCTCGCCTCATACGACACTGCCGACAACCTCACCAAGAGGATGACTGAGCAGTGGGAGAAGGAGAAGATCAAGCCAAAGTAAGTGTCCAAGGCATCGTTGGCCAAGCCCATCCACTCACTGACTCATTCAATCAATCAATCAATCAATCAAACATAATAGGCCATCATATCAATCAGCTGCCGTTCGTGCATTCGGACCATACTTTACAATAAGTTGGATATACTACGCAATCTACGCTGCATCACAGTTTGTTGGACCAGAGCTCTTGAAGCGCATGGTGTCCTTTGTGGTCAGGTCACGTATGGGTGCAACTGATGTCGACCCAAACATGGGCTACTACTACGCCGTTGCCATGTTTGGTTCTGCAATGGTCGGTTCCTTCTGTCTATACCAAGCCAACATGATATCCGCAAGAGTTGGAGACTATGTAAGTGTGCCAGGCCATCAACACAATCAATCAATCTTTTGGAATCATTCCACTAACATCCATTCAATCAATCAATCAATCAATCAATCAAACACATAGATGAGATCAGTTATCGTCTGTGACGTCTACAAGAAGTCATTGAAGCTTAGTAACTCTGCACGTTCAAAGACTTCGCCGGGAGAGATTGTCAATCTGATGAGTAACGATGCTCAGAGAATGACTGAAGTGTTCCAGCTGGTCAACAACGGTGTGTTTGCGCCGTTCCAGATCATCGTCTGTATCGTGCTGCTCTACATCTCGATTGGCTGGCCCACATTCGTCGGTCTGGCCTTCATGCTCATCACCGTGCCAATCAATGGTATTGCCGCAAAGCGTCTGATTGGCATTCGTCGCGCACTCATCAAGTACACCGACGGCCGTGTCAAGACCACCAACGAGATCCTGCAGGCCATCAAGATCATCAAGCTGTACGCCTGGGAGGACAGCTTTGCCAAGCGTGTCATGGACCGCCGTGCCGACGAAATCAAGATGTTGATGTCCTTCTCGCACGTGCGTGCCGTACTCATCTTCTTCGTGGCCTCACTGCCAACCATCGTGTCCGTGCTGGTCTTCACCACCTACTTCAAGACACAGGACAACCTCGACGCTGGCAACATCTTTGCCGCTTTGGCCTACCTCAACATTCTGAGAATGCCACTCGGTTTCCTGCCCATCATCATTGCCCTTATGGTGCAGCTCAAGGTCGCCGCACAGAGAGTCACCGACTTCTTGCTGCAGCCCGAGATGGAGGTCTCTGTTCAGACCGCCGACGACGACAGCAGACCAACAGGCGTTCATTTGGAGGGCGCCAGCTTCGCCTGGAGCTCCGACAAGGAGGAGTCCTTCAAGCTCAACAACATCAACCTCAATGTCACTGGCAAGAGCTTGACCGTCGTGGTCGGCTCAGTCGGCAGTGGCAAGTCCTCACTCATCCAAGCCGTCCTCGGTGAGATGGAGAGGACCGCAGGCTCCCAGCACGTCAAGGGCAAGATCGCCTACGTCGCCCAGCAAGCCTGGATCATCAACGCATCACTCAAGGACAACATCGTCTTTGGTTCGCCATACGACGAGGAGCGATACAACCGCGTCATTGAAGTGTGCGCACTCCAGCGCGACATTGAGTTGTTCCCACAGGGTGACAACGTGGAGATTGGAGAGCGTGGAGTCAACCTTTCCGGAGGTCAGAAGCAGCGTGTGTCAATCGCCAGAGCCGTCTACAACGACGCCGACATCTACATTCTGGACGACCCATTGTCTGCCGTCGACGCACACGTCGGCAAGCATCTGTTCCACAAGTGCATCAACGGAATGCTCAAGGAGAAGACCGTCATTCTCGCAGCCAACCAGCTGCAGTACCTGCCATTCGCCGACGAGGTGTTGGTCATCACTGACGGCACCATCACCGAGCGTGGCACCTATCACCAGATCATGGAGTCCAAGCAAACATTCTCCAAGCAGCTCGAGGACTATGGAATTGAGGAGATGAGCAGCAGCAGCGACTCGGGCGAGGACGGAGTCGAGGAGGAGATCATCATCGAGGAGAAGACCAAGCCCAAGGAGAAGGTCGAGCTCAAGAACACCGACGGCACACTCGTGCAGCAGGAGGAGCGTGAGGAGGGATCTGTCTCTGTCTGGATGTACATCAAGTACTTCACCGCCGGAGGTGGTGCATTCTTCACAGCGTGCTTCACCCTGTTCCTTCTGGATATCGGTTCATCCACAGTGCTCAACTGGTGGTTGTCCAAGTGGTCCAACGACACCCAGTACGCCAAGTTCACCGGCAAGACCCCATCGCTCACCAACGATCAGTACCTCTACATCTACATTGGCATTGGTCTGTTCTCCATCATCATGTCTGGTCTGCGTAACTTTGCCTACTTCACATACACTGTCAAGGCTGGTCAGGCCCTGCACGACCAGCTGTTCACATCACTGCTCCGCGCACCAATGTGGTTCTTCGATACCACTCCACTCGGACGTATCCTCAACAGATTCACTCGTGATCTGGATGGTGTCGACAACCTTATCGCCGCCGCTCTCTCACAGTACATTGTGTTCTTCCTGTTTGTGTTGGCCACAATCATCATCATTGCTATTGTCATTCCATTCCTGCTGGTTCCCATGGCGCCCATCGTCGTGCTCTTCTATATCCTGCAGAGCTTCTACCGTCACACCTCTCGTGAGCTGCAGCGTCTCGAGTCGATCAGTCGTTCGCCAATCTTTGCTCACTTCTCTGAGACCCTCAACGGTGTTGCCACCATCCGTGCCTACAAGACTCAAGATAGAAACATTGCTCACAACCACAAGCTGTTGGACGCCAACAACCAGGCCTACCTGACCCTGCAAGCCATGCAACAATGGCTCGGATTGCGTCTCGATCTTCTCGGAAACTTGATCATCTTCTTCACCGCCCTCTTCATCACTATCGACAAGAAGACCGTCGACATTGGAAGCGTTGGTCTTGCCCTGTCCTACGCCCTGTCGATCACCACCAACTTGAACAGAGCCACTCTGCAAGCCGCCGATACTGAGACCAAGATGAACAGTGTCGAGAGAATCGTCCACTACATCAAGGGCCCAGTCGAGGCTCAACAGATCATCAAGGAGAGCCGCCCAGCCGCCGACTGGCCACAGCACGGCGCCATCACCTTTGACAACCTGGTGATGAGATACCGTGAGGGATTGGACCCAGTGCTCAAGGGAATCAGCTGCGAGATCAAGCCAAAGGAGAAGATTGGTATTGTTGGAAGAACCGGTGCTGGCAAGAGTTCAATCGTGCTTGCACTCTTCCGTTTGATCGAGGCTTCCGAGGGAAGAATCTTGATCGACGGCAAGGACATCTCCAGCTACGGTCTCAAGGACTTGAGACGCAACCTCTCAATCATTCCACAAGATCCAGTCCTGTTCAGTGGCACACTGCGCGACAACCTCGACCCATTTAACGAGAGCACCGACGAGGAGCTCTGGGATTTGCTCGAGAACATCCAGCTCCACGCCACCGTCAAGAACCTCGATGGCGGTCTGCTGTGTAAGGTCACTGAGAACGGAGAGAACTGGTCTGTTGGCCAGCGTCAGCTCATCTGTCTTGGTCGTGCGCTGCTGAGAAAGCCAAAGATCTTGGTGCTGGACGAGGCCACTGCCAGTGTCGACTCCAACACCGATGCGTTGATTCAACAGACTGTGCGTGCCAAGTTCTCCGACTGCACCATTCTTACAATTGCTCATCGTCTCAACACAATCATGGACTCCAACCGTATCATGGTCTTGGATGCAGGTCGCATCTCAGAGTTTGATACTCCACACAACCTTCTCCAGAACACTGACGGTCTGCTGTCATGGCTCGTCGACGAGACTGGTCCACAGAACTCACAGGTGCTCAGAAAGATGGCCAAGGAGGGTGCCTACGCCATTGCACTGCCAGAGGACGACATGGCCCACAGCAAGAAGGGCAAGTCAGCAATGAGCAAGAGCAACGGAGGTGTCATTGTTATCCCAGAGGTTCAATTGACACCAATCGATGGAAACAACAACAACACTGATCAACCAGGTCCAAGGATTACTTCCAAGCCAGAGGACAACATCAAGCCAGAGGACATCAGCAAGCCTGAGGATAACAAATCCGAGGACGTCAAGCCAGAGGACACCAAGGTTGAGGATACCGATTCCTCCTCCACCTCCTCATCATCGACATCGACCTCAACAAGCGACGAGGAAGAGCAGCCAGAGCTGCATGTCTAAAGACTACAGTTATAACGAATAAACAAGAAGTATTATTATTTATACAATCAATCCTTTATCGGACTCGACAATGATAATGCCAGATGGGTTGGCGATGGTGATATTTATTATCCTTGTCAGGCGTAGGGATTGAAGCTCCTGGTTGGCGGCTTGTAAGTAAATGTTGTGCCAAATAGTTCGGTGGCGTTCATCATTGTGCCAGCTTTGGGCTTCTTGGTGGTCTCTGGTGACCAGACCTCCATCTCGATCACCTTGAAGTCTGTGTTGTATGACAGTGTCTCGTTGTTAAAGGTATCGCATCGGTTGGTCGAGCCGTAGAGTAGGTCGTCGTCGATCCATAGTCCAACACCCTTGCCGCCACTGCCCAACGAGATGAATTCCTCCTTTGTCGACAACATAAAGTCGTCATTGATTCTGGACCAAGGGTACTTCTTCATCTCGGGCCTCATCTTGAATAGGAAGGTCTCTCCACTTCCATAGTGGATAGTCTTCTCTGTGTTCCAAGGATCTGATGTGAATGCTCCAAAGACCTGTATGTGAATGAATGTAAGTGATGTGTCAAGAGGAGAGAGTGCTGTTGCCAACATACATGTCCTCTATCATCTCTGATCACCATTATACAAGGAGATCTATTCGCCAGTCTTGAGAAAAAGGTTCGTATGCTGATGCCATTCTTGTTCGTACTATATACCAGTTCCAATGGATCGTCGTTGTGCCGTAGAGGTAGATGGCTCTGTACCCAGAGCATCTCGGTCTCTGACATAATGTCAGACTTGACCTTAAAGTTGTTCTTGTAAGGGTGATGGGTTGGCTTGTCATCGAGCACTGTTCGATAGCTTTCCGATGTGAGACTGATGTCCTCTTCCTCCTCTGCCATTGGAGCCTCCTCCTTTAAGATGTCTGGGTCGTCCACCAACACAAAGTCCTGCTCCTGTAGATAGGAAGAGGAGTCGCTGCTCTCTGAGTGATAGGTGAACGACTTTGATGGTTCACCATGATTGCCACTGGAATGGTGTAGTGAAGCCATTACAACTTGATCAACAATGTCCTGACTCTCAGTGATAATCCTAATGATATCGCTTGTGATTTGAGCGACGCTACACAGATGAACGCGTTAGGATGTGAGCATGATCTTCGTCGTCGCTTGGTGACATACTCTGACTTCTTAAAGCAAAACAGATGATGGGTATTGCCTTCTGGTGTCTTGCCTTGCGCTGAGATGATGACAGACGAGTGATCATGGACCAACTTCAGTTCGGACTGCTTGCACTCATACACTGTGATGGTGTCGATTGAGAAGCTGTAGTTCTCAGTCGGACTGAGTCTGAGCAGATTGAGATTCAAGTCTCTGGCATGCTTCTGTACAAAAGATATCTTCTGAAGGTTTAAATGGATGTCGCCTTCAATCTATGTAGTAGTGATTGGATGGTCGGGAGTCAGTCAGTTAACCAGTCAAGAGGTGGCATAGTGGGTCGCGAGGTGCCAGGAGGAGGAGAAGGAGGTGGTGTCCTCTTTGATCGATCGAGAGAGGACATACAAGTAAATCACCGCATTTATAATATACATTGGATATAGTGACCTTCTCAGCCACGTCCAGCTTCTCCTCGACCTTGTGCTTGATGATGGCCTCGCGCACCAATGTGTTGAGTGTGGAGGCAATCTTGAGTATGCGTTCCTTCTGTAGCTCCAGGGTGTCGACTGGTGACGCCGACATCAGTGTCATCGTGCTCCTGGATTTGGGTGTGATCTTCATCGCGTACTGATTGGAGGATGTCTTGCGATCGCTAATATGAACGCCATCGCTCGTTGGACTGGTGTCCTTGAGCGACGACGACGAGTGTAGATAACCTGTCTGCACGGTGCACACGTCGCACAGCTTGCATCTAGCGTGTATGTTGACGGATGAGCCCGGTGCGATTGGACCCAACCCAATTACAAACAACTCTAGATCAGTCAACAGAAACGCCACATGGTTAGGATTGTAAGTCCTTATAGTACGCTTTGAATGTGACATCGTGTCTGTGTTGGTGAGCAACAGCATCGAGAGACATGACAGCAGTGTCTGTTCCTTTGGTATCAACGATCGACATCTCTCAATCTCTTCCTTGCTCTATTGAGTGTGATTGACGTGATTGAATGAGTGAGTGATGTCGAGCCAATTGTAAGCACTAATATAAGGTTCATACCAATATACCAATCATTCTACTATCTAGACGATGTAGAATGTTCGTTGTTGGTTCCTGTGTCTTTGTTAGATTGTAGTAGTCCTCTATTTTTGCTTTGCTTGTTTGTGTCTTAGCTGACTGTTGATTGTTTGTTTGACTGATCAACTAAAAATGATATTATACTATATATATATATATGTAGATAGATAGAGATAATAATAATAATAACAATGAAGAGAGAGTTTGAATGAAGTGTTGAGTTGGAGAGGCGCAAAAAGTGAAGAATTGTCCAGAGAACATGTCAATTTGTCAATTTTTTCATTTTTCAAAAGTGACATTCCGTCATCAATCAATCCTGGGATTGACAAGGAGGACATGATGTCGCCCACCAGGGTGCCAAAGACAGATCTAACTACTAATAAACAGATACTATATTTATATTTATATATTACATTTTAGTAGTATACTCGTCTGACACATCAACAAAAATAGTATCTACCTCATTGGCCAATTGATTAGACTCGCCATTAATTGGTTCTTCCTTTGATGATGATTGTTCTACACTACTTCCATTACTAATACCATTCTGTTTGTGATCGTGATAATGATGAGATCTTGAATGAAAACAACGTTTTCTACCGCAGGTCTTTCGATCTTTGTAAGGTTCAAGCCAACCTGAACAGTCACATCGATGGCAAGGTGGAGCCACAACCTCTACCTCAAGATCGCTCGTATCTGTGGCCTCATCATCCTGCTCTTCCACTTCTTCCTTTATACTCATTGTTCTTGTTGTCCTCATTCTAGGCTCTCTCTTCATCCGACTTTGAACAGTTTCCTTTTGCTCTTCGACCTTGTTGACAAAGACAGAGAGATGAGTTATCAGCTCCTCTACATGCAGGCTGGTCAGTAGCAATCGCACTTGATCACACAGTCAGAGATGTTACTTACTAATATCTTGTCTAAGTTCATAATCTTGTGGGTTTGTGATTGATATGCGTATCTCCTTTCTGCCCTCTTCATACTCCTCTTGTGTAAAGTCACCTTGGTCGCGCAGTCGCTTCAATTCTCGTAGTCGCTTCTCGGGTGTGTCCATTTATTTGTATCGCTTGATGATCATTTGCTCAAATGATTGAAAATGATAAAGTGGAGGCAATTTTATTTATTTATTTATTAAATATTAGAATCCTTAATCTTTGAAGACGATGATGACCTCAATGTTGGGGATGAAGGTGTAGGTGGTGATGGAGGTGCTGGATGGTTAACAGTGTATAACCGATGTGCAGGGAGTAATGGTGAGATGGGAGGTGGTGATGGGTAAAGGTAGGCACCCATCATTATATAGTTTGGGTACACCTCTGCACCATTGTATTGGTAAGAGTATTGGTCAGTTGGAGAACTCAGGTACATAGTTGGTGGATATGAGTTATGTGAGTAAACCAATTGATGGTTGGGTTGAGCATGGGGTATGGCATGTGGATGGGCATGGGCATGGGGATGGTATTGATACATGTATCCAGCTGGCATCATAGGTTCATATACTTGTGGAGGAGAACCAGATATCATTGAGACTGGATGGAAACTTGGGGAATGGTTGGGGGATAAGTCTACTTCACAGACATCCTGAGGACTTGGTGATTGTTTGTTCTTGGCCAATCTAACATAGATCTAATGAAATAATATGTTAGACATGTTTAAATCAATTAATCAATCAATTAATAAATTAAAGTTACCTTCTTTCCATTGATGAGGTGATGTGGCATGCTCAGGACACGAGGATTGTTTCTTGAATCCTTGAATGATACGAAGCCAAAGGTCTTCTTTGACTCCTCTACTATAATCTTACAATTTGCCAACTCTCCATAGTTGCGGAAGTACTGGACCAACATGTCCTCGGTGATGTCTCTAGGCAAGTTACCAATGAATAACTTTTCTCCAGCTTGTACCTTCTTGGACGACGATGTTGATGAAGAAGATGGATCATATGGTGTTGTGGTAGTAGACTCTGACTTTGGCATGGCAAGTCTAACTTCGACATTCTTGTCATCAATTACATGATTACAAGGACGTTGGAGCAACAAGTCAACCGTTTCTCTATATACAAATGTTACAAAGCCAAAACCACGGCTACGTTGGCTCTTCTCATTGCTCTCAATGATAGTGGCATCCCTCACCTCACCAAATTGACCAAAGTAACTCTTGAGTGTATCTATTGTATATAAATTAATTTCCAAGAAAGGTTAGAATTATTAACTATAGTTTGAAAAACTTTAAATATTTGTTGTTGAAGGATACATACCTGATGTTGTAGTTTTGGACAGACCACCAACAAATAATTTACTTGTTGATTCCAGAGATGTAGAGCTTGGAATAATTATTTCCTTGCCTTGGTGTTGTTGTGATTGTGGATGTTGTTGTGATTGTTGTGGTTGTTGTTGGCGACCATCCATTGTATTGTCGATCTTTGGAATCGCAATAATAATATTAATTGATTTAATGAATGAGTGATAGTTTGGTTGATTGATTAATTAATTGGAAAATTATTAATATTATTCTTACATATATAATTAATTAAGATTGATTGATTGATTTATGAAATAAAATTATGATACATCTTGAAGAGTCGGAAAGTTAATATATATATAAATAATTCAATGGAATAAAACCTCTGTTGTAGTCGGTCGTTGAACTAATCAAGTAGAGAGTAGAATGAAATTTAGCCTGGACAGGAGGTGATTGCATCATTCTTCGTGATATCGTCTCAACAGTTTGTGGTTGATTTGAATTGTCTTGTCGATCCCTTTATACTCATACAATGATGTGTGGTGTGTTGGGAGTACACGGCGATCGTATGGTTTCGGCATCTCATCAACACCCGAAGACCATGCTGATCTATTCTCAAGTATATGTTTTAGATTTAAAATATCCATCCATCTCAAGTCGGCAGGATAACAAAGCCTTCAGAAGACTCAACTTAACCCAAAGAACACTTTTATTGACCGAAAGCAATCACACACATACTACACATACCCCCACAAGGTCAGAGACACTTTCCGATGACGCGGGAAACTTCACTGTAGGGAACTCCAGGAGTTCCGTCTGTGCCCCCATTGTGCTTCGTAGCTTTTCGTTGATTACACTTTCCCCATGTCCACCACTCGCCCAACAATTCCCCCACCTACCCCCAAGCCCAACCACACTTGTTTTATCAAGACGACTTTAATTAATTAAAAGGTAAAGGGGGGACCTTGTCGGGGCCATCTCTGGTCTCTGGGAGGTCCAACCATCAACACGATCTAAAGTTTCGAAAATAGGTTAGCAAGTAGAGTCACCCAATTCAAAGCGTTGACTTGACCACACACTTTGACTCTCCAATTAACAACTTAAAGCATGTGCACGGACTCCACATCGTTTAAATTAATAGATAATAATTAAAAGTAATTAGTTGTGTAGGGATGGACTCGAATATGTAGGTCAAGGTAATTGTGTACTTTCTACTCGTCATTGATATTTGAACAACAATATCTCGAGAGGATATCTTGCTTGGACACTCCGGTCCACGACTCTACCCAATTAAGATTGAAGGCGCTAGTGAAAGGGTCATTGATAGCGACATCCATAGAACACTCAACTCTCTACTCCGCACTATACAACTCCGTCTCCATCTCTCTACATTAATTCAATATATATATATATATTATTATTACGTGTCATTTCATCAATCGACTTAATATACCCTTTGGTCAATTGACTGATCTCTATTGACACACGGGTTGGTTCACTATTATGATTAATGAACAAGTATAGAGAAGTACAGTATTGTAGATCTAGTAAAGTATATAGTAGTTTTACATCTATCAAACTCACTCAAAGTAGTGTCGGAGCAAGTTATCCAACCAACTTCTACATTTCTACTTCTATCCTTCATTCAAGTAATAATATAATATATATATTCTTAAGGTTCTTTGACACGTTAGGACTCTACAAGTTGCCCTCTACTTTTACTTAAGTCTTCCTCATCTATTGCGATCAATTGACCAGGTGTTGATATAAGATGTGTATGTGAGTTTGTTTGAAGTTATGTGAGAGGCGACTGGCAACTGTCTACAGGATGTGGCGAGAGGCAAGTGGCGAATAACAAGTGGTAAGATCATAATTCCAGTAATGATCCTTCAACGTCTAATGATATTGATATTGATTTATATTATTGATTCATTATGATTTAACAGCTGCAGTATGTACATATAAAATTACTTTAAAGTAGGTGTGAGTGATCCATGGCAACACAGTCGGCTAAGTTAGTGTCAACGAATTTGGTGTGTTGGGTACCAATACCCATACATTCTCAGGAAACACCTCTGAATGATCGAGATCACCAGTGAGTGTCTACACGCAAGAATTGGCAGAAAAGGATTGGGGAAGGTGTGTATTGGATGGATTGAACTTGGCCTTACCAACCAATGTCTGTTGCCTCATCATATACTCCCTTCTTAGTTTTATGTGTTAGTGACTTGATTGACCTGGCTAGGATGATTGATTGACTAGTTGATTGATTGATTGATTGATTGGCAGGTATGGTTGACAGTCCCCATCCACACTTTTCACAATACTTAATCAATCATTTCCAAACACATAATACCGATTCATTCCTTAAACAATTCCTTAGCTGAACATTGATTCACTTATTACCACTTTGATGACACATACACACACACTTTCGATCACTTAATCACACACTTACACTCATCATACACACACACTAATACCTCTTCAAATGATTGTGTGTTAACATTGATTGATCACCCTCACTTACCACTCTTACCACCATTTGTAGTGCCAGACACAGATATACACTGGAAGGGTGACTCCCCAATAGACGTTGACATGGTGGTGGTGGAACTAATTCGATCATCCACGCCCAACAACATTACTATCACTACCAAACAAACACACAACAACCATCAACCATCAACAATCAACAACTAAACAAACAAATACAGCTCATCATATATTTGTTGATCAACAACATCATCATCAATCACCTTCCAATCTTATATATAAGATTCCAACCTGGTTTATTACAACTTCCATCCTCTCTCTGTACATAAATATTTATTATTATTATTATTATTATTATATAATCCAGCACATATAGATGTATGTTTCCCTCCACCCTACCCTATCCTACCATATCCTTGTCCAATCCTCATCACGCTCACCAACACCCTCAACCTACATCATTCACTCACTCACACACCACCACCACATAAATACTATCCATTACAACGCTCTATTGTTCGTCTCCACTCATCATCATTCATAATGTATTGAATGATTCGTATCATGTTAGCATCTACTACCTACCTACCTACCTACCCTGTCCATTTGTGTGTTTATATTGCTCCAGCTTACACATCTGTCTATCACAACAGCGTGAATGTGCTTGTATGTGTGTTAGTGTTGGTGTTGGATGGCATCCTCACAACAACACCTCGATGGATGACTAGTCTACGACCAACCAACTGATCAAATGATCAACTGATCATACCGGGCAATTAAAGTACTACTATTAAGATATACATCTTATAACCTTCCTTTAATCAATCATTCACTCAAACATTCCACTCATTCATATATTCAATCATACAATCATACAATCATTCAATAATTCAATCATTATACTAACTTAACTTAATCTTAACTTATTACTTACTTACTTATTATTTATTTATTATTATAACAAACTTGCAGACATGACAATGGAATCACCAGTATTGTACAAACAGAACTTGGGTCATGACCAAGATCGTGCTGTAGAAAAGAGAAACCAATTCCTGGAGAAGGAGTTGGAGTACTTCAAGAGTGAGCTAAACTCTACAAGGAGGATATTAAATGAGCGAGATAATCTATTGTTACATCTACAATGGGACGAGGAGGATGCTCACATCGACTTTGAGGGACAGAAGAAGAAGACCACGCACAAGAAGTCAAAGGACAAGGTGTTGACTGAGGAGCGACAGAAGATCAATCGTCTACGTACACAGATGAAGCTGATGGAGACAGCATTGGAGGAACGCGATCAGAACATCATGCGTCTGGAGAAGGAGCTGTCAGACACCAAGGTCGTACATCAACACAACATTGAGACGATGCGTGCAAAGAGAGAGAGTCCACAGCGTAGCAAGACTTCATGGGGCTTCCGCACAGCATCATCCTCCCCACTGCCTCAATACAAGCCAGCCTCTCCATCATTGACAACAAGCCCGGGCAAGATGTCTTCGCCACTAGCTACATCGTCATCAAGTCCATCATCATCATCTCCTTCATCATCTACTACTAGTTCACCAGCAATGGCTTCACCAAGCATTGCCGGAACAACCAGTGGAGCAACAGGTGGTCAATCATCATTTGATGCCGAGTGGAGAAAGATGAACAAGAAGTCAACCAGTGTCTTCACGTTCAAGAAGAAGAACAAGCCAACTCATTCAAATGTCCAGGACACCAACTGGAATCAATAATCAATAACTACAACCTCGCTCGCGTTTCCACCTCATTGTAAACTTCAAACATTGTAAGACCATGTATGACCTCCATCCATCATCCTAAGAATCAATAAACTACTACTTCTCCCATAAGATATAACATTGATTGATTGAATGATACCATGTATGTATAACAACAGAGTATATTTATTATATGAATGAATAAGTAACAACAACTACATGGTTGAGCTTAGCTTAGTTCATGATAATTCCAACAAGGAGTCCAAGGCTAACACCAGATTGGTTGTAGTTCTCCTTCTTCCACTCCTTGACCATGTTCTTCCAGTCCTCAGAGATGTCATCACCGTGATGGAAGATGTTCAAGGTCTCCTTGACGACAACCTCAATGACGCCCTCAGCACCAGAAGACAACTCCTTCGAGACACTAATGATATCAGCGAGGAACTGAGTGATTCCGCACTCATCAAAGACGGGTGGAATCTCGGCCAAACCATTACCAACCACTATATCATTGATTGATTGATTAGTATCCATTTGTATGATTGATTGATGGGAAATACTTACACTCCATTCCCTTGGTGAAGTCTCTGGCGGAGAGATGATCGAATCCCTTGCCAATGAGGTGGAAACCGTTGGCAAAGTCCTCCCAGGCGGCATCAGACTCGGCGACACAGGTACTGACATTGCCGTTCATGGCAATCTCCATACCCTCGCAGAAACCAACCATGAAGTCACCAAACTCGGCTGGGGATGGTCCCTTTCCAAGGGTTTGGACTCTCTCGTGAACCTGGACGGCTGAAGCGCAGACGGCCAACATAATGATAATAGCAATAATTGATCTCATTGTATTTTAATATTTATCTATAATTTTAAAAGAATATATTTGTAATTATTATTATTATTAGTAAAGAATTTATGGATTATTAAGGTAGAGGCAGCATTGAATGATCGTTAATATGTGAGTGATAGATAGGAAGGATGTATGGAGAGTGCCAACTCAAGGGTGTTCCAATCGAATAAAGAGGGTTATTCAATTTGGAAGGACATAGGTGGCAAAGTAGGGCTTGAGAATGGAGAGGTTCCGATGGGGTTTGATAAATATACATACATAGAATTGAGAAGATAGAATGATAGTTGTAAGTATACTAATTGAATATTAATTTATAATCAATCCTTACAAGTCCATCAGCCAGTCAAGTCCCTTCCACTAGCGCGACACATTCACTCTATCAATCAACCAAACCAAACAATCAAACAGATGATAGTTAATTGAATAAAATAGAATAAAAATCAAGATGAGAGTGGATAATGTTGCCCATTAACAAATAATTATGCCGAGCTACCACGACATTAATTTACTCGTTACACGTATTAAGTGTGCATTGCGGCCTGTTGTAAACATTCCGAACCCCTGTTTGATTGTTTCGGCTTCAAGGTCCACAACAACACACACAACAGCGGGTGATTGAAAAAGTAATCGAGCTACACTGTTGCGAGGCCCCAACAACAACAGCAACATCTCAGACTACTTCAAACACAAGTGTTGGGCATCTCTCCCAGGTATCATGTGCTATGGCCACTGACAATTCCAAGTCTAGTTCAAACAGTACTAACCTATAAGTATGTCAATAGCGTGTTACGATCGAACCACCAATTAGATCTTTCTTTCGTCATTCGGCTGACCAAACCCACAGCGGGAGCGAGAGAGAGAGAAGATCTTTACTCTACTTTATAAATAGAATGTAATGTAATGCCGAGAAAGATCCAGACAACTCTGAATACGAATTGGGATTAGTGCAGGTGTTACTTGAATAACACAATATAACATCACATGTTGACAAGTAATTGTGAACTCTCGAGATAATTGGTTGTAAGCAATACTTACTTCCTCTTCGTCCACCGATGACTACTTGGTTTGCTGATGTTAGACATGACTCCAAGTACTCACTTTCCCAAAGAATGATATGATCTTAACTAAACAGTTTGTGGTTCTTTGATTTGGGAGTCCATTGACATTGTATTGGTATAATGTCGAGGTTATTGATCAACTGGTTCTTAATATCTATTATGACTTCATCTTAATATCATTTGAATGATTGTATGATTGGTCAATCAAATCAAAAAGTTGGAAACACAAATTTCAAGATCTATCAGACATTAATGTTTTATTAATCATTGTTATAATTATAAAGATGCAATCACTACCAGTGGTAGTACTTCGTTTGATATATGAGGAATTGGATGAGTTGGATGTGGTCTGCCTAAGCATCACATGCACACAATTACACAAGACTTTGATCACTTGGCCATGCTTCACTTTGATCAATACTCAACTCACTTGGACACGAAGAAACAAGAACATTGCCAACATTACAAACACTCCAGTCATCAAATCAACATTGTCCAACTCAAACAACAACATCGATACACTGTCACAAAGCTCGAATGAGATTGATAACTTGCCAAACTCACTTCTCAAGCTTCACCTTGGACCTCACTTTAACCGAACAATACCACCGGGTTCACTACCTCCCTCACTCACCGACCTAACCCTTGGCACTGTATTCAATCAGGTGGTCATGCCTGGCACATTGCCCACATCGCTCAGATCCCTTTCCTTTGGTTTCCTGTTCAACCAGCCCATCTGGCCAGGCTCTCTGCCTCCATTCCTCACCTCGCTTAGCTTTGGCTACACATTCAATCAACCACTGCGCTCGCTACCCACGACTCTGGTCGAGCTGAAGGTCGGACCCAACTACCATCAGCTGACATCAGACGTGGTGCTGCCAGCAAGCATCACCACTCTCTCCTTCCCATTCTCGCACCAGGCTCGATACCTGATGTGTGTGCCGGCCACTGCTCGTGTTCATACCGTCCGTCTATTGTATCCAATAGCCGTACATCACAAGCCACTGGAGCTTCACGCGTTGAATGGGCTGGCTCGACTAAAGACTCTGGTGCTGGGTTTGGAGTTTGACGCGAGCAAAATCGATCGCCAAACAGACGTGATCAACTTTAAGAATGCGATGGAGCACCTGCCCAATGTCGAGACATACATCCACATGTATCAAACTCCGCCGTCCACCGTCCGATCAATGTGTCGCCGACTGGACTCGAATGGCAACGCACTGATGGTGTTCAAGCGGCAAGTCCAGCCCAAGCCTGTAATCTATGTTGATGAATTAGTTGACCATCTATACTTTATTCGTTATGAAGCTATCGACACGTCTGGTCAATCAAAGAAGGGAGTCAGTCTCAGGCGATCACTGCTAGGCCTCTTCAGATCAAACAAGTAGTGAATGGACCTCTGGCCTCACTCCTTTTTTTTTTGATGTACACTCCCCCCTTCATTTTTTTTTTGGACTCGACAAACGAGACCAATGCATTGCAACGCGTTGCTTTCACATGAATGACGTCTTCGTCTTTGATCAATCATACATATACAAACATAAACAAATATATACACAGGATGTTTAAGTCATTAATTAGAAGCGGAGGCAAATGCCTGAATAAACAAACTACAATCAGAGTGTCAACTCTGCGAATTGCATCATCACCATCAGCAATTTCAATGTCAACTACATTCAAATCATCATCACCATCATCATCACTAGCATCATATAACAACAACAGTAGTAATAATATATCATCAGCATCAACATGTTTCAAGACGTCATTTCTGGGTCAAACTACTCCTACTACTACAACTGCAGCGGCAACTACCAGTCCATCATCAAATGGTGGAAACAGCAATACAATCGTTCGCACACAGAGATAGTATGTAATTGGTCATCATCATGCATCCATCACTGATACTGTTACTAACCAACTCGACCTGGATATGTCATCAACCAACATAACAGTAATCACACAGCAGCTCTAGAGTTGTTGACCCAATGTTTCACAAGTGGTAAGTTGTATGATTGATTGATTGATCGATGGATGGATGGATGGATATGGACACGAACATATACTAATCAAGTTCCAATCACATTACATAATAGACGGTACCTAAGTGTGATTTATCCATATGATTGATGATAGGTGATGGAGTCGGCGGGGTTGATAGTTGTTGGTCCGCCTGACCCATTCGACCATATCACCAAGTCCACAACAAACACACCAATACTAATACATTGTTTCCATTTATGAACCAATCAATCAATCAATCAATCAATATAGATGGCGATTAACATTTGATAATCAATACAACGAATAGAACATAATGTTATAAAGATATAGTAATTAGATAGATAGATAGAACAGAGATATAGTGTGTTGGATATCCAACTCAACGACAAGACATGACACTACACGACACGACATCACCATAATCACATCAGTGTGTCAGTGTGCCTCCCCCACTCGATTGTTAGACGAACACACACACATTTCATTGCATTGAGCATTGTTGCCAATAAATGTCATTGCATTCCGCCGACTTGGACACGACACTACACGATACCCCTTCACTCACACACACCATCGATCACACCCACACACACACACTCACATTGATTATATCTCAATTCAGATATATGATGAACATCACACTTCATCTGAGATATATGAAATGGTATTATGATGTATCACTTATCACATTTGTTAAATATTTGAATGTTCATGTTATTAATATTAGGGCATTGTCTGACCTGTGGTCATTTCCTCATCGAGACATAGTGTTCGATGGACTATTGGAATGCACTGGATTGGATTAATATGGACCTGGTTATTGAATTGAATCTAATCTGTACAACCTACAACATACAATATACCCACTAATATAAATATCCATATTGTCATTGTCAACTTTTCATATTTATTTTATAATTTCCAGAATAATATATCTAAGATTAGATATATTCCAATTTGGACCATCGACCAAACAATGATCAAACTTCAATATTTATTATTACTATCATGCTTCATTGGCACCATCTATGCCAGTCAATGTTTCGACTTTTCCTGTCATGTATACAGTATGTTTGATCAATAGTACCTGGAAATGGAATAATCCCAATCCCACTCACTCACTCACCCAATCAATCAATCAATTCTAGATGTGACATCAGCTGGATTGGATCCAGTTTATGGACCTGGACCAGGACTTGAGGGACATGCTTTGGCCTTTGCCGATGAGAAGGTACCAGGTGGAATTACAAAGTACGATTTTTATAACAACTATGGTGTGATGACCGTCGTTGACAAGAACACTCTGATTGTGACTGGCACAATGGTTCCATCGACAGGCGCCCGTGCCCCATACATTGAGGCCAAGCTGGTCTTCCGTCCATTCCAATGCACAACATGTGCCAACCCCAAGCTCGAGTTGCAGGCCAACGCCTACGTCCCCGCCGGTCCAATCGACCCATGCTCATGGAAGTACTTTGTGATCGACACTGCCGCTTCACGTCTTGTTGGCAAGGATCTTGAACTCGAGGGCTGGGATATCATCCTGACCCCACACATGGGCATGCCACTGCAGGTTGGAAAGGGTGCCAACGGCAAGAACCTCAACTTGGGCATGTCCAGCTGGTTCTCATTCGAGTTTGTCAAGAATGGAACACGCTACACCTCACCAAACGTCGCCGACATCAACGTCGACCTCACCTGTTCTGACTGTCCTTCGGGCGACTACGCTGCAACAGCTGCCATGGGCCCAACTGGCGGCCAGTCTGCCTACGTCTCCTCGACCGATTTGACACCATTTGGTGGCTTCCAATCATTCGACTTTGTCAACAAGTCAGGCAACCTGCATCTGGAGTCCAATGGCGACATGCTCCTCACAGGCACCCTGTCCCCAGTCAGTCACGACTCACCCCTGCTCACATGCAGCCTCCTGTTCCACCCCAACAGAGACTACTTCAGATCGATGAAGCTTGAGCTCGACTACCACGTCTACTTCCCACAGGGCTGGGTCGATCCAGGCACCTACATCTACTACGACATCGACACTCACAACTCGCAGTGTATCTCTGGCGAGACCACCATCAAGTTTGTCGGCGACATGATGATGCCAATGCAGTTGGGATACGGCGCCAATGGCAAGAACATGAACTATGGCATGGCCGTCTGGTTGCAGTACAGCGTCATTCGTGGTGGTGTCGAGGTCGAGGGTCCAGACTACATCCTTGACTTTAACGTCGATCTCACATGCCAGGAGTAAGACATTCATGTGATTGATTGATTGATTATTTGAATAAATAGAATGCCAAGTATTTATTATATATTAGGCCTACAACATTGACAACATGATCAAGGTGGCCAACATGAGGGCGAGGATCTTTGATGGGCTAACATCACTGGCAGTGCTTGGGTGATCTGTTGTGGTTGAGGAGATGGTCGTAGATGATGTGGTGGTTGTTGGAGATGAGGTGGTCGATGTGGTTGTTGTAGTACCTGGAGCAGTAGTCGAAGTAGTGCTGGTGGATGTAGTGGATGAGGTAGTTCCTGGAGCAGTGGTCGAGGTGGTGCCAGTGGTCGAGCTTGTACCACCTGATGTAGTCGAGGTGGAAGTGGATGTGGATGAGGTGGTAGTTGGGCCGATGAGGTTCAACTGGGTGGCATTGTAATAGTTGGTGTAAAGACTCTTGACATTGAGACTGTGGATGCCTGGTACGGTCAGTTTGTTGGCCACGGTGCAGACGAGGTAGGTATCATTGCCGCTAATCAGGGCGCATGGCTCGTTGTCAACGAGGACGTGGGTATCGTTGAGGATGGTCGAGTCGTTGGCCTGGGTGACGGTGAAGTTGACACCGGTCAGGGTCAGCTGGCCATTGGCCATGTCATAGGAGTAGCCATTGACCAATGGGTTCTCTTGGAAGTTGCAAGCGTGTGGGGTGAGCAACCTAAACAACATGGTGGGACCCGTTGAGCCGGAGTAGGTAAAGGAAGTGGAGGCATCGCTACACTCGATACTGATGTTGGCAGTGATGACCAATGGGTCGGCACCAAGGAGCATCAATTTGGATAGTGGCGTTGAACTGGTCGAGGACATGTCCATCTTGGGTCTGTATCTCATGTTTGGGCCACCAATCGTGGTACCGCTGCCAGCAGTGGTATCAGCTGCATCGGTGGTCGAGGAAGAGGTGGTGGTCGTGTCTTTCTCAGTCGTGGTGCCAATAGCTGGCATAGTTGTTGTTGGAATAACAGATGTTGGTATGCCAATTGTTGGCACACCCATTGGACCACCTGGGCCCATTGGGCCACCCGGGATACCAATAGCTGGACCGACACTAGTCTGTGAGTTATAGTTACCTGTGCCATAGTAGCTTAGAATGACAGACTCAGACTCTGTGAAGTATGGTTAGTCGATCGATCGATTGCAAGAATGAATGAATGAATGAATGATGATGATGTACATACGAGTGAATACAAAGCCATCGAGTTGAGCAAATGCTGACTTGTCGGAAGGTGTCATGGAGTTTGAATAGCAGGCAACAGTGTTGTTGTCGCCAGATGGGTAGTCATGGCACACTGCACTTCTATCACAAATGTTCACGGTGATGATTCTCCAAGTCATTGGATTGATAGCAGTATATCCCTCGTCAACTGGTCTGTTTTAATATAAGTATGTTAACAGTAAGTATGAGTGGGACATTGGTTCAAGAACCATGGACAGAGACGACATACTTTTTAAGTTGGCTAAAGTCCAAAGTGCCCAAACCACATCTTGGTGTGGCGGCATCAACAATGGCAACAATGGCCACAAAGACAATTACAAAGATTGATTTGTAATTCATGTTTATATATGTTATGTATGTATAAGTATATGTAAGTAATCAAGTTATTTGATTGATTGATTGAATGAATGATTGGTTGATTGAACGAACACACTGTGGACTGATAAATAGAGTTCCATAGCAGTCGAAACGGGAAGGTAGATGGACCAACATTGTGTTCTGTCTTGGTGCACTATGCGATGAGGCACATCGTATCGGTCAAACGATAAACACTGTCGTATTTTTGGCTTGGATCATGACGATTAACTTGTTGATCGTGGGTGACACAAGTCCGATCCAACTTACATCTCAATGGCCTGTCCCGCAATAACTACGGGGCCAAAAACTCTCAAAAACTTTTGGTGTCATGCAACCTAATCCGATCCATCAACAAGTGGAGACACGTCATGCACCTTTTAAACAACATACACATTCAAGGAATCATTCTGATACATTCCCCATGACTTAAATCAATAAACTCGGTATTTATCCAGACTAGGGAAGAGTAATAGAATATGTGGAATTGTCATTAATGTAGTTATTGATTGATTCATTGGAATAGTTCCAATATCGTTGATCAAATATATATCGGGGATGATGGAATATTAGGTTATGTTAGTGAAACTTATATTAATAAGTTGATGTTATTATTAACTTTATTGAATGATTGATTGATTGACATTGAGTGATTGATCATATATCATGCCCCACATCCAACGAATCCCACTGAAACCCAAATCAATCAATCAATGTGACCCCACCCAACTCACGTTCGTGGTCCTACTTTGATGTGATGGGACAGAACAATGTTCTGAATGAGCCCACTCAAACACTTTCATTCATTCATTCCACTTTGTTATAACACATATTATATATATACACATCAAACAAAGATGATGACATCTAGAGGATTGATCAGTGTGTTGGTGTTGGTGACGGTTGTCGCCTCAATCGCACATGCTAGACCTTACAGATCACACCTTTACAACACTCAGGAGCAGCAACAACAAACAGATTCTGCAGTCAAGTGGAACTACCTCTGGTTCAACCAGACATTGAACCACTTTGATGCTGAGGACAACCGCACCTTCCTCCAGCGCTACTACGTCAACGACGCATACTACGATTATAAGAAGGGTGGCCCAATCATCCTTTACATCAACGGCGAGGGCCCCGTGTCACAGCCACCCAACTCACCCACCGACGGCACCGTCGTCTACGCCAAGGAGATCGGCGCTATGATCGTCACACTGGAGCATCGCTACTATGGAGACTCGTCGCCCTTCCAGACGCTGTCCACCGACAACCTGCGCTACCTGTCATCGCGTCAGGCCCTCAACGACCTCGCCATCTTTGTGCTCGACTTTAAGGCACAGACTCCACACGCTAAGCAGATCATCACGATCGGTGGCAGCTACTCGGGTGCATTGTCCGCCTGGTTCCGCGTCAAGTACCCACATGTGTCAATTGGCAGCATTGCATCATCGGGAGTCGTCAACGCCATCCTCGACTTCACCGCCTTTGACGAGTGGGTCGCCTTTGCCGCCGGCCAAGAGTGTGCCGACGCCCTGCGAATGGTCACCTTTGAGACTGAGCAGCAGGTGTTTGGCGGCAACGCCACCACCGTCAAGCAGTTGTTCCAAGCAGAGATGCTCACCGACGATGGTGACTTCTTCTACTGGCTTGCCGACTCAATGGCCGAGGGTATCCAATACGGTTTCCACGACCAACTCTGCAACCCACTCATCGACACCATGAAGTACGGTGGCGACATCCTCGTCACCTACTCCAACTACACCCTCAATCTCTGGGGTACAACTCTCGGAACACCTGCTGAATATGCGTATGTATGATTGATCGTGTCTTGTAAACACTTGTACTTACTCGCGCGCCACACTACACATACTTAGTACTCAATGGCAACAGAACACTACACATGATATCAACAAGGCTGATAGACAGTGGTGGTTCCAGACATGCACTGAGTTTGGTTACTTCCAGAATGCGCCAGCAACTGGATCAATCAGATCTCAGATGGTCAACATGACCTATCATCGTACTCACTGTGCCAACGTCTTTGGCGCACCACTCTGGCCAAACACTCAAGCTACCAACGACTACTATGGAGGTAACCAAACTGCTGGTACCAACATCGTTTGTATGTATTAATTGGAACAATCCCTTATTACCCTTTAATGATTGATTGATTAATTGATTGATATCTAACTCATACTATTACTATTAGTCACCAATGGTAGCCAGGATCCATGGTCACGTGCATCAATTACTCGCCAACTGTATCCATCTGAGCCATTGCTTGTTGTCGACTGTCTTAACTGTGGTCATTGTGTTGACCTCCGTGAGTGTCCAGGCGGTTGTGCATCACCAAACAACCTTGAGGAGATCAGACACGAGTCCCTCAAGTATATCCAGACCTGGTTGCATGAGAACCATGAATAAACAGACGACACATATTGTTGTGTGTTGTGTCGCATCCAATTTCATCAACTTCATCAACATCGTTTTTGCATCATCCAACTCACGAAAAGTAATGAATGAATTGAATTACATTGTTTGAAACAGATAATATACATATAGAGATATAGATATAGATATATAGATATAAGTATATAGGATGCCTAGACCACCACCTAATAATAGACTGTATAGTAGTTCGTTACTTAAACAACATGATATATGGACATCAATGGATGATGGCCCAAGAGGAGGAGGAGGAGGTGGTGGAAGGAATGAACCACCTCCAAAGGACCCTAACCTTCATGGTCCCTCACTAGAGGTCACGGATAACTATAAGGGTCTGATGGCTATTGCCAGACTGACTGGAGCAGCGGACAACCAAGCGGTCACTAGAGGATCATGCAAGAAGTGTGGACAGGTCGGCCATCTTACATACATGTGCACCAATCTCGTCAATTACAGTACTCAAAAGACAACTTCATCGTCTGGCGGCGCAGCTGGATTGCTCAATAATGGCGACGATCTTGATGAGATATCAAGTACATCATCAGAGGACAGTAGTGATGACGATGACTTTAGTGATGATGATAATGCAGTGACCAAGTCATCAAAGGATAAAGATAAGAAGGATAAGAAGGATAGAAAGGAAAGGAAGAAAGAAAAGAAGAGAGAGAAGAAAGAGAGGAAGGAGTTGAAGAGGAAGAGGAGAGAGAAGAAGGAGAAGAAAGAGAAGAAGAGGAGGGAGAAAGATGATAGGGGTAGAAGTAGGAGTAGAAGTAGGAGCAGAGATAGAGATAGAAAGAGAAAGGAGAGAAGTGCAAGCAGAAGTACAAGTACAAGCAGAAGTGAGAGTAGAGGTAGAAGAAAGGAAAGCAAGAGAGATAGGAAGAAATCAAAGAAACATCATCACAAGAAAGATAGAAAAGACAAGAGAAGCACAAGCTCAAGCAGGAGTAGGAGTCCAAGTTCACCAACAAGGACAAACAAGACAAATGACAACAGAAGAAGTAGGAGTATAAGTAGGAGTAGAAGTCCAAGGAAGTACGACGATCCAAGAGATAGAGATAGAGGAGGAAAGGAAATATCAAAAAGAAGGAGCAACAGTCCAAGTAGAAGCAGATCAAGAAGTGTACAAAGAGATCGAGACAATGTAGACAGACGCGAGACAACAACCACAACAACAACGACAAACCGCAATTGATGGATCATCACAAGCACTCTACAATGTAATGAAACTGGCAATGACAATGGCTATGGCAATGACAAATACACATACACTGACAATGGGACAATGGCAATGACACTTGTGCATGGATGATGATGATGGTTGTGTCTTACCTACTTCAGTGTGTGGCGAACAACTTGGAATCACCATGGCGAACCATTGTGTGATGTTGGCCCAATGTATATATTTTATCCATATATATTATTATTATGATTATTATTTGTATATATATATATATATATATCTATGTAGTTATTGTAATAATTATGTTGTTGTACAGGTATACAGATACAGATTGAACATACATATACATATACATATAAGTAAAGAACCCATCCTACATTCATTCATTCATTGTTTACCCCCACTCACTCATTCAATTCAGATGGATGTCCAACTTCAACTTCAACTTCAACTTCACTACCCATCCAGATGTGATGTGTTTGATACACCTCAACCATACTCGCTACTACTATTACTTCAACTACATTATCTCTGACGAATACAACACAAACCCACACCACATTCACACACAAACACACAATTGGATACAGATAAACATAATTATATACTTATATAGACATTTATTACATGTATAATAACATAGACACAAAGTTGTGTTTGTTGTATATCTATCTCAATGGGCTGATATGGAAATAATCATTAAGTATGTGGCAGCAGGGTTGTTGTTTGTTTGCCCAGAGGACACTGTCTCAGCCTCATCCTTCCTTCCAGAGACTTGCTTGACCCAAGGTACATGTCCACCCGTGGATGTATAACACTTAAGTCCATCCAACAACAATTAACATTTATTATTATTCACAGATATTCTGACATTGACAGAGAACAAGTTAAGAGTATTGTCGAACAACATTATATTATTAATATTATTATTATACTTTATGAAGATAGAAGGACAGGTATACTACAGAGAAATAATTATCAACAAGACAAGAAATGTAAGTCACTATTTAATATATATGCTTATGTTTCGATCGAATGATTGAAAGAATGAAAGAGTGAATGAATGAATGAATGATTGATAGATAGATCGTAATAAGGATGATGACGACGTTTGTGGATGTGTGTGATTGATAGAGAGAGTAAGTGGTGCATACACCACGATATTCCGTGTGTTAGATATATGATTGGATCAATAGATGGGCGTCTGTGATCACAAAGACGGCTGCTTATGATGGTCAATTGTTGACACTGACCATCAGTGTCCTATAGAATGATACAATATATTATTGATTTGAATTGACATCGAATCACTTTGGAATAATAATAATAATATCCAGACTGTATTGTCTGAAGAAGTAGAGACTGTGTACTAACTACTACTATCTTACTACTTTATCACTACTGGATTGCAATCAATACAGAGTTAATCGAGACATATAAATGAAGTTATGACTACATCTTCCAGAACTTTGATATATATTTATTGCATAGGTTTGGTGCTATGTATACATGCTACTGGTATGTATCCAATCATTCATTCAATCAATCAATCAATCAATCATATCCAACAAACTATTAATTTAATTACTCGCTCAATCAATTAATTAGAATGGAGAACATACAATGGATACAACAATAATCTATTGAATCCAATGCAGGGAACACCAAATACAACACTTATGAGATTGTTCCCATCACTACAATTCAATCCAGGTGTATTTCTAAACTCTACATTGCCACCTGTTAGAGAGATCAGTAACGTCGTCATGGACCAACCATATCAAATAGTGTCAGCCGAGAAGATCACAGACATGGGTAACATGTGGGGTCAGGTAATGTATAACAATCTCATTCATTCAATCAATCTATCAATCATGATCATCGTCTAACAATATTCCTATTCCCTTATTCAATGATCTGTCAGTTCTTGATTCACAACATGGCATTCTCAAAGCCTGATCCAAACTATCCAATGCCAATTCCAGTGCCCAAGTGTGATGCATACTTTGATCCAAGATGCACTGGCAACATGACCATGCCATACTTCCGAACTGGATTCACCAAGGTTTCATGCACCAAGACTACGTCTACTCGCCAATCAGATGGATTCTGCTACGAACAAATCAACACAATGTCATCATACATTGATGCCAACCCTGTCTATGGTACTACCAAAGATACTGCCGACTTGTTGAGATCAGTATGTATACATTCCCGAATCGACCGGACCAGTAACACATACATTGAGCAATACTAACATCACAATATCATTCACTTTAGTTTGACAAGGGCAAGATGATTGTCGACCATGGTCCAAATGGAGACATGCCACCAAGAGGTATCAGTGGAGTCACAATCGATAATGATGCCAGGAGATACCCAACCGATCAACTGTTCAGTGTTGGAGAGAGACGTGGAAATGAGAACCCAGGCCTCACTTCAATCCATGTCGTGCTGCTTAGAGAGCACAATAGATTGGCAGACAAGTTCGGCAGACTCAATCCTCAATGGGACGACGAAGCAATCTTCCAACAGACCAGAAGCTGCATCATTGAGCAGGTCCAGAAGATATCATACGAGGAGTACTTGACCACCATCCTTGGAGAGTTCCCTCAATACACTGGATACGATGAGAACACCGATGTCTCTGTGTCCACCGAGTTCACCACTGCTGCATTCAGATTTGGACACAGCGAGGTTGGTCCCAACATTGAGATGGTCAACCGCGACGGCAGCTTTGGAAAGCCCCTGTCCATTCGTGACGCCTACTTCAACCCAACAGCCCTGGACAATGGAATTGAGAATGTTGTCCGTGGTCTCATCTACAAGCAAGAGGCCAATGTCGATATCTACATTATCTCTGAGCTCCGCAACTTCTTGTTTGGCAAGCCTGGTCAGGGAGGAATGGACCTCGGTTCGAGGAACTTGATGCGCAACCGTGATCACGGAATGCCATCATACAACCAAATGCGCCGATACATGGGCCTGCCAGCCGTCAACACATGGGCCGATATCTCATCAGATATTGAGGTCCAGGAACGTTTGAGATTCGCCTACCATGGAGACATCGAGTTGGTGGACGCCTACGTCGGTGGTCTTGCTGAGGACCACATGTACAAGGCAGCCGTCGGACAGACCTTCTACCACCTGATCCTTGACCAGTTTGTCCGAACGAGAAAGGGAGATAGGTTCTGGTATGAGCTGCCAGAGATCAGAAAGGTCAACGAACAGTGCGAGTCAACTTCATTCTCAAAGTTGATCAGGAGAAACACCAATGACATTGGTCCTCTACCAAAGAACGTGTTCCTCTTGGCATCCGACTCCAACCCATTGGAGAATTGACGACTTATTCGATCGCGACAACAATAAATAGTGTGAACCAATCGATATATATAAATAATCAATCATATAACAATGTTGTTTAATCAATGATCAGAGTCTTGTGTTACTTTTAAAACAGTCCAGCATCATATCCTGTAGTTTGATCTGATAAACTAGATGTGGCTGCTTTACTTTTAAACCCGTCAAGGTCATGTATCTCCAGCTCGGCCCAGAGTGATTCATTGGTTTCACAAATTGGAACACAATGAGTTGGTGAGTATCGATTGGACTACACAGTACAGACATAGTCTTACCAGTGATCCACTGATACACTCCTGTCACCTCGCTGCGCTTCTTATTATTTGTCATCATCGTCCGGTTGTCCTGAATCATCCTCATCAGCTTCTGCTTGTTCTGGTTCCCTTTCATCATTTGTTTCAACAAACTAACATCCCAATTCAATGGACAACATATTTGTAATACAGAGAATTGTTAAGTACTTGGCTGCTGACTCCTATCGTGGGGTGTTCATTCGCGTTAACAACGCACCAGGTCGATCAGGCAGACAAAATCACTGGAGTTACACAGCAAACTACCAATGGATACTATCTACTTCACTCGTCTCTTGGAAGTACTTCACTGCAGTGAAGACTCTAAACAAATGCTTCACCGCACGAATGGACAGCCATGCCACGAACGCGATACAGTGGGTCAATCTTCTTGCCCAGCATCTGAGGCGTCTACACCTTCAACCGCGTTGCTCAGACTTCTCGATTTGGTCACTTATCGACACGGTCGACATGAAGCTCCCAAGTAACGGCTCAAAGATGGGAGACAAGTATCAGATGATCACACAAGAGACTCTGGCACTACTTCTGGATCTAGGCATCAATGTTAGGTCTTGGGTCGGAGGCGTCAAGGTCAGTGCGCCACAGTTCACCAACAAGCTCGATCGTTTGGAGAGTCTGGAGTTTGAGTTCAACATGGACCTGGACTCACCCTACGAGGCCCTGGCCTCCATAACCCAGACCAACTTTCCCAGTCTAAGGCATCTCACGTTGATCCCCTTCCCATCAGGTTCTGGCGAGAGCTTCTTGAGCCTTGCCCACCAAGTCTTTCACCCACATCACCTCATTGGAGATCATTGACAACGAAGACAGTGGTATGATCGATGGCTGCAGCGTATCGATCATTGAAGATACAAATTTCTTTGAGGGACTGCACGCGATCGCTGGGTTGACGCACCTCTGTCTCCATCTCAAGTTTGGTTATAGCCAGCTCGACGAAGACTCATCGGACTTCAACCTGAATCTCGTTGAGTACCTGATTAGCACGCCCTCTCTAACATCGCTCAGTCTGCCCCGGACTCGCCCCCTGAGGAACAACACACAGCTCCTCAAGTTCGTCCTGCAGTCCTCTCAATCCCATATCAAGCGTCTGAACCTGTCCAATATGTCCAAGCTCCTAAAGATCGATAAAAAGTTGGAGTACGCTCGACTTGCCTATGACGTCGAAGAGCCCTTGGTGTGTCATGACGATAGTCCGCCTGCTTGCACCAGAGAGGAGATATTGCAATCGTTTGGCAATGTTAGTCATCTGCGTCTGGTGGACTAAGGCATCCAATTCGGTCATTTTGTGCTTGAGCATTGCCCCAACGTCAGGACACTGCGTCTGTCCGGTCGTAATATCAGTGACACTCAACAAGAACACAACATTGCGCCAGCTTTGTATACCAAAGAATGTCTGGAAAGTCGACAGAGCTGATTTGGATAGGCATCTGAGACTAGCTGTCGAGAATCATCCAACAATATCGAGATATTGGATGAAGTATTAGTATCCAGCATGTCCATGGAATCATACCATTCCATCCATCCCTCGCCTCACCTCGCTGTTACCAAACCTGGTAAACTTTGTTGGTGAAACAGCTAATTTATATATTTATTAATTTTTGATGTAGTGGTGTTTAATCAATGATTAGAGTCTTGTGTTACTCTTCAAACAGTCCAGCATCATATCCTGTAGTTTGATCTGATATACTAGATGTGGAATGTCATTGGGACTGAAGCGTATGGTTGTGGACAATGATGGAAACATCCACTGAATATTGTTTGGGTTGAACCCTGATGATGTTTCCAATCCATCCAGAGCAACAACCTCTTGAGTTTGGTTGAAGTATTTCAACCTCTTTTGCTTCTTAGCTCTTCTTTTCTCCTTCTTTCTCTTCTTTGATGACAATGATTGGTCATCATCCTGATCCTCATCATCTGATATTATCGGTTGGTTAATTTCCAGATCGAGTTCTGATGTGGCTGCCACTGATGTATCTATGTCATCATCATCCGATTTGTGTGAGCTATATAGTATTGAGTGTTGCTTGAAGAAGGTCTCCAATTGATCCAAAGACAATGTAGGTATTATCCTCTTTAGAATGAAATAGTATTGGAATGACTCCAATAGGATGAATCGAATGGATGCTTTGGTACTATTGGATACTGAGTTGTTCTTGATTGTCAAGTATGATTGTCTGAGAAGTGACTCTGACTCTGCTGTATCTGTCTTGAGCAATGAGTTCAATTCATCCATCCACTGATTACATGACTTCTCAAGCTTGTCGAATGCGCCGTGTTGTACTGTTCCCTCATCATCATCATCCTGCTTCATGAACAGACGATTCATTAACTTGTTGATATTGGTCAATGTGATTGAGTTGTACAACAACAGATGTTCCAATGAATCCCAATTGCAAGATATTACCAGACAGCTTAACAAATGTGTACTCATGTCCAGATTGCGAGATGGAAGCTTTAGAGTGTATGAGTCAATGGCTCGTTGTCGAATGAGTCCTTGACAGTAATCCAATAAGTCGCTTGATGTCATGAGCTTGAGAACTGTGAATGGGACATCGCTGCTCTCGAATAGTACACCAAGTGCATCGTCGATCTGATCTTCAATTGAGCGATCTCTGCCCTCCAAGAGCAGGTCGTATAGATCTTCGACAAAGAACATCGCGTCGACCACTAGGAATGAGCCATCCATCATTGCCTCCCTGCCATAATCTTGCCAGAAGCGACGATCATTGAGGAAGTTCTTCATTGTTGCCTGAACATCGAGTTGAAGCAACATCTCTCGCTTTTGTGCTGCCACTGGTGGAGGGACGGGACTTTTGCGCCACACCAATCGATGCCATACTTTGTCACGATTAGCAAACATGTATCGCTCCAATGCCAATGCACCATACTTGTTCTTGCCATCGTAGTGAAAGTGTTGGAACCAGAGATTGACTCGCTGCTCACTTGCTTGAAAGAAGTCAATGATCCACTGACAGTCTTGATCGAAGCGATTGCGCACAAGTAGTCTAGCCATCTCCTTTGGGAATCGTTCGCTGAGATATACTAGCACCTGTTTGATAAAGTCGTCTGCAGCATTGGTGGCGACGTCATTCTTGTGTCGGTCTGATGATTGATCGTGTCTGTGGCGTCTGCTTGAGAGAGCCATGCGGAAGTTTGACCAGAATAACTTCTTCATCTTTGTCTGGCGCACATCAGGCGCAACGACATCAGCCAGTGACATCAATGTATTGTACAGTGTGAGCTTCAGTTCGTTTGTGAGGGAGTTGTTGTTGTTGTTCCCAAAGAGTGATGACTTTAGAGCGCTCTCCAAGCCATCTAACATAGACATCCTCCATTTCAACACTTGACCATCATCATCTACATTATTGTTGTTGTTGCTGTTGTTGGTACTTGGTATGACGTTGAGCAAGAGGCCATTACTCATCATCATTGATGTGCATGTATCTGAGACTGAGCTTGTGTTTGATTGATTGATCAGTGGGCAGAAAATAAACAAAGTTATCGCTTTGGTAATTGAGTTGGAGATGACTAATTGTCATAATTCTATCAATCAATCAGGATTATATACTATACACGATCACTGTTGTGTGTCCAAACAACAACAGTGATCAAACAACCTTAGGTTTATTATTATAATCGCCAATCTTTAACTCTTGCCTTCCCAACCAACAACCTTATCGTTCGCTTAGTAGGACAGACAGGAGGATGATCAGGAGGATAACGACAAAGCTAAAGATTATCACAGTGGCAGCAACCACCGAACGTCTGTTGGGGAGTAATCGGTTCTTCCTCTTGTTGATCCACAATGGTGACAGAACATCCTCCGAGGAGCTGTCCACTGAGATCTCTTGTATCGATGAGCCTGGCGATCCTGTATGTACACTGCTGCCGCTGCTGCTACTGCTACTGCTGCTGCTGGCGGCCTCGTCGTGGATGTTGATGGAGATGTCTCCGCCATTGGACGACGACGCCATCAATGAGTCGGGTTGATTGTTTGCCGTGAGTATGCTGTCGACAAAGGACAACTGCGAGTTCCTGCGTGTGGCGCGCTCGAGACGAATGACCTCGAGCTTCTTGATCTCGTTCTCCAGCTTCTTGATTTCGTTCTCAATCTTGTTGTGCTCGGCCATGAGTGTCTCGACGACGGACTTTTTCGAGATGACAATGTCCTGGTTGGTCTTGATGTTGAGTGACAGTCGCAAATATGTCCACACAATGATATCGATCGCAGCCTCTGACATGGGCTCCGATAGCACTCTGATCTCCTGTTTCAATGTCCCCAAACAACGCTCCAAGTAATGTAGTCTGTTCCTCGACTTTTGATATTCGGTCATTTCAAAGTTCTCAAGTTCCTCCAATATACTGTTACCATTGTTGTTGATTAGGTCATTTTGTAGCTCATTAACATTGATGCTGTTGTTACTGCTGTTGCTGCCGCCAATGCTGCTGCTTCCTCCATTGCCACCATTGTTCTCCATCACCACAATCTCGGGTGCGGCATGAGGTTGGGAGGCCTGTTCGCCGCCTGGAGGTACTACGAATGAACTGATCTCCATGTTGCACTCGAGAAGACTCTCCAAGTTGACACCAATGTTGTTAAGATGCTCCATCTCTTGTCGCTTCATGTCCTTCTCCTTGCGCATGAACTTGATTCGACGCTCCTTCCTCGCACGATTGTTCTTGATGATCTCCTTGGTCTGAATGATGATTGAAAGTGAGAGCGCAAGGAACATGCGCTGATCAGTTTGCTCGGCCGCCTGCAACATCTGCTCAAACTCGACGTAGATGGCGCGTTGCTCCTCCACAATATTCTGCTCGAAGCGCTGCACAGAGGCGGCGGCGTGACGAATCACCGACGTGACAAATGGATGAGCCACATCGAGGTTGGACTGCAACAAGACGCCAATCTCCTTGGCCATGCGTCGCTTGGCCAGTTCCTCGAGGAAAGTGATGTCATCGCCAGGCATGGGCACCAGCTCGATCGTCGGTGAGTACTTCAGGTCAATGTCTGTCGACTGCATTGAGGAGCGCACAAAGTGAAGCAAGAGGTGGTGCTGCTTGGTGGCCACCCAGTACCAGGCCAGGCCGCGCCTCAGCTCAGCAATGTTGGTCTGGTCCTCTGGTGATATTGTGAAGCCGCCATTGATCTGCTGGCCAATCTGATGGCAGTACTTGTGTATCTTGTTCTTCATGATGCGGTCCGTGTTGGGGTACTCGTCAAAGTTGGAGAGGTAGGCGATCTCCTTGTTGACGGGCGTCGTGATCTTGTTCATCTCCTCGTCGAGGTACTTGGAGTGCACGTCATCAAAGAACTCGCACAGGTAGCGCTCGCACATTGTCGTGGCCATCGAGTACAGCGGGTACTTGAGGGGCGAGCGCGCCTCCTTCTGGTGCTGCACCAGATCAAACTCGAACGGGCGATTGCCAAAGTTGATGCTGAACTTGTCGCCGTAGGATATGGTGCCGATCGTGGCGTACAGTCTGTTGATGCTGAGCGATGGCGTCGTCTTGCCAATCAGCACGCCATTCTTTGTGAAGAAGATATGCTTGTTGATAAAGTCGATTCCACAGCCTGCCGTATCATTACACTCCCATGGATCGCTGATCTCCTTGCCCATCACTGGGTTGGGGTACATGCCACCGTCGCCTCCATGATAGCTGACTGCACTCTTCAACACCTGCTTCTTATCATTCGTCTCACAAGATGTAGAGTAGCCTATAAATACATTCCTGTTCGTTTGTTTGATTGATTGATTGAGTGAGTGATTCATCATGATCATTCAGTGTCGCGCGAGACTGTACTTACTGGTCGACACCAGCTGCGATGAGGGTGATCTCAAAGTAGGCATAGTTGAAGTTGCCGTAGGGTAGTGGCGCAACCTTTTTGCGCGACTGGATGAAGAGGGTGGAGTCAGGCTTGGACCTGCGCGTGTTGAGTATGGTGATGGGCGCGTAACGATTGGCATAGGGATGGCTATGCAATCTAGCCTGTTGTAATCTATCCAATCTGTCATCGTATTGTATATCAAAGTTGTTGATCGTTATCTTCTTTGTATGCACATACTTGAGAGACGACTCATCGCTCAAATACAAAGGCGTGAAGCACATCTCACTCAATGTCCTATACATTCCAATATACTCTCTTCGCCAATCAACAGAGTCTCTTAATATATTATTGATGTCTGTTTGATTGATTGATTGATTGATTGATGGGGATGGATGTTAGCGAACGCATGAGACTGACTTTGTTAACGTCCAACTCTGAACATACTCTTGCTGATTCGAAAGTCCTTTATACATAGATGTTGCCAAAGGGACTTGCTCTTGGCCAGTTGATGAAAGTGCCGTGAGATTGGTGATATGTTGGAGCAGATATCACTTGATTCAAAGTTCTTCATGACAACTTCTAGCACTTCATTAGGCAGTGCATATATGAATGGTGGCTGTGTATCTGTCAATGTTGTTGTCAATGTAGTCGATGTGGAGGGCACTATTGAATCATCAACAAGTTCAAAACCTGCAGCAGCTGACAATGGAACATTCATTCCTTGTTGTGACAACATGCTGGTCAAAGGCTTTGCTGCTTTAAGACCCTGCATTATATCCAATCGATGTTCATCGAATATTGACGACATGTCTCTGTATCTCTGTATCTCTGTATCTATATATGTCGTTCACAATATCTTGTTTGCTTGATGCTACTAACTTCAAGCAAGTTGAAGAATGAAATGAACTTGACTGACTTATGTATATGAATGAATATGAATATGTATATGTATAAATATGATCGGTATGTGATGTTGTTGGGACACACAACTAGAGGTGAGTGAGTTATAAGAAGATGAAGTAGGGGGTGTTATTACACGGTTATGTATGTGTGTGTGTGTGTGTTCGATGGGATTGATGGTCAGTTGAGAAACGATCTTTAGATGGGGTGGACAACAACAATGTTCTAGATGCGCGCTAATGTTTGTTGTTGAAATTAAGTTAATAATGATGAAGATGATAATGATGATGAAGTATCACATGTACAATAAATATAAATATAAATATATATATACAAACTATATACAATGAATGAATGATTAACAGAACAGTACAAACAATGATGTTGATGAACATAAATGTATTAGCCACACAACATAACAAATACGATATCATCATGGGGCCAATGTGCAAGGATTCAAGGTCCTTCCTACTTTGGTGGCCCACCCATTTTTTGAAACTCAGTGTTGTTGGCACAGGATGGATGGATGGTGCCAACAAGTCCCAATTTGTACCCCATTTTGGCGATTCGATCGACTCACCAAGGTATCCCTTCATTCATCCAATCCTTCCATCCAAGTTCCAAGCGTACAACTATTGTACATACATACATACATACATACATAATGATGGTTTATTCTTCATCCACACCACTAACAATTCCATTATTGTCATCGTCTACTTGTGATACTAGAGGTGCACCATCGGTAGCTGCAACTGCAGAAGATACTGTCGAGGCAGAAGATGAAGAGGCGGAAGTGTTGTCACCAGCCTTCACAGCGGTGTCGTCGATAAAGTCTTCTTCACGCTCGAGATCATCGGATTTGTAATGGAAGTTGGCCACCACGTTGTTGGTCTGCGGGTTGTGTTGCAGCGAGATGATAAACTGCGAGTACGGATGGAAGATGTAGCTGGCGTACTTCTTGGCCTGCCGCTCGTTCTTGTCCTGCACGCCCGTGCTCAGCTTGAACTTGACCTCACCATTGAAGCGCGAGTAGAACTTGATCGGATAGTCCACCAGCGGCTTGGGGCGCTCGGTCGACGAGATGATCTTCTCGTCGTAGCTGAACAGGTACTTGTCAAAGTAGGGCGACTCGTTCCAGGACTGCGGCGAGAAGGGCAGCGCCGAGAGGATGCGCTTGACCGCCTGCGTCTCGCCGCCGTAGCGCGCATTGATCACGGCCATCTTTTGCTTGAGCAGGTGCTCGCGCACGTAGATGTTGTTGGAACACGTGCTGCGGAACTTGATGAGGCCGGACGGACAGCTGCACGCCCTAAAGTGCTCGCAGAACTGCTCAAACGTCTTGGCAAACTCCTTGTTGCTGTTCTCGTACACGCCAATCACCTCGGTCGTGTGCAGATTGTAGACGACAAAGTAGCTGATCTGGTTGCAGTAGTCGGTGAGGCGGCCGAGCAGCCCGTCGATGGGGCCGTACTTGATCAGCAGGTGTGAGGCGTCCAGCGACTGCATCTTCCACATCACCAGGTTGCAATACTGTGGGAACAGTGAGTAGTACATGCTCAGTGCCTTCCTTGGTTCGTCGGCCATCAACGCCTTCTTGAACATGTAGCTTAGGAATCGTTGTTTGATGCCACACACTGTGCTGATTGGTAGCGAGTGATTGGCCAGTGACAAATCAAGTGATGATAAATTGCTTGGTTGATTGTTTGTTGTTGTTGTCATTGTTGTTGCTGTTGTTGCTGCTGGTGCTGCTGGTGCTGTCGTAGTCGCGGTCGTCGTAGTCGTCGTATTCGTAGTTGTGACTGGCGTGGGTTCGGGAGGGGCTACAACATTGTGCCGCCTCGACGTGTGATCTTTGGCGAATGGTGTGATCTTGGACAGATCAGAGGTGGCGTGTTTGCCACCTCCAGCTCCAACTCCTCTAGATATGAATGATTGTTCGATATGCTGGTACGTGTCGAGCTCCAACTGATCATCTTCGTTGCAGTGTGGCCCAATGTGACGGATATTTACAAATGACGAGCCTTTGATCTGGAAGATGTGGATGGTCTGGTACTGCAGACTGAGCACAATGAAGAAGTCTTGGTACAGGTAGACGCCCGAGTGATGGGCTAGATGTATCACGTCCTTCTTGAACGTTCGTCTATCACACACCTGACCATCTTCAATCCGGACCAGATAGAAAGACACATCGTCGGGGTTTGGAAGATTGATCGAATGTGCTGGCGACTGTCTAATCGTCGACTGCTCCTCGGCCAGTGTAAGGGGAGTCGTTGTATTGTTGGCCGATTGTCCACATGATGCAAGTATGAACTAGCGATGGAGTGAAGAGTTAGTTAATGCGCGCGCACCTCATGTGAGCCCACGCGTTGAGAGACTTACATATTTGCCACAGGTTGTTGTTAGGGAGAAGTCTTTGCAAAGGAACTCGTTGAATGGTGGGATGGCACGCTGGTATATTGGACGGAAGTAGGTGCTGAATGTTCGGTCAATCTTGGCACGCTGGGTCTTGGTGACGCCAACAGGGTACTTGGGCGACGCGCCAAGGAATCGATACAGATGGATCTCCTTGAGGTCCTTGGAGAAGCATAGCAGGCGTTCGCCATCACTCGTAAACTTCTTTATCGTGCACAGAGGTGTCTCGATGTTGTACACGGTCTTGTCGGGCACGACATTGAGGTAGAACTTGCGCGACTGCAGCGAGTTTGTGCCGGGGCGCGGACAGCGAATCTCGCGCTGCAGCAACTGGTTCGGCAGGCTATGCTCCGAGAGCTGCAGCTGTTGCTTGTGCTGGTGATTGTGAAACACCTGGTCCAGGTCCGCCTGGATATGTGTGCGCTTCAGACTGTTCCTGCGTTTGAGATTCAGTTGGAGTGGAGCAGCATTGCTGTTGTTGACAAGGGATGTGTTCGTCGAAGAGGTTGTTGTAGTTGAAGTCGTGGACGTGGTTGTCGTCGATGTGGTGTCAGTCTCTGTGCTCGTCGGATCATCATGTCGATAGAGAATATGATGGTGTTGTGATGGAGGTGAGCCAATGTTCACGGTCACCGTTTGCGAGGATGACGCCAGTTGCTCCTCATCGCCAGATGACGACATAGGCTGTGAGCATGGTGTTGATGGGTCGCTTGGCAATGGCACAGAAGTCGATGAGCAATCCAGGGGAGGCCTACTCGCACTTTGATTCGAACGGTCATTGATCGACGATGATGATGAAGATGTTGTTGTTGTTGATGTTGTTGATGTTGTTGACTCGGTTGTGCTATTGTTATTATTTAAATTAATGTTTGTGTTTTGTTGTACAAGGCGTTGTCGCTGTCTCTGTAGTTGCTGTTGATGTAGCTGTTGTAGCAGGGGTTGTTGTGGGGCATAGTTACTGCCACTCTGACTCTGATTGATGCTGCTGCCGCTGTTCCTCTGGCTGTTGCTTGAAGGGTCACTAAGCGATGGTGGACATACGCCACCGCTGTTATCGACAAGGTTGCTGCTGCTGCTTACGCCTCCGCTGCTGCCTAGGTTGCCCGGGCCACCTCCAACAGCGACGGGGATGCCCGCTGTGGAGGAGGAGAGAAACAGAGCTGGTGGCGTCGGCAGTGATGGTGTGAACATTGGTGCAGGTGATCCCAAGAGGAAGCAGGGCGACGGCGATAGAGGTGGTGATATCGTCGATTGTGACTCCATCGCGCAATATCTTGCTTGTTCGATATTATGTTGTTTTAAAAGTACAATTGGTACTCTATGTGAAATCAATGAATGATTGATTGATGTATGATTGAATGTACGATTGATTGCTTCTTCCTGGAAGTTATATCGCAATTGTTGTTGTTGATGTTGCTGCTGCTGTTGCTGCTGTGTACAAGACTTGAGTTGAGGTTGTGCTGCTGTTGGACTTCATCAAAACAGTATCCTCAAAGCTAGTTGAGCACTACTATTTGTAGTAGACTATGCTTTTCTTTCTCTTGTTGCTGTCGTCTCAACGGATACTTGAGTTTGAATTGAATGAGCAAGTTAGTGAATGAGCAAATGTCTGTCTTCTTCTTTCTCTCTCTCTATCTCTCTGTCTCTCTCTCTATCTCTGTCTATCTCTGTCTCTTTATGTCTCTCCTCACTCACTCACTCACTGCTACTTTGTGCGAGTAAGATATATTGTAATGTGAATTGAATGAAGATGAGTGAGTTGAGGTAAGCTGAGGTAAGGTGAGGTGAGGTGATGTGATATAGACCGAGAGCATGTGAAATTTACTTCAAGGTATATCTCTCACTCACACTCACTCACCATTCATTTGTTGTTGTTGTTTGTGTTTGTTGTTGTTATAATTATTGAGTGTGATAACTCACTCACTCTCACTCACTCACTCTCACTCACTCGACCTAAGTAACTCAACTTACATATGTATTTCCGATGTACGTTGAATGATGTTATCAAATACAAGTGACAACAAGTAATGTAATGAATGGGATGGATGAAGCACGTGCGTCAATTCACTTCTTGTTGTTGTTGTTGTATGACTAACTAACTAATATTATTAATATGTTTTGTGTGAGACAGATAGATAGAGATTAAGAATAGAGATTGGGGTGAAGAATGATAGTGATTTCACTTTGTTGACTGGGAGGACCTCTAACAAAATTTAGAAATGTCCAAAAAGGGGAATAGAGGTGGAGCTGGGAGCACCCGATTTGGTCAACAAACAACTCTTTGACTGACTGTGGAAAGACCATGGTCTCTGTTCATTCAGTCAGTCGTTGTTCATGTTTAAAAAGACAGAGGCTAGGTTCAAAGAAGAAGCTCTAGAGGGTCTCCGAGAGCGGCGAGATTGAAAAGAGAGAACGAAATCATTTGTTTGAATCTATCTCTTTTAATTATTAGAATGATTGTTTGATTGATTGTCGTGTGTAGATGAATCAGTGAGTTAGTCAATGAGTGAGAGTACAACTCCAAGTAAATGGATTTAATATATTATATATATTATATATATATCAATCAAATATTATTTATCCATCGCTGGATTGATTGTTTTGTTGATGATGTTGATGTTGATATTGTTGTTGTTGTTGTAGTTGTTGTTCGTCGTCATTATTATCTTGGTCCTCTTCTGAAGTGCCCTCTTGGTCAACCTCGTCGCCTTCATTGTCGTCTTCATTGTCGTCATAAGAGGATGTACTCTGGCTTAGATATCCCCTTCCATTGATACCACAATTTTGTTGTTGTTGTTGTTGGAGTTGATGCTGATATAGCATTCCCATGGGCTTGAATGATATTGGTATTGTTGTCGTTGATGATGATAATGGCGTGTTGGTATTGGTGTTTGTGGTTGTTGTTGTAGTAGTCGTAGTAGTACTAGTAGTACTAGTTGTACTTGTAGTCGGTGATTGATTGTCCTCGTCAACGACCTCATCTTCATCGCTGGAGGAAGTTAAATGCTGTCGGTGGTGGCTGGTGTTCGACCCGCCAACCTTTGGCTTGTACTGGAACAAACCGCGTCGTTGCAGTTTGCCTCGCTTGGCCTTGAACCAATTTCGGATCTTGGTTTCGGACACGCGTAGAGTCTGTGCCATTTCTTTGACCTTGGCGCCGCTCGGATACGACTCCAAGTTGAATTGCTCCTCCAGCATTGTGACCTCGCGCGGCATGAACTTCTGCGAGGGGTTCTGCTTGTACTGGAACTCGCCCTTTTGCACCATATTCTCGCGCTTGTGTTTGAACCAACGCGACACCTGTTCCATGTTCACCTTATAGTTGAGCACTTTGACTATCTCAATTTTGTCCTCCTTGTTCGGATATTGTTGGCGCGCAAACATTGAGTCCAACATGTCCTTCTCGCGCTGGCTCGGTCGCCACCTACTCTTGCGATCCATCGTCGTCTGTTGAATAGGTTGATGTTGGTGAGTTGTCTGGTGGGCGTCTGTCTGGACTGGCGTCAGCCTGTGGAGTGGTGACGTATACGTAGGCTGGAACATTGCTTGAAGCTGACCATGTTGTTCAATATTCATCAAAGTTCGATTGTGATCGGCGCCATCTGGGATAAATTGGTCTCCGGTGGGGCTTCCGACTCGTGACAAGGGCAACTCGGTTGAAGTGGGACCTGGTGGTTTCTTTGCGCTACGCTCCTGTGATGACTTGCTGCTCGAGGTAATGGCTTGTTGATGGCGCGTTGGCATGGTGGAGAGTCCGCCGCCACCACCGCCAGGGAGAAATGGACCGGTGGACAACACTTGGAAAGGGTTGGTCGGATATCCCAAGGGTGAAAGGAGACCTGTGTTATCAATCGAAGGACGGCTACTATTCAGACTCTGATGGTGAAGGTGTTGGTGATGTGGATTGAATGCTGGTTGATTGGAGAAGGACTGTTGTTGTGGCTGTTGTGTTGCGCCTAGGTAGAAGTTGTGAGACCCAATATATGAGGGTGGTGTGGGTGAGTCCGACGACGGAAGCAGCCCATGCTGATGCGGTTGCTGCTGCTGGGGTGCGCCAGGGATCTCTTGTGAAATGCTATTATTGGAGGAAGGTGCGAATTGATATGGATTGGTTCCGGTAAACTGCGTGCCAGGATAGGTAAAATATTGTTGTTGTTGTTGTTGATGTTGCGCCTGTTGTTGGTTATGTTGTTGATGTTGTTGTTGCTGTTGGTGGGAGGAGGAGTCTGATTTATGGCCTCCAGAAGTTGAAAATGATGTCGGATGTTGATGTAGCGGTGATAGCGGTGATTGATTGTGAAGGAGGTGGTGATGATGAGTCGTCGTCGGTATTGTTTGTTGTCTCTGTTGTTGCTGTTGATGTTGATGTGAGTCGGTATATATTTGATGGAGTGAGCTTGGATATGGATGGAAATGTTGAGATGATTGTGTTGATGAAGTTGTTGACATTGTACCAGGTCCACCATCATTATTACCACTGCCCTTTGGCATCCCTCTCGTTTCCTTTAACTGATCATATTTAGTTGCTACCTATATAATTAATTAATTAAATAATTAATGATTGATTGATTGAGGTGATGGATAGAGTTGGTAAGCGACTGTCACTAGAATATATAGGTTTGAGATTGACTTACATTCTGGAATGGAGTGGTCATGGTTCCAATAATGTAGAGAGCAATGAGATCGAGGTCGATCAATAATATATGTCATGTAAAGGGATGGAGGAGGGATTGATTGATGGCTCGAATGTTGTCCGTCTGGTTGGTTGTCTGGATGATTGAGGGCTTAATAAAGGCCACGGATTAGCTAACTGATTAATTATTGATTGATTGATTAGTTGATCGATTGTGGAGTGATGGAATTAATCCCTTGTGTTCAATATATTGATGGAGAGGGTTCGTGTTGGAATTATGCGATCATGTGCAACCTCTGATCAGAGTTAAATTGAAGTGGTAGTGAAGGGGATCACACCAGGAGGTGACTGACTAACTGGCTAATTGATTGATTTTAGGGGAGGGATTGAGCACGGTAATGCGTTAGCGAGTGAATGAGTGGCTGTTTGAGTGTTGGTTGAGGACTGTACTGTCTGGGCAAGAAATTTAAGATTGACTGTAAGTGACTGAGTGAATGAATGAGTGATTGATTGATTTAATGAGAGTGAATGAAGGAGTGGGTGAGGGAGTGAATGAGTGATGGAGTAGATTAATGTAAGAGAGAGAAAGAGATAGAGTTATTTGGTATTGTTGTTGGAATGCCAAGTCAACCGTTGGTTGGTCCGAACTTACGGACATGTGGGTTTAGAGGCGCGATGGAGGAGGTGGAGGTGGTAATGGTAAGGGTATCACCCAACAACACGTAACATATACACACTGCCCTGCACTGACTGACTGACATAAAACAACAACATGTACATGGATAGATGGGGACACACTTGATCGTGTGAAACCAAATGGGTCCACTTGACCGGCCAAGGGGTAGAGTTAAAGTATGTGCTTTGTTGTCGAGCTGAGGCGAGGTCCAGGGCGAGGCCGGCACTCTCTCAAACATGTATGATCACGCGATCCAATCCATACAATGAGAGTGCATAATAAATAATTATTATTATTATTAATGTATAAATATTATATTATGTAGAGGTGCTGATGATTGATCAATCATCAGTGAATGTTACTGTTGATCTTTGAATGTAGTGCTGGTTGATCAATCAATCCAAGGTAGTGGGTGAGAGTGAGCGTGTTTGTGTCGTGGCCCCTGCAGGCCACCTTAAACAATGGAAATTAGCCACTTAGTACACGTGCGTGAATTAATAAATAAATCCATTCAATGTCTCTACCATTAGAGATTCGGGGAGGATCACATTAAAGTCGCCCGCGTGCCCGGCCGGCCAAATATTTGATGATGTTGTTGTTGTTGTTGTTGTTGTTTGATCGGCGGAGGAGGCGGTGCGGTTTTACTCCAAATAATAATTAATCACACTACTTAACGACGTCCTAAAATGGAATGCAAAGGCTCTATTTGCCCGCTATGCACGTGCCCCAGTTGGATACCACGCTTTACGAATGAACGTGTGTGTACCTTTGCAAAGTCCACTCCATTGGACCAATGGTCTAAACAACAACAACAATCAAGTCACATTGCGACAATTCCATAGAGATTAACATCTATGTTGTTATGTGCTAGAATGAGTGATATTGGGTGTGTTCATTGATTCATTGGTTCACACAACATTGAATGACTGAACGAGCAAACACATCATTTACCCCTCACTAGAGTTGTGAGTAAAGTATGAACATGAATGAGCAATAAAGTATGATGTTTGAAAGCGTTATACCATTGTTGTAATATTATAAAGATATAAATATATTATTAATATTATTATTATTAATATTATTATTATTAATAATTATTAATTAAGGTGGATACAGTATTGTTGGACAAAAAGATGTTGATAGATAGTGATGATTACGAAATTGACCAGGTCAACGACATGTTATGAATGAGCAAGGTGGATGAACAAATGAATGAACAATGTTGAAGATTGAAGAATGTATGATTGAATGAAAGATTGAAGAATGAATGAATGAATGAATGATTGATACAGAAGAGGATATTGATGATGTTGATGATGACTGTTGTATAAATACCTGTTCAATTATATCTGATTTTCTGTCTGATTGGAGTCAAATGGGTAGATTACTTAATGATAGAGGGCAAAGGCCTAACCTGACCCTTACCTGATCGCAAATATATATCCTTGAGGATCTTGAGGAAGGGCAATGAAGGACAGGACAGTTGAGACCTGCAGTATTGGAGGTGAGGAAGTTGAATGACTGAATGAATGAATGAATGAGTTGAAAGAATGAATGAATGAATGATTGATGATAATGAATGATACCATTGGATAGGAAGAGTCCTTAATAATTCAAGTCAACTTGATTAAATGCTCAATGGTAACCGAGGGGGCATCATATCTATCATTCAATCCTATCTGAATGAGTTACTGATAAGCATCTTCTACTTTCACGTGAACGCAGCACCAATAACATCAACAGGCAAGCAAGAGCAAGTAAGCAAGCAAACAAACAAGGCCCAGTCAGTGGCCAAACTAAAGGCGGACACGCCTTGTACATCATGTTTAGTAGTAGTCGTAGATTATGCACATCCCCCAATGTGCCCAGTACTTACGTACGTTCATACCCAAAGACAAGGACATGCATATAAGTTGGGGGGTCTCTCTGTTGCGTCGCCTCACGGATAAGGCCTTAAAGATATTTCAACTCATGGCCTTGTCTCCTTGGGAGGATGCGTGGTTATCCTACGAAAATGTAAAGGTTGTGGATGGACTTAGGATACTCAGTAGACTCCGGAACTAACGATAACCGCCATTGTGAGTACAGGTGACCTTGTTTTAAAATATTATTAATAGTACGATGAATGTATTTGATTGGCAAAGCAGGGGCAGTCACTGCCAACAGTCACTGCCAACAGCAACAACAACAGGAGCAACAACAACAACAACAACACAACCACGCGTACCCGTGGATGTTTGAAAGTGTCTCAACAGGAATGCAAGGGTCCTCCTGTCCATAAATAGGAAGATGGCCCTTTTGAAAAAGTTCTTGGTCAAAAGTTGACCGCGGTCCTTGTGTGTGGGGATGCATTCAAGGATGGATGGATGTTGGGGGGATAGGTTTGATGGAGAACAACAAAGACACTACTTACTTGATCGTCGTATTGGGTGGTCATTGGACTGTTCGGGCAAAGAAAGGATAAAGTATACCGGTGTAAACAGATGTTGTTTGTGCCAACGTTGCCACTTCGTCTTAGTTTCACGGACTCCACAAACCACGAAGTGATAATAATCAACTTGACGACATCTTGTTTGATGAGAAGATCCGATCCAACCCAGCACTGAATCTTCTTTGCCATCTTATGGCGGCGTATCTAAACTTACCTACTTTTTCAAATGAACCTATGCTTACACGCATGACCAATCTCGGGACAGTCTAGATCACATCTGATGTGATCCCCTTATTATGATTTGTATTAGTTTGCTTGTACAAGTCAATAAGATATTTTGAATCCTAATGACAACATCGAAACTTACTTCATGAAGTTCTTGAATCATAGTCGTTCATCCATTCATCGATACATTCATTCATTATTCATTCGTTCAATCATTCGTTCATTGTTTTGTTGTTGTTTGTCCATCAACAATTGGTCCAGAACTATGTAACCGTCCATGTCAACATTCAAGAAGAGTGATAGAGTATGTATTTCTTCGAACTGTAGTTCAATGTGACCATTCTGCAGATAGATAGAGAGTGGGTGAATGAATGAAAGAGTCGTCCGATTAGATCTGATGCAGTCGTGTCTCGAGTATTGAGCGTGTGTGTTTGTTGGCAAAAGGATACCCTGGGATTGAGAAAAACCTGGGTGTCTAAGGATGGAGAGAGGGGGTGATAAATTAGTCGTGACTAATAATAAACGAGGTCAAAGGAAGGTAGACGACACGCATCACACTCTGTTGTTATGTTGTTGTTGTATTTACGATAACATTCGCATCACACACACTTCATTCATTCAATCATTCATTCTATATTTATATACATATATTTATATTTATATACTTATAACTATATATTTATATATTTTGAACATCAAACAAACAAACATGACATCAACAAAACAACAAGTCCCTTCAACATCAACATCTACAACTGCATTGACGACGACGACATCAACGACACAAGTACAATCTCAACATCATGCTAATGTGTATTATTCATTCATTTCGAGATTCTTGGATAATGAGATACCAACAGTGAATGCAAACTTTAAGGAGTTCTTGATACAGGATGGCGTGATTCAGATGTTGATGTCGTTCATAACGTTGAACTTCCCACCAGGTGTCACTCGTGTTCAGAACGTAGAGACTACCAACTGGACCACTACATCGTCGTCGGCAGAAGTCCCTCCCGAGGTGCTCAAGTCATACAAAGTCATGAATCTCTTTGTTCATCCCACACCGCCACTCATCTCCCTGGCCAAGGATCGTCTGCCCATCATCTGTAAGTAGTCTATGATGACGATGGATGATGTTGGTGATGACGAACTGACCATCTTCATTCACACACAGTGTCATCACTCTTTGAGATATTCAATTATAACAACAATAGCAATGGCAATGGAACCAATGGTACATCGACATCGACAACGACCACAAGCACTTCTTCAACATCGTCAACATCATCATCTTTGTCGACATCAGCGTCATCACATCATAGAATAGAGGATCCAGCTGGAAACATACATCACTTTGCCAAGGTGATACTGTGTCTATTCAATCAGTTCACATACGACACGGTGAATGCATTGGCCGAGATCTATTCACCAGCACAGCGATCATACTTCCAGATACTGGTGGAGAACCTGCGACATCCACCCATCAAGGACATGCTGCTGGCCATCTCAAAGAGAGCCGCACGCAAGATGTCCGAGTACCAGACGACCAATCCTCTGGACACCAAGAAGATCCAGAAGGGTTTGACCAAGTCCAAGTTCTTCAACATGCTCGTCGCTCATTTTGCTCAGCCCACGCGACCAGTCGATGTGGACACTGGATTCATCGACCTGGAAGGCTGCGCAGAGTTTATGATTCGTTGCGTGGAGGAGCTCAACATCCACGGCCCAGACATTGGCCTGCCGTTCTGTCATCTCCAGAACAAGGAGTTTGCTGATACGCTCGGCAAGATCGTGGCCAATGAGGGCGGCAAGAAATACGCTTTTGAGCATCGCCATCTCGCCATGAATGTCATCGCCGGCATGATACGCAAGTCGAACGAATTTTCCAGCCAGCCTGGCAATCAGCACCAGGCCGAGAAGGATTCAATCTTCTCATCGTCTGGCACCACATTGTGGGCAACCTATTTCAGCAACAACCAATTGCCCGCCCTGTGTCGTCTGCTTACCGACATGGGAAGCGATGAGAGTTTCAAGAAGACAATCACTTCATTCCGCGTCGACGCACTGGCCCTTCTGATAGACATGGTCAAAGTGCGCGCATCCTCCAAGAAGAAAGCTGCATCTCAATCACTCATTCCACCAGAGCTGTGGACTCTTTTAGTCGATTGGTTCTTCCAATTCCAGTATGTAGTAGTTGTGCACACAAGTCCCCGTTGGCGTCCAGACAATCAACTAACCAATCAATCAATCATTCAGCAATGTGTACCAATCCAAGTTCTACAACCTTATCATTGAGGTCTTCAATGAACATCATTTGCCATCGATCAAACAACTCTGCTCACATCTAAAGCGATTCATTCAATATTATACTACAGTCGATCAATCAGGTATGGAATCATCCATCCATCCATCCATCCATCCAATCAATGTTCTAACCACTCAATCACTCATGGATATAGACACCAAGGGAGTTGTACTGTTGATGCTCAACTTCATCAGACTGTCTGCTGACACTCATCAACCAAACAGTTATCTGCCAACCTTTTTGAAGGGCAGTGACGAATGGCAACAGTTCCGTCCTCAATTACTTGTATGTTGGAAATGATGATGTTGGATAGACATCGCATCACCAACAGTCCAACCTTACTCATTCATTCATTCTCATCATTACTTAGAACGATACATTGAAGCAATATCAGAGCAACATCAAAGGCAATGCTAATGCGGACGCCACTGTTGCTCAGAAGGACAACGCACTCAATCAATCATTTGCCGCCATCAACTTGGGCTCAGACTGTAAGAATCGATCAATCAATCTAATCAATCATTCCACTAACTCCCAATCAATCAATCAATTAGTTGCCGACTCGATAGGATTTGAGGACCCAGAGAAGAAGAAGAAGAAACCTAGCGCAGGAACAAAGGTCGTCGTGGACGAGTTGAACAATGAGCAGATGTCCAAGATAGAAGCAGAGTTGGTGGACGACGACGAAGACAAGAAGAAGAAGAAGAAGAATAAGAAGAAGTAATAATAATATATAGACAGTCAGTCAGCCATTGGAGAGAGGATGTCGTGTTGTCTGGTCTAACGAACGGACAAACGAACAAACATATGAATGAATGAATGGAAGGCAAGAAGGTAGGAAGTACAGTATACATATACATATACATATATATATTAGCGAGTTCTTTATTACATGTTGATGGGTAGATTGGACAATGTTCCCTAGAACAGCCCTTGCTTGGACAACGTGTTGGACATGAAGAGCGCTGGAAGGATCTCCTTGATATCCTTCAGATCGCAGGCCTTGGTGAGGAAGGGGTGTTCCAGCAGCTGTTCGGCCGTGGCGCGCTGCTGCGGATCGAACTGGATGCATCGGTGGACAAAATCGTAGACCTCGTCGGACCACTCTGCGTGCTCCTCGCGACTCAGCACCAGGCCCTCGGTGGCCGTCGTCACCATGGACTTTAGACGCGAGTTGTGGTTGGGCAGACGGCGCTTCAGCATCTCGACGACACACACACCAAAGCTCCAGATGTCGGCGGAGAAGGAATGCGGCCTGCCATGGATCTGCTCTGGCGGCATCCAGTAGGGCGAGCCACACATGTGTATGTCCTCCTTCTCGATGCTAAAGTCAATGGCCAGACCAAAGTCGATGATCTTGATGTCACCCTTCAAGCTGATCATGATGTTTGAGCTCTTGAGGTCGCGGTGGCAGATGTTATTGGCGTGCAGGTAGTGGATGCCGCGCAGTATCTCGCGCGCCACATACGCAATCTTGGACTCGCAGAATGTGAAGTTGTGGATGGCGTCGCTCAGAGTGCCACCCTCCAGGAACTCCATGATCATCCAGAGCTCGTCGTTGCGCTGGTAGCTGCAGATAAAGTCGGCGATGTTTGGGTGGCGACAGTACTTCATGAAGCTGATCTCGGTCAGGTTCATGCGCTTCTGCTTCAACGTCCTGTGTGGCATCTTCTTGAGTGCCACCATCTGTTTGTCGTTGGCACAGTGTGGATTCTTGTTCTTGGCGGCGTAGACACTTCCAAAGCCGCCGCGCGCTTCAAAGTCCAGGTTCTTGTATTGCTCCTTTGGATTGCCCTCGTTGAGGATGCGCTCGGTGGCGGTCTCCAGCTCCTCGGGGAACTTGAAGAAGACACCTGGCGACATGAATATGCGGCCAGAGTCGATGCGGCGCGTGTTCTCCGTGTAGATGAATGAGAATGATGATGGTCCTCCAGAGTTTGTGTTGGCCGACGTAACGATGACGCCTGGCGATTGGCTTCCGGCAGCATTGCGTGGTATGGACAGATTGTTCTTGGCGCGGCCACCTCCAGCCTCATCCTCCTCATCCGAAGATGAGTAGTTGGGCGAGTTTTGTGATGAGGCGCTCGATGTGACCACCACTGATGGCACCTGGTCCTTAACCATCTCCTTGAGCTGCGCGATCTGTTCAGGCTGCTCAACATACTTGTAGTAAATAAAGTCCTTGCGGCGCAAGAAATTGAGCACATGGACCACGATGGGGAAGTTGTCGTTGATCACCTCGTCCTTAATGCCGCTCTGTGTCAGCCACTTCCTATCGTACTTTTGCAGTCCCTTTAGGTTACTGATACATATTATAGTGGGCACTGGGTCTTCCTCCTCTGTCAGAGGCTCACAATTGCCGTCATTATTCTTCTTGCCGCTCCTAGGTGATGATGAACCAGTTGGCGAGATACTTCCGACCGAGTTACGTTTTGACTTCCTCGATGGCACGATCACCTTTTGTTCACTGTCCACCAACTCATCATTAGCATCTGCATCATCCAAATGCTGTCTATCCTTATTCTTCTTAAATATGTTTGAGAAGAACTTCATTCTTCTTCTTCTTCTTCTTCTTCCTCCTCTTTATATCTCTATGTTCTTCTGTATCTATCTAGTTATGACTTTCGCTTTATCTGTTCTGTCCGACGGTCTCTCTATGTGTTTCTCTTCTCTATCTTCTATTATTTGTTTGTTTGATACACAAGTACAAGTTAAGTTAGTTTGATTAACTATCTAGGTTGTGCGTTTGATTGAATGATCGCAGGAGTGATGGGTGACGTGGGTGTTGGGGTGATCAATAGTCGAAAGGGGTAGAGATAGTTTGAATTGATAGATGGAGTTGAGAAGTGTCATGGGTTTTGAAACAAGATCTGGGGGCATGCCCCTGTGAGTGACGTCACATTCTTGTTCAAGCTTTGATCAGGACCCTGATCAAATGAACACCCCCTTTACACAAGTTCCAAAAAGTGTATTACCTGAATAAGAATAGAAAGTTGAATTATAATATTCACTGTTTGGTTGATTGGCTTTGGAATTGGCTCAAGTGTGTTGACTAACTGACTATTATGTTGTTAGTTTCCACTCGCTGTCTATATATTATCAATTGTATTTATATATGTTGTAAATATTATTATTGTTATTGTTAGTTAAATCATTGTCTGTCATAATAATATTAAGTATGATTGGATTGAACGAGTGAGCGAGTGAGGATATGGTGATTGATTGATAAAGTGATGGGAGTGATGAGAGTGATGAGCAGGAACAACAGACGTAGTGTTTGTTATTGGTGATCACATAGAGGAGTGTGTTTGAGTGATGATGTTAATTGATTGATGGGCATACCAATTGAGGTGATAAGTAATAATTTAAATTATTATTCGTACCTGTTGTGATGGATGGCTGACTGACTGGATGATGATAGTGTTATTGTTGTTGTTGTTATTGTTGCATAGGAGTAATGTACTCATATTGGATTGATGGTGAGTGTGTGTGGATGGAGAATTGATTGATGGACACGCAATAAGAATATGGGAGTACGCGTGTAACATCAATAACTCCCAACAGTTGGTTAGTTAGTTAGATGGTTGGTGTTAATGACCATGAATTTTGAATGCAGAAGTATACGGTAATGGACACACATACATATAAATATATATACATACACCCATCGTTTATATATTTATTAATATATATGTCCACACAACCTCTAACACTCTATCATTACTTCTACATCATTACCATCCATCACCACATACCCCCTAACCTAAGGTTGATTGGATGGTGGTGTGGTGTCGGAGGGTGAGTGTGATTGATTAAGTTCAGTGTGTCAGTGAGTGATTGAGTGATTGAGTGATATGAGAGTGGGGATGGTTATAAATAGAAGTGTATGTATACTCTATCTGTATAATATATTAAATAATATAAGAGTGCTAATAGTGAAGTGAGTGAAGTTATTTCGTTTCATCAACTTCCATCCATCTATGCATCCATGAAGTTGAGTTGTTGTTGATGGTGAATGGATGGATTAATAGTAATATAATGCAATGAATGGAATGAATGGATATAATATTATATTGGTTTAATTAAATACTTGGCCATCATCATGATGGCCTTCGTTGGACAGCGTCAAAGGGTAGTCCGAACCCTTTTATTCGATTGAGTGTGATGAGGTTGATGTGTTTGGTTGGGTTTGGTTTGGTGTAATGTGTCAAGTTTGTCTATGTTGGACAAATGTGTATACAGTTGATTCTCTGTCAGTTGTCGGTCTGAGGTACTGGCCTCGACTCGGACCTGGCATCACAACTAAATGTTTGTTGTTGTTGTTGTTGTACATTCCTTTCTTCTTGTGTTGAGTTCAAGTTCATGTTTACAATGGACCCAAACAGTAGAGAGATGCAATGACCTTTCCTTTGATAAGAGTCTTTGGGAATGGAGTTGAAGTCTTTGAATTCAACTTGTCCTGCAAGTAAGCAACAGCGCCATTTGTTGGATAAAAGAATGAGTTGTTATCCTGCTCAATAACAGTTCTAACAATGATCTCATTTGGTCTCTTTGGGTTACTATATTGATTATAAGTATGTTGGTATATTGATTGATTGATTGAATGATTGAATAAGGTTATACATACATTAGAGTAACTTCATCACCAGACTTTACATTCTCAACAGAGTTGTCGACGAGCAACAGGTTGTTCTTGTCACGGTCCAAGACCAAAGAGATATTTAATTTATGCTTCAAGAACAATCCGATTGGGATTGGTGACAGCAACAATGTGAGTTTAATAATTCTAAGAGCGTTCATTTTATGTTATTATATTATTATTATTTATTACAAGTAAGTAATATTATTATTTGTATGTTTGATTGATTGATTAGTTAACGAAATACAACCCTGACCGGTCAGTATTTATTGCTTGCTCTACACTTTACACAGATTCATATCATTCATATCAATCATTCATTCATACAACACCATTGATTGTGATGATGGTGGGATAGCAAATTGCTCTGGAGAAGTAAGAAAAACAGGAAGAATCTTAAGGTTGGGTGTGTTTTACACTCACAAAAACCCATCACAATCAGAACTCTCCTTGGAACTTTTCAAAATGAAGTTGGGGTTTTGTGAATGGGTTGAGGGGTGTAATGTGATCATGGGTACACTTTTGAACACACCACTGTTTGATCAACTCAACAACTCAGAAAAAACTACCTATCGCGTGGTTGATCATCTAGATACTGTTTGAATGGTCGTTGCAATGTTCTCAAATATGCCCCGATATTGAAACTTCTCTTGACCTATCAAAGGTCTGGGCCAGACCAATCATTATCAGATTAGTTGATCAACTTTTGATTAGTGGGTGAGTGTAGTAAACGAACTACGGTTCATCACTTCATCACATATTCACTCACCTTCACTCAATCAATCACAGGTACTATCCCAACCATTCAATCAATCAATCATACTCAATCAAACAAAGATGGATACACTATCTGATCGAATTATAAGAGAGTTGTATAATGAATTGAATGATGATGTAGAGGTTGTATGTTTGGCATTGACATGCAAGAGGATGTATAGTTTGATGGATAGTATGCCAAAGTACTCATTGAAGAACATTGACAATGTTGATGATGTTGTGATGAGAGCTGGAGGCAATAACAATCTTCCACCAAATGCAATAATCACAATGAAGACTGCAATATGTGTAGATAAACTTGATGAACACAATCCATTATCATTGCAACTGGACGTCACTCGTGTCATCCTCACTGAAGCGTTCAGCGATGTCCTGCATGCCGACTCACTGCCACCATCACTCACCGCGCTATCAATAGAGTCCAACCCATTCTACAACATCACACTAAAGCCTGGCTGTCTCCCATCATCACTCACCTATCTCAACTGTGGCTTTAACTTCATCTCACCTCTACCAAGTCCATTGCCGCCCTCGCTCCTCCAGCTGAGCTTTGGCTACTGCTTCAACTGCCCCCTCCCACCCCTGCCCGACAGTCTTACAGCGCTCGCACTTGGCACTGCATTCAAACAACCCATCAACTCAGTGCCGTCATCACTGCGCATTCTCACCTTGGCCAACTTACTACAGACCAATCTATTCAAGACTGCGCCACCCTCGCTTGAGACACTTTGCATCGCTGATCCAACGACAATCACGGAGCACTGTCGAGACCGTCTGACCTGGCTGCCACCAACCAAACTCTCTACAATGGTCCTCAGACATGAATTGAAGACGTATACAACTGGCAGCAAGGCCAAGTGTTGGTCGTATCTCACTAGTGCAATGTATCATGCACCTAACGCGGACACGTTTGCCTACCAGCTAAAAGAGGAACGTCGAGTGGTCAGGGCGATTGCCAGGAAGTTGGGTAGCGAGGCCATCCTATTCGTGTACCTGGGGCAACTTGATCTACGATCACCAGAAACCGTGCGTCGAGTGTTCATCATGGCAACACCATGGGCTGAGCCTTACCATCACCAAGTGTTGGACCATCATGCCAATGCCAAACACACAGAGTCCTCTGTCAAGAAGAGTAGTGGAGTACTCGGCAAGATCAAATCACTCATCACCAAATGATATGATAAAGTTGTTCTTGTTATATTTGATCGATCGATTGATTGATTGATTGATCGACAGATGACCTGGAATCATTCCACCACTCACCCATCACACACTCGCTCACCCCTGGACTTCCAGGTTTCCCACCTTCACGACTGTCATGTGGAAGCCAAAACAGGTCACCTGATATCACCCACTCACTCAATCAATCAATCTTAATCAATCAATCAATCAATCAAGATAAAAAATCAAAGACACACAAAACACAATGTTAGATAGACTATCAGATATATTGATTAGAGTGCTGTACATAGAGTTGGCAGATGACTTGGATGTAGTGTGTCTGGGACTGACGTGTAAGCGAACGTTTAAAGTAATGAACGAGTTTGGATCGATGCAATCTACACTTGGCTCAAGTTCAAACCAGTGTGATCACTATTATCCAATGATCAGATTACTTAAATGGAATGAAGTATATCGAGTTGAATTCTACTTGGATGAAGAGCATCCCATCCCACCTGACGCGAAGAGTCTAATTATCTCGGCAAACTTCAAGGGAGAGATCAGAGCCGACTTGATACCAGAAACCCTCACCACCCTCTACGTCGACTCCTCTCCAAGATACATCAAACCCAGCATCCTTTTCCCAACACCCGAAGTTGTGATGAAGGGTACGCCTGCCAGCATGCCCAATCCCATGCCTCCATCACTCACGAGACTGATTGTCGGCGACTTCTTTGATGGACCACTGCCCCCACTCCCCGCCAGCATCACCCATCTGATACTTGGCGAGCGATTTACTCAACGCAAAGTCCAACTTCCATCAAGTCTCACCAGTCTCACATTGGCAACATTCAATCAGATCAAATGCATCAAGTATGTGCCGGCCAGTCTCGAGACTGTCTCCATCACAACAATACCAAACCCCAATGATGTGAAGTATTACAATGACATTCAAGTGGCAGAGTGGTGGACCATGGTCACTTCAGACGCGCAGCACGAAGACACAATCACAAGAGTCAGGTGTAAACTGCGCCGAGTAATACTGGCGCCAGAGATCCAATTATTCATGGACAAGTACCCGGCGACAATCAAACATGTTATGAGGATCATTCCCAATGTCGACTCATACATACTTCTATTCGAGCGCACTGGATGTGACATTGCAGGGATGTTCAGACGATTGGACACCAACACATCACTACTCATAAAATATAAGAAAGTTGTCCATTCTTACAACAATGTAACCAAACAACTATTCATCATCAGTCACTCAAATGTACCATCACACCCAAGCAAAAAAGGTATACTTAACAAGATCATGTTAAGTCTTGGGCGATCATAATGGACATATCTCTACCTGGAATGACTCCGTCGTCATGTGCCTAGGAGGGTCAAGTGATCATCATCATTGGTCATTCAATGAGGTAATCCACCAATCAGACAATGGCGATTACAGTGTTACAAAGGTGATCGAACTGATCAAACTCAAGCACTTGAGTGGACAATTGTCTGCAAAGGACATATTGTTGACCAAATTGGAACATTTATTAATCACTCGATCACTGGAACTATTCCATTCACCTGATCGATCAATAAAATCAAAGTGATTGCTCATAGAGCGAAAGAGTAGCAATCCATCAAACAATCAATCATTCATCAATGATGTCATCAATAAAACATTTAATTAATCAAAACTCACTATTCCATTCAATTACTCTTTGACTTATTTGATCACTCGATAATTATTTTATTTGGTATCGGAATAGTTCCAGTTCTTGTCGAGTGTGATTCAGAGACTGATCACCCGATGACTTGACACTGGAACTATTCAAATATATGAATCAATGATGATATTTTAGAATATAATGTTTAATCAATATCTATACAACTTGGTTATGCTTGTGTTGATTGTGTGATGTTTTGGCGACCATCGACAAGGAACATAAACTTGCGTTGCTCCTCAGTTGGTAGTTGGAAGGGATACTTGATGTTGTACTCCTTGTCATCAGCCTCCCATTGTTGTACGAATGGCAGCTCACGCACAGTGGCCAACCATCTGACTACATGTGGGAACTCCTCCGCGGTGAACTCGGGCACATAGTTGAATATACGCACCCAAGGGAAGATGCTGGCATCGGCAACAGAGAAATCATTGCCTGCGACAAACTTGCGATGCTCAAGTGTGTTGTTGAGGACGTGGAACAGACGACGCAGCTCGTTGTGGAACCTGGTGATGGGGTACTCCAGCTTGTCCTTGGCGTAGTTGGCAAAGTGGAACCAGTTGCCAAAGTTTGGACCCAAGTTGGCCATTTGCCAGAATAGCCAGTTGAGGACCTCGGTGTGCTCACGGGTCTGAGTCAGCGCATTGGGTACGAACTTGCCGTGTTTGGTGGCGAGGTAGAGTAGGATATTGCCACTCTCAAACACAGTTATTGGTTCGCCCTGTACATCATGATCAACAATTGCAGGTAACTTTGAGTTTGGATTGATCTTTACAAATTCTGGACGATACTGATCACCAGCTCTCCAATTAACATGATGATAATTAAAGTCCAAGTTCAAGGCCTTCAAAATAAGGAATACCTATATATATATATTAAATATGATGTTAGTTTGGATTGAATATTAATAATAATAAATAATTAATATCTATTAAATATACCTTTGCAACATTTGGTGAGTTTGATCCATAAAAGTCTATCTTGGCTGACATATTTTAAATATTAATATATTATTTGATTGTATAAAAATTGATTGTAATTGATTGATTAGTTTGATTGAATATTTGTTTGTTGGAAATAATAATAATGGATGGATATTTATACATTCGTAATTGTGTTCCAAAAATGATCGGTTGACACTAAAAATCTGACAGTGTTCCATAATGGAATGGAACAACCACGTCCGTTCAAATCTAGAGTATCTCAATGTCGTTCGACGTTCTATGACCAAATCAGTTGTCATCGTGATCATCACTACAATGCACACAGATAGTGATTAAGTAATGAATCGATCAGTATGAATGAATGTATCAAAGATGATCTATTTACCTTCCTTCATAATATCTTTCATCAAGTCTACTGACTGAGGGTCACGCATCTGAGTGATGTAAGTGATATCACATCTTGCATGTATGATCGCAATTGTCAATCATACTGATCAATTGTCGAAGTTGTTGTTAGAATAAGAATATTGATTATTAGTTGTCTCTATCTACATGTGATAGTGTTAATGTCAAAGTCTAGAAAGATGAAAGAATGATCACATTTGACTTGAATATATTATTGCACATGTGTTATTAGCAAAGAGATAACTAGACTCTCTGGTCATTCAATCATTCAACCTTTCATTCGTTCAGTGTACATACTATAGTAAGATAAGATATTGAATGGATACATTACCAGAGATATTTATTAGATCAATATATATTGAGTTGAACGATTATGTAGATATAGTTTGTTTGAGCTTGGTCTCTAAAAGATTGTTCGCCACATTGAATGGAATGGCACAGTTCTCAATGGAGAAGACTCAACTACGTTGTACATTAGCAAGTTTACAATGTACGACATTGTCTAAAACACAGATGACAGAGTCTACATATAATTTCAACAGGTATCATCATCTTCCAGATAATGCAATACCAGCAGATTCAACAAGTGTCTACATTAATCATAACTACAACGATCCGATCACTGTCGGCATGCTACCCAACACACTCAAGAGTCTGTGGATACACTCAAACTTCAGCAGTGATGTCCTGCCTGGGTCGTTGCCACCCTCACTCACATACCTAAAGTGTGGCTTCTACTATTATGGTCCGCTGCCCAGTCTTGTGAACAACACTTCGCTCACACATTTGGAGTTGGGCTTTGGCTACGGGTCACCGCTGCCAGCCTTCCCCGACAGTCTAACAACACTGACACTGAGCAACATGTTTGATCAGCCTATCAAGAAGGTTGTATTCCCACCTAGATTGAGATGTCTGATCATCCCATACTTGCAACAGTCTCGCTACATTGCATGCGCGCCACCAACACTCGAGACACTGGGCATGATCACGCAACCCTCAAAGGCCGACGTGAAGGACTACAAAGAGATATGGACCAACAGACTAAAGTCAGTGATCATCTCACCGGACGACCTATTCACTCCAGACAAGTTGATTCAATCTGCCGCGGACTTCCTGGCAATAGTAAGACCACTCTTACGTATATTCCCAAACTCCAACACGTATATGCATTTGGAAGTTGGTGATTATGATGATATTAGATTGATGTTCAGATGGATTGATCAGGATTATGGTCTATTGTTACACAGGCCTGGTCCAATTAACAAGAAAGGTGTGGTGGATGGCTCTCAACCCAACTTTCGAATATACTTCATCACATCAAGTATCATCAAGGACAAAGGAAGTAAACGTAAACAAACAATCAAGGAAAGTATAATGGATAAACTGTCAATATTTGGTCATAAAAAATAATAATTTAATAATTTGGACCAAGCCAAACATGGAAGTGATTGTTTTAATTGTTGGATTGAGTGATTGGAATGATTCCTGAGTGGTTCCTGAGTGGATTGAGTGTTGTTGTTGGAATGATTGAGTGGGTGAGTGATTGGAATGATTCCAAATGATCCAAATGTGATCGAGTGATTGATTGAATATGTGATTGAATGATTGGAATAATTCCATGGCGATTTCAGACTCACATCTTGGCATTGGCCGCCTGTTTCTTCTTTAGTCGCTTATACTTGCGTTTTAAATCTTTGTACTTGTTCTCTTCGTGTGACTCGACACTGAATGCAACAGCATGTCCAATGCGAACCATTCTCCAAAGTCGGAACACGACAAGCATCGATGCCACTCTTTCTCTGAAGACTATCTCCACGACCAATGACACAGTGATAACAACACCATCCAGTACATATAATGGATGATAAAAGAAGTCTCGACCAAATGATACCAGCAACAACAGTATCTCCAACGCGAATATACTGAGCAGTGCGATGGTCATGTACTTGAATACATTCTCTGCGGCTTCCACTGAATGTGGTGGATGATGATCATTACACTTCTTATACGCCTCTTCCAGGAAGATCTCTGTGATAGTGATAACCAAGTCCAGCAGCGTGAGTATCACAATCGCAGTCTGCACCGTCGAACTCTCGAGAAACTCTCCAAGTTTATATCGCCAGTCCCTAATGATCGATCATGTTAGTTCATGGTTAGCGGGCGGGCACGTTACCATCACCACATGTTGATTGACTCAACTTGGATATACTTTACTTCCTTTGTTTGTGCCGTGGATGATGACTGGCAAAGTGGAAAGGGAATTTGAGGCCAATGGGTTTCTTGGGATCGTGTTGATGTCGCTTGTACTTTTTGTTCTGATTGGTGTCACGGACACGTATGCTACTACTACTGTTTGTGGAAGATGAACTGTCATCACTGTCATCCCTGTCGTCCCCATCATGATGATCATCGTCATGTTCTTGTTCACTCTCGCGACCTGTCACTGGTCTCAACTGTGATGATGATTGACCTTGACTTTGATAATATTGTTGATCCATCTTCCATTCACATTAACTCTAATCAACATATATATCTTACTAATGAATGAATGAATGAATATATGATATGTTCACATTATTACTCGAATGTCGAACATTGGAATTCAATCAGCTGATCAGACATGTGATCTAGTGATGTGGTACCACACCCCCACCCAAACACCACACACTATTGATTCAATTACATAATTGGATATTTATTGACGAATGTGCCTACGATGGTAATGTACCTCTACCTCCATCAACATCTACAGGTCGAGCAGCACCAACAACAACTACATGATGTTGTCGGTAAGCCTTCTCCAAAGCATTGGGAATGAACCCATTGCCTCCAGAGACACCCGTTGGTATCTTATTCGAAACACGTCTTGAATAACTCTTGATGTTATATCTTCGTTCATGTTCAAACAAGTTGAAATCAATCACACGGTCCATCAATGTCTTTAAGAAACTCTTATTACCATGTTGTTGAAGTTGTTGATTGATTGGTGAGGCTGCAGCTGCTGCTGCGGCAGCGGCGGCAGCAACAGCAGCACCATGATTGGTGGGTCGTGGTGCTGGGTTTGGATCAGAGGTGGATGAGTCGTATGGACTGACTGGGGACTCGGTCAACCAGCCACCGGCAACGGCTACAGCGCCATCGGTTGGTTCGCCCGCCATTGTAGTTTGGTCCATCAACATTGATTGAGTGACCATATTCTTGATTGATTGTATTTCAATATTGCCACCGCTGTCCAACAATGTAGATTCCTCCAAATGTGTGATATCCTGGTATCCAGTCACCATCACCTTTGTTGTTGGGGTGTTCAAGTTAGCGAATGCTCCACTATCCTGTTGTTGTTCTTCATTTTGTTGTTGTTGTTCATGTTGTATATCTATTGTTTGATGTTGTTGTTGACCATTGTTATGTAGTCGTGTATCTGGACTGATTGCCATCACATTTGAGGTTGTAATGACAAGTATAAGATATGTTATTATTAATACAAATATATTACATTTATTATTATTATTAATAAATATTGAGAATATTATCATGATTGATTAATATATATATATTCTGTTTGATTTGATTGATTGATTGATGATTGAAGCATATGACATATGATGAATGATTGATTAATTGATCGGATGTGAGAATGAATGTCAACAACAAAGAGAGATACATATGTCTCGTCAATCACATGTGTAATTGTAGTTATACAATGTAATTAATTATAGGTAAGGTGTACATCAACATAATACATTCCTTCGTCTCCACTTGAACCGTATGACACCGCGATCCAACCAACTACCCTACCACCCCTACCCTCACCAACCCAACCCCAAACAGTCACGATCCCCTGGTTGTGAAGAATATCAATCTCAAGTGTCGTGTTTGTAGTGTCCTGTCATTCTGTGTTTGTGTTGTGTGTGTGTGTTTGTGTGTATGTGTATTATCTCAATGATGACCCTTCTGATTGATGGATTCCATTACTTACTCGACAGTTCTCTTCTGACGACTGGACTGTGAGACCTTGCCTTGGACCTTTCCCTCACTGATACCTTATTGTGTCATTGGTGATCTGATTTGTTGTAGAGATAATAATGTAGTCGTCTTAGTATTCACAAGTAATGGGTGATATTGATTGATCGTTATGATTATTCTTTGAATAAAGATTGACAAGTTATGTCTCTCAAGATAATAATAATGTTATTATTAGTTTAAGAACGATTCCGGCAAGCAAAAAACCCAATCACATCACCTTTTGGGTGATTGCACTCATTTCATCTTTGTTAGTTTTTTTTTTGTTTCATTGTAAATGAATGAATGGGTGAAGGTTCATGATGATCTCTTTTGTTTGAATCAAAGAGGTGGGTTGTTGGGTATGTGAATGGAATAATAAATGGCAGTTGTTGAGTGTTTGTGCGAGAGTGACAGTAACTTGGTTCAACGATCAAACAACCACTCACCACCTTCTGCCAATCAATCCTCCTTCTCAACACATTTTACCATTTGATCAAGATTTATACAGATACATAAAACATAAAGTAATAATAATAATTTAAAGAAAATAATAATGTCTTCCAAGTGTCCACGTTGTACAAAGACTGTCTACTTTGCCGAGAGACAGATGAAGGATGGTGTTGCCTACCACGGCATGTGCCTTTCCCAGCTCCTCAAAGAGTCCAGAGTCCCACTCGTTGGTCGTTACCCAGGTGATGAGGAAAGAATTGGTAAGTTATCTTTGTTGTTCTACTAGTACACTTATGTAAACAATGACTAACCTTCGCTTCATCATTGTTTTTATATATTTAGCTGGTCAACTCAACACCAACAAAGAGTAAAAAATGTGTAGTGGCACCTTTTGCGACACACTTGAGCGCTCGAACAATAACTCACTCACTCTCAAGGACACCTCAACTGTACATTCCAAAATAAACACCTGATCCTATCCTTGCGAGACCAACAATTAACTCAATGAAGATGAAGATGGAGAGAGGAAGAGAGAGGAGAGAGGAAGAGAGGAGATGGAGAGATATGAAGGATGGATGGATGATCAAATCAATCAATCAATGACACATGGAATACACTTCTACACTAATGATGGGTATTGTTGGACTGACGATCAGTCAAACGCAAACGATTGATGGAACCTCAAGTGTGATGACGATGGACTATTCCATCGTTTGTTCAAAGAAAATAGTTCACCATCCTTTCGAACAGACTTTGCGACGCTGGCACAAACATCAAATTAGTGATCTCAACTGCAAAGGCTGGGAGTGAGTTGTAGGGCTACTCTGAGAGGCCCAGGACGAACACGGCTCTTCACCAACACTTCTCCCCTTGTCACCACAACACCAACAACAATTAAAAAATGATTTTAAAAAATGAATATCGTGTTGTTTGTATGCTCTAACAATAATGTTGTTGTCTTTGTCGACTCTTCGCGCGCTCTCACTCACCAACTTCCCCAATATTCACACACCACTCAAACTATCATCCTTGTTAATTGCACACCACCTTACATAAACATACACATACAGATACAGATACACACAAGCAAACATACATACATCAAACTTGTCAATCAATCATTCATTCAATTCAATCAATTCAATCAATTCAATCAATCAATAAGTCTTTAGACGAGACTCATTAATAATAAGTGTAGGAGTAGTAGTAGTAGTAGTAGTAGAGCTAGGACTCGATACAATGAGTACATAGTTATATAATAGATACAGATAAATATAAATATAATAGATAGGATATATATATATAGGATACAGTTTATAAGATATAATGAACAATCATAGAAGACTAGGACATGGCCGACAATTGGACCAAGCAATGATTGAAGAGGAGGAGGAGGACAGCGCAGATTTGTACACTTCAGCGAATCCATTGTTGGTCGGAGTTGGCTATGATCAGCATGAGAGACAACAGGACAGTGAGGCCAATACTGGTGGCGCGATACTCACCGCTGACGACCTGAATGCCGACAATAGCGATGATGATGGCAATGGAGGCATTAGACGACAACCCAAGTTGTCATCCCGACGACGACCGTTGCAGGAGCAGCAGACCCTGCTCACGCCACCAACCGACTCATACAACAAAGACGATAATGATAATGACAATCACAACGACGACCAAGACAGACATCACCAGCAGATGCGAGACAAACTGCTCACACTGCAACAACTACAGAACAAGAAGTACAGCAGCAGCGCACATCATGGTACCACACATGGCGACACCCACATCAACAATAACCTCACATCACAACTCTCAAGCTCAAGCCAGATATTCACGACGATCCCGCTTCACTCCCCGATGGGCTCGGCGTTCAACCCGACCAGCGACGACGATGGCGGCCCGTCGCCGCAGGTCTTTGTGCATCCACAGCACTCGTCACAGGTCAACGATAAGTACCTGTCGCTGATGGGTGCCTCCCACAACCAGGTGTTCCGAAAGAAGCAAGCTGCGCTCAATCTCAAGAGTGGCCGTCGTTGGCTACTCAAGATAATCCTTTTACAAAGTGTTGGCAACCTCATAAGAGCGCTGCCCATATTCATTCTCGAGAAGTACTACGTAATGCTTGTAATATTCTTCCAAGGTATGTTTGATTCTTCGGTCCTGGAATGGTTCCAATAATCACACTAACTAACTCCGCACGCTTCCAGCCTTCTTCTTACTTATTGGATCATATGGAACTAAGAAGTTAAAGAAGTACTTGGTGTTGTTGTATGCCATTGGATGCTTTGGCACGACTATATTGGACTTGATCATCACATTCACTTATGCACACTCACAGAACCATCAGCCATTCAATGAGCGGCAGATCGCCTTCTGGACCTATGCACTGTTTGTAGCATTGCTATGTTGTTTAAATATCATTGGCGGTATATATCTAGGCCTGCGGCTGTTTGTCTCGCTACACACGCTGGAGGACCGCAGCAGCAACACGTTGGTGCTGCTTGCCGCCAGTCTCGTGGGCTCGTTCGAGTCGTCCGAGGACGACGACCAGAACTCGGGTGTCAAGGCCAACCGCACGGTCATCTTCTACGGCGCCGACGTCGAGAAGGCCATCAACGTCACCAAGTCTATCACCGTCACGCTTCCCATCGTCCAGATGATCAAGGACGCGTACCGCAAGGCGGTCGACTCGCTGCCGGCCGTGGGCGCACGCCTGCAGCCTACCTCGTCTGTGCCGGCCGACTACCAAGCCAACCTGCACCACTTCTCCTCCAACGAGGTGATCACCTCTAAGTACAACGTCGTCACCTTCCTGCCCAAGGTGATCTTCTTCCAGTTCTCCAGACTGGCCAACCTCTACACACTGTGCATCGTCATCCTGTGTATGTTCTCATTCTCGCCCGTCGGCCCCATCAGCAGTGTCACCCCGCTGCTCGTCGTCATCTCGGTCAGCTGCTTCAAGGAGCTCGCCGAGGACATCAAGCGACATCGTCAGGACAGAGAGATCAACAATAGATCGTGTCTGGTCTATCGCCCACCAGCGATCGAAGGCACCAACGGCACATTCGAAACAATTGCATGGAAGGATATCAAAGTTGGCGATGTGATCAATGTCAAGAACGGCGACATGTTGCCTGCAGACATCATCTGTTTCTCCACTTCAAGGTATAACGCGTGGCCCTGACCCAGTCAATCACTCGACCTCACTAACACCTCTCAATCAAACAGACCTGATGGCAGAACATACTTGGAGACAGCTAACCTTGATGGCGAGACTAATCTGAAGCTCAAGACTAATGTATCAAAGACGAATTGGATCAAATCACCAGCGGACTTGGACAGGTTTGCATGCAAGGTCGATTATGAAGGACCAAACAATGATATTTATGGCTTCGAGGGCGTGCTCACCATTCTAAAGGGCATGGAGCACGTGACGCTGGGCGTATCCAGCATGATTGGTCAGACAAACTACGTGCCCATCACCATCGAGTCGCTGCTGCTGCGTGGCACCAAGCTCAGGAACACCGACTGGGTGATCGGCATCGTCACATACACTGGTCTCGACACAAAGGTTGAGCGCAACAGCACCAAGAGCAGCCAGAAGAGGAGCTCAGTAGAGCGTGGCGTCAACAACAAGCTGATGCTACTCTTCTTCCTGCAGACCATCATTTGCATCATCTGCTCGATCGGACACAACAGATGGCACCTGGACGACGAGGACCAATTCACAGCCTGGTACCTTGGCCAGCCTCAGAAGGACTTTATCTACGTCAGCTACATCATCTTGTACAACACGCTCATTCCCCTATCGATGTACGTCTCGATGGAGGTCATTCGCATGACCAACGCACTCTTTATCGACTCAGACATGGAAATGTACGACGAGAAGACCGACACACCGGCCCAGACGCGAAACACAAACATCAACGAGGAGCTGGGTCAGGTGCAGTACCTCTTCTCCGACAAGACTGGCACACTCACATGCAACGAGATGGTTTTCAATCGCTGCACGATCGGCGGCACCATCTATGGGCCCGATGCGGATATCACCATGCGCCTCAACAGCGACCTCAACCACGACGATCCCTCGTCACCCCGCTCGACCTATGTGCGCGAGTATCTCACCTGTCTGGCCGTGTGCAACACGGTCGTCATTGACAAGACCAAGGAGGGCGCTGACCTCAACTACAACCCCAAGCTGCATCCCAAGTACCAGGCAGCGTCGCCCGATGAGGAGGCGCTGGTCATTGCCGCCGCCAAGTTTGGCTTTGTGCTCAAGTCGCGTGAAGACAACATCGCCACGATCAGCGTACACGGACGTGAGGAGCGCTACGAGGTGCTCAACGTGCTCGAGTTCAACAGTTACCGCAAGAGAATGTCTGTGATTGTTCGCACCGAAAGCGGACAGATCAGACTCTACTGCAAGGGAGCTGATTCGATGATCATGGATCGTTCGGAGCGCGTGTCGCCCTTCCAGTCCATCGACATTCACAAGGTGACCGAGGCACACATTGGCCAGTTCGCCTCCAATGGTCTGCGAACATTGTGCATGTCCATGGCGATTCTGGATCCCGAGTACTACCTGCAGTGGAACCGCAAGTTTGAAGAGGCATCCGTGTCGCTTGTACGCCGTGCCGAGATGATGGATCAGGCAGCCGAGCTCATTGAGAAGAACATGGTGCTGCTCGGTGCCAGTGGCATTGAGGACCGTCTTCAGGACCACGTGCCCGAGACCATCCAATCGCTGAGAGAGGCTGGTATCAAGGTGTGGGTGCTCACAGGCGATAAGCAAGAGACTGCAATCTCCATCGCCACCGCCTCATCCGTCATTCACAATGGCATGGAGTTGATTGTGCTCAACGAGAACACAAAGGAGGACCTTCTGAAGCGATTGCTGCAACTGGTCAATCAAAACAGGATAGAGAGTTTTAATGACAGCAGACGATGGGGACCAAACATCCTCGGCAAGATGGCGTCAGCCCTCAACCTCGACCCGTCGGACGCTCCACTCATCCTCAACAGGACAGGCGATATGCAGGTGCAGATGGCAATCGTAATCGATGGATCAACACTCACATTGGCACTAGACAAGGACCTGCGATACCACTTCCTGCAGGTCGCCAAGACATGCGAGTCTGTCGTTTGTTGTCGTTGCTCGCCATCACAGAAGGCCAAGGTGGTCAAGCTCATCGCCGAACGATCGTTCCTCTTTGGCGACGGCGCCATCACAATGGCAATTGGTGACGGTGCAAACGACGTGCCAATGATCCTCAAGGCACACATTGGTGTTGGCATTTCGGGTCGCGAGGGCATGCAAGCTGTGCTCGCGAGTGACTTTGCCATTGCCAACTTCCACATGCTCCGTCGACTCTTGCTCGTACATGGCAACAGGAGCTACAAGAGAATCACCAAGCTCATCCTCTACTCATTCTCAAAGAATGTGGCACTATCGATCTCACAGTTCTGGTTCGGCTTCTTCTCAGCATTCAGTGGACAGATGATCTACTTTGACTTCCTGTTCACTTTGTACAACGCACTGTTCACCTCCCTGCCCGTGCTTTCGCTCGGCACGTTCGACCAGGACGTCAAGGAAGAGGACCTACTCTCCCAGCCCCACCACTACCGCACGTGCCAAGCCAACAAGCCGTTCTCAATGTCAACGTTCATCTACTGGATCTTCCTGGGCATGTGGCAATCAGGCGTCATCTTCTTTGTCACATTCTTTGTTCTGCAGTCCTCGACGATGGAGGGCGGCAAGACCCTTGGACTGTGGTCGATCGGCACGGCCGCCTACCTCTATCTAATATTAACGACCAACATCCAGGTGAGCGCCATCACCAGCTATTGGACCATTCAGAACGTGGCGACGGTCATTTTCAGTGTGGTCGGCTCAATCCTCTTTGTCGTGCTCTACAGTCTGGTTTACTGGGTGGAGCCTCAGGCGCAGGACATCATCTTTGAACTTTTCACCGTACCAGCGTTCTGGCTACTCTACATCATTGTGCCTGCCATCTCCTTCCTGCCCTACGCCATTGTCACGATCAATGGCTGGATGTTCTCCAAGCGAGGCGAGGACTATTATAGCCAGAAGGAGGGCTTTATCCAGCTGGAAGACATAAAGAAATAAACTCAAGTTAAGTCAACTGACAATCCCCCTCAATCCCAACTAACTACCAAGAATAAGAAGTATATTAGTGACACATGACGCCTCTTTACCTCAACTAACATCTTGCACGTCGCGCGGCATTGTCCATAGCCGCATCCTTTAGTCCTGTGTTTGACGCTTTTTTGCAACATTCCAGGGCCAGTGGTTCTCACAGAACTATTCTGATCAGAGTTACAATTTCAATCAAAGTTGTATTAACTTAAAATGTCAAAGAGGAAAGACATAGATGGTGAAGACAATCCTCAGGAGGTTAAGCGCACTTCGAAAAGATCAAGAAGACCTCACAAAGCTATTGAATGGTTCGCATTTGCTAGGTTGATCAACGACCATTTTCAATTCAGAGAGATCGATGATGGTTTCACTGGAACCAACAGAATGGAGGTTGAACATCTGATTGCTCAACATTTCCCAAACTTCACCTGCCGACAGTACATGGGTTGGTTCTCAACTTCATTTAATTCCAATTTCAGGATGTCTAAAGATAATTGCAATACTATCCATTGGAGGTACGTATGTTGTAGCTATGTTACTTTCGGCAAGTGACACAATGCTAACACCACAGTAGCAGCAGTAACAATATAGGTTGTGCTGTCTGTATACAACGCCCAGACAGGCATCACCTGATGATCAGGTATTCCTGCTCTCTGTCTGGACAACATTTATTGTGAATGGACTTAAGTAAGTTGTTGTTTGATGGTGTGTTTGTATATGTGAGTGGACAGTTGAAGGAATGAATCCAATAAGTTAATTGGCTGTGCATCTTTGAATGGAAGAAGAAATAATTAGAGAATGTGTTGGAGTGATGGAGTGGAGTGGAATGGAATGGATCAAGGTTGTTGGCTGTCCATTCCGGATGTGATTAAATCAAATCAATTTGATTGATGGTCCTCATGAGCTCTGGCTGTTTAACAAATGACCAAAGGACATTGGCTTCATCGTGTTGGTGTCTGGAACGATGGGGGAGTTGTCTTTTCCCCTGCTGCCAAATAGTGAATGATTGCCCATTGAGGAGGAAGAGGAGGATGACGACAAGGATGGCGACGAGGTGAGGTTATTGAAGTTGTTAAAGGAGGAGGATGTGTTATTGCCGCCGTTGTTGTTGTGTGGATTGAATTGGAAGAATTCTGATGACGCTTGCATAAGAAGGTTGGTGTTGACCTGAATCTTGGGGAGGGTGGTATTGCTCTTCGTGTTGATGTTGTTGTTGTGGATATGGTAGTTGGTCCAACTATTGTTATGGATGGTCTTGGGGCTGTTGGTGCCTTGGATGGCGTCGTGGCGTCTGGCTATCGACTCCTCCTTGGCTCTCAGTTCCCTCTCCAACTGGTCCAACTGAACGCTCCAGGCCTCCATCTCAGCATGGCGCTTCTTCAGTCTCTTGGTCTCTTGGTGTTGCTGGATCTTCTTGTAGTCCAGCAACTGTTGTTGACGCTCAACCTTCTCCAGCTCGATGTTCTGTGCACGTTTCCTCAATGACAGGTCTTGGTCTCCGTGTGCGAGACACTCCTTCTCAACCTCCTTACCCAGGAGCAGGAGAAGAGAGGTGTCAATGGATGATGACGAAGATGATCCGTCCAGGGATGTGGTGGCAGGGCTGGATGACATGTGGGATAAACGTGGCGAGCCTGTGGGACTGGGGACAAATGCATTGGGGGAGCTGTTGTCCGATGATGACAAGTCAGGCGACTTCCTCTTGCTTGGTCCTCTGTTGTTGAGTTGTTCCAACTCAAGTTTAGAGATTGCTGCAAACATATTTAAGTTAGGCTTGGGAGGGGAGGCACCGGTTGGGACCTCAAAGTTGCCAATTGGTGACAGAGGACCCTCTGGCGAGGCGGACATTGGGCTCATTTGCTCAGAGGCAGCAGCCGCAGCAGCATGCTGCTTTGGCAGATCAATCAGTTGCTCAAGCAAACCATTCCTCTTGGCCGAGGGCAGCAGATTGGACAACTGCAGTAACAATGATTTGTTGTTAAAGTATGACTTGCACTCTGAGCATCCGACGGTGAAGCGGTCTTGGACGGGTGGGTGTGACCCCAGGGGATGCGAGATGCGGCCCTCACAGTTGTCCGGGCACGCTTGGTGGCGCTTGTGGTGGAATCCACATGACACTCTTCTCTTGTTTGTTCGCTTGTCCTTGGTACTTGAGTTGGAGTTGGAGTTGGACTGTTGTTGTTGCTGCTGGATGAGCATTATGGGTGATGAAGGCTGTTGCTGGCAGAGTTGGCTGGCAGACATTGTTATGTGTATTTACAATTCAAATTGGTACTTGGTAGGAGCACTGGAAAAATAATAATATATGTTAGAATTATATATAATATTAATTATTATATTTCAATTTGATGGATGGGACAATAATTAATTAATTATTAATTATAGTAATAAAATATAAATATATGTATATACAAGAGTGACGTTTAGAAAGTTGTTGTCCAAAGTGATAAGAATATACAGAGAGTCGAGTGTATCGATGAGTAATGGGCTTATTATCAATGGGGAGTTAAACAGGATGTTTAGCAACGCGGAGTCGGGGTTGGATGATTAATGTTGGAAAGCCTTCAGGTTTGAGTGATGGGAATGGTAACAATTATAGGGTTGTGTTGTTGATGTCGAGGAGTATGGAGGCGATGGCAGTGGCAGTGGCCGTGGTGATGGTGATGAGGGCAGGGCCGATGCACAGGTTGCAACACACGTGTGTGGGTGTGGATTGATGGTTGGTTTGATGGCTGAAAGAAAGTGATTGATTGATTGATTGATTGATTGAATATTGTATGAATGACTACTACTGATTGATTGAGGCTTGGTTGGGGCTTGGGCTTTTTAAGGCCTTAGTTACTGTGTTGATTATGTGTGTGTGTGCGTGTGTTATGTGATTGAGTGAAGGTGGAGGGGTGTTCTTTAACTCTGCAGAGAGTGTTGTTATGTGTGTGTTCGTTGGAGTTTGTTTGTGTGTGTGTGAACGATGGAAGGGCTAAAGATAAGTGTGTGTTTGATTGGCTGTTTACAACTACTGCAGAGACTGATGATGTTTAAGGTATATGCTCTATGTATGTAGTATACTACTAATGGATGTGACAGAGAGATAGTGTGTGTGTGAAACAATCGTGATTGAAGGAAATGGTAAAGGGTGAGATAACTCTTCCTTCCATAAGATGTCACACTTGGTCAGGTGTGTGATCTAGGTGATTCATAGGAGGTGGCATTTAACTGCCCAGGAGCAGGGTGGGGGCGGGAGGACCGGTCGAGATCCAACAAGGATCAGGCAAGACACTTGTCTTCCCTTCTAAACGACTCTTATTGTCGAGCTAACCTCCCTCGCACCCCACGAAAAGGGGGACCAAAAACTGACAAAACACGCATACTTTGCGGCTTTTGTTCCTTGTTTGACTTAAACAAATCGTGAGTGTGGGGGTTGCAACCACTTTGGCACTATTAATGGCAGCGTCGTGCGCTGGCTGATTGACCGACAGACAGATCCGGGGAGAGTGGTGGTCTCCGACGAACAGCAGACACCTCCTGTTAATACTGGTTAAGGAGGAGCTTTGCTAGCGGATGTTGGAAACGTTATCCATCAACTGTTCTTTAAAGGAAACATGATGGCAACAACAATAATATATGGATTGATAGATGGACGAATGGATGGATATATTGATGGATGGTTGGATAGATGGATGGATGGACTTGGTCGACCGCTGTCCACTCTGGTATATGCGCGCGACGATTGGTCAGACAAGATGTTCCAACAGGTTTCGTACCTCTGGCATATCTGACTATTTTTCGCGAGGATACAAGACGTTTGGATAAATTGCAAGATAAAATTATAACACAACGAACAACATCCTTTGTGAAATATGGAATGATTGAATGAGAGTGAGGTGAGTGAGGTGAGTGATGGATAGAGTGAGGTGAGTGAATGATGAGATGAGATAATGCCGAAGGTACCTGGGAGTTTCGTTAAGAAAACACCTGGATATATTATTGATTGATTGATGTTGAATAAAAGAATAAATAAACGGATGTCGTGAGATAGATACCTTTGAAGGAAGTTGATGATTAAGATTGAGTAGGCAAATGGCGAATCAAGACTAGCCGAGTCTTTAAGATGATGTATCTTTGAATGTCGGGTCTTTGAGGCTCACTCATATCAATTTCGATCAAATTGGTCAAAATTAATTAAATAAAGAAGATTCATCTTATCTATGTAAAGGAGTGTGTTCTGGAGGCTTTGAGGGAAGACTTGGAATCCATGTCCTTGTGAAGATGGCCTCGACTATGTGGATGGGTCCTTGTCAACACTTCCCCTGCAAAGGTCAACCCAAACTTGGTGCAGGGGGTTGACTCAGATTTGCAGTGTTTCCGTCCCGCACTGCCTAGACACCTGATGTGGACTCACTGACTGATTGGGGTAGCGCAGGGATCGGCGTGCTCCTGTTGGAGCACCGAGCCTGATTAGTCATCTACCACTCAACTGTTGCTAAAGCACACTCTGGTAGGATATGATAGGATACCTGTTTTCCCACCTTAAGTGGGCCTTCTAAGGTGAAAGATATTTTTGATTTGTTGTTGGTCCAAGGATCATGACTTTGTGCCCCGACGATGGACGCGCCAACAATAGAGTCATCGTTACATACCTACATACATACTAGTGTGGGTTGTTGTCTTTTCAAACAACCTACACTCTTGAGATGGATTGGTGGATATTATTGAAAACAAACGAAGGATGACGACCAAAGATGTTGGTTCATCAATCCACCTCTCTTGGCTCCACCACTCTACTTCTTTAATTAATGAAGTAGGGCTGCAAACAACAACTTTAATGGGCACTCGATTGTAGCATCCCATCATGAAGCCATTCGCCCTTATGGAGTACCATTGGTAATGCCTATACCGGTTTGTTTCCATTTCCTTCAACATTGGTCCTACCTCACCAATCATGATTGATAGCTGATGGTGCTGTTTATGTAACCTCCCACGGTTAGCACCCACATTGGACAGATACTGGATCTCGCTACTTTTTTTTTCGTTTCATCATATGACGATCTTTGCATCTTCATCATGACCTAGATATTTTAATCTCATTGACCTTGGTCTTGGACGTGGTCGTGGTCCAATCCAAACGATATTAACAAACTCGTTATGGTCCAATAATATTCAATAATAACAAAGAAGTAGTAATAACTATGCAGAAGAACCAATTGATGGTTCTGATCATGGTACATACTTAATTATTTTATGTGTTATATAACATAATAGTCTGACTATCACATAATTATGTGGGAGTGTGTGGTGGATGATGGAAGTGGGGAAACGATAAACTAGAGTGTTAATTATGTGATTGTTTGATTGTTGTTGTCAAGTGTGTGAAGTGCGATGTGATGTGTCTGACACTTCATCATTCAGTCAACACCACATTTAAGTGATGTTGATTGCAATTAACAGACTATTACCTTGTTAAGTATGTTGTAGTCTATCTCTTGTCATCCAACATTAACAAATATATAATCAATCCTTTAATTATTGGGACAAGACATATAATGAATGACATTTGACACATCATACCCTTCTATCTATCCATGTCCAAGTGTGGATGGCTAGGGTAGGTATGGTACATACTTAAAAAACACAACAGTGATATTAATGTTGTTTGATTGAAGGATTAGGTGAGTATTGATGAACTGATACTTGCCTTATTAACATTATCTCAATCTCCGATATCTTGGCATTAATTACCTATATTTATTTATTAATACTTTGATATATATATATATATTTATAAATTATAACAATGATGTATAAGTTAAACATTATAACTCTGTTCCTACTCTTCACTACCTTTGGTTTGTTAATAGTATCATTTTCCAGTAAGTCACTAGTGATGTTCATTCATTCATTTACAAGAAGAAGAAGTTACTAATATAACAAATATTGTAGCATATTGGTTCAAGGTCACTGATGTTGAAGGTGAGACAACATATTATAAATCAGATAGGATTACAAAGACACAGCCAGGTGGATATACTACTGATCTATGGGGTAGTGCCGATACAAGCAACTTCCATTTGATATTCCAAGTGTCAGTGGCACTGGCTATAATTGCATGGATATTCTGTATATTCTCAATTATAATGGTATTGTTGGGTACACTTGGCATTTGGCACAGAGTCAGTTGGTCACCTGTTAGGTTCATTACAAGATTCAGTCCAGTACCAGTGTTTGCCTTGTCTTTGGCTGGCTTTGCCATCTTTGTTGCATTGCCTAGTGCCATTACTAAGGATTGTGAGTCCTCCGAGAGCAGTTGCAGTGATCCAGCGATTACAAAGATTATGGGATCAAATGATACCATTGCTTGGAGTCCAATCGAGGGCTGGGCATGTCTAGTGGTAGCGTCTGCCGTCGCTCTGGCAGCATCAATCGTCTCAATAGTTGGAGGAAGGTACTAGTCTCTCATTCAATCACATTCATTCACTTATTCAATAAATAACAAGATATACTTGTTGCAGGTGTATTTATTAAGTCAACCTCTAGAGTTGTGGCTCATCATTGCTTGTGGAAGTCGATGATGATGATGTCGATGTCGGAGTGGAGGACGATGAAGACGTGTCGATGTCTTCAGCTCCACCAGTTTGTGGCGTAGTTTGGTTGTTGTTGTTGTTGTTGTTGTTGTTGTTGTCCTCTGTTGAGACTATGGGTGTCAATTGAACCTCTGGTATTACAATAACACCTCCATTACTCTTGTTCATTCCTGCTTTACCCTTCTTGCTCAAGGCCATGTCCTCTTCGGGCAAGGAACCATATACACCCTCCTTGGCAAGTCTTCTGAGCACTTGGGAGTTCTGTGGACCGGTCTCGTCAACCAGCCACGACAGTAGGCCATCGGTCTTCTGGAGAAGGTTATGTGGTGTATCAAACTCGGAGATGCGACCTGCATCCAGGACCATGATACGGTTGGAGTCCATGATTGTGTTGAGACGATGAGCAATTGTAAGAATGGTGCAGTCGGAGAACTTGGCACGCACAGTCTGTTGGATCAGCGCATCGGTGTTGGAGTCGACACTGGCAGTGGCCTCGTCCAGCACCAAGATCTTTGGCTTTCTCAGCAGCGCACGACCAAGACAGATGAGCTGGCGTTGACCAACGGACCAATTGTCACCATTCTCAGTGACCTTGCACTGCAGACCGCCCTCCATGGCCTTGACTACGGGGTGCAGTTGGATGTTCTCCAACAGATCCCAGAGATCATCGTCAGTGTACTCATTGAATGGGTCTAAGTTCTCGCGCAGTGTGCCACTGAACAGGACTGGATCTTGTGGAATGATTGAGAGGTTGCGCCTCAAGTCCTTGAGACCGTAGATTGAGATGTCTTTGCCATCGATCAAGATTCTTCCCTCGGAAGCCTCGATCAAACGGAAAAGTGCCAGCACGATTGAACTCTTGCCAGCGCCAGTCCTGCCAACAATACCAATCTTCTCCTTTGGCTTGATCTCGCAGCTGATTCCCTTGAGCACTGGGTCCAATCCCTCACGGTATCTCATTACCAGGTTGTCAAAGGTGATGCCTCCGTGCTGTGGCCAGTCGGCGGATGGACGGCTCTCCTTGATGATCTGCTTGGCTTCGACTGGACCCTTGGTGTAGTGGACGATTCTCTCGACACTGTTCATCTTGGTCTCGGTCATGGCCGCCTGAAGTGTGGCCTTGTTCAAGTTGTTGGTGACTGACAATGAGTATGATAGTGCAAGACCAACGCTACCAATGGCCAGTGTGCTCTTGTCCAGTGTTACAAAGAGGGCTGTGAAGAAGATGACCAAGTTGCCCAGCAGATCGAGACGCAGTCCAAGCCATTGTTGCATTGCTTGCAGGGTCAGGTATGCCTGGTTGTTGGCGTCCAACAGCTTGTGGTTGTGAAGAACGTTCTTGTCTTGTGTCCTGTACGCGCGGATAGTGGCGACACCGTTGAGAGTCTCAGAGAAGTGAGCAAAGATTGGCGAACGACTGATCGACTCGAGACGCTGCAGCTCACGAGAGGTGTGACGGTAGAAGTTCTGCAAGATGTAAAAGATAACCATGATTGGTGCCATGGGAATGAGCAAGAATGGAATGAAGATGGCAATGATGATGATAGTCGCCACAACAGACAAGAAGAAGTTGATGTACTGCGAGAGTGATGGGGCGATAAGACTGTCCACACTGTCCATGTCGCGAGTGAATCGATTGAGAATGCGACCCATTGGTGTCGTGTCAAAGAACCACATTGGTGCGCGAAGCAGGGAGTTGAACAACTGCTCGTGCAGTGCCTTGCCAGCGCGCACAGTGTATGTGAAGTAGGCAAAGTTACGCAGACCGGCCACAATGACAGAGAACAATCCAATGCCGATAAAGATGTACAGATACTGATCATTTGTGAGTGATGCCTTGCCTGGGATTCTTGTGTCGTCCGACCACTTTGACAGCCACCAGTTGAGCACTGTCGACGAGCCAATGTCCAGAAGGAAGCCAACAAAGACCATAGAGAACAGACCACCACCGCCAGCCGTGAAGTACTTGATATACATCCAGATGGACACGGCGCCCTCCTCACGCTCCTCTTGCTGCACGAGTGTGCCGTCCTTGTTCTTGAGCTCGACCTTCTCCTTGGGCTTGGTCTTCTCCTCGATGATGATCTCCTCCTCGACGCCATCCTCACCAGCGTCGCTGCTGCTGGCGTCCTCAATGCCGTACTCCTCAAGTTGTTTGGAGAAAGCTTGCTTGGACTCCATGATCTGGGTGTAGGTGCCGCGCTCGGCGATGGAGCCGTCCTTCATCACCAACACTTCGTCGGCGTATGGCAGGTACTGCAGCTGGTTTGCTGCGAGAATGACGGTCTTTTCCTTGAGCATTCCGTTGATGCACTTATGGAACAGATGCTTGCTGACGTGAGTGTCGACGGCTGACAATGGGTCGTCCAGGATGTAGATGTCGGCGTCGTTGTAGACAGCTCTGGCGATGGACACACGCTGCTTCTGTCCTCCAGACAGGTTGACTCCACGCTCTCCAATCTCCACGTCGTCGCCCTGTGGGAACAACTCAATGTCGCGCTGGAGTGCGCACACTTCGATGACGCGGTTGTAACGCTCCTCATCGTATGGTTGACCAAAGAGGATGTTGTTCTTGAGTGATGCGTTGATGATCCAGGCTTGCTGGGCGACGTAGGCGATCCTGCCCTTGATGTGCTGAGTGCCCGCGGTCCTCTCCATCTCACCGAGGACGGCTTGGATGAGTGAGGACTTGCCACTGCCGACTGAGCCGACCACGACGGTCAAGCTCTTGCCCGAGACACTGAGGTTGATGTTGTGAAGTTTGAATGACTCCTCCTTTTCGTTGTTCCAGGAGAAGCTGGCGCCCTCCAAGTGAACACCATTGGGCTTGCCATCGTTAGCATCTGATTGAACATTCTCCTCCATCTCTGGGAGCAGCAGGAATTCGGTTACTCTCTGCGCGGCGATCTGAAGCTGGACACCAAAGGCGACGATGATTGGAAGGAATGCCAGGGGCATACGCAAGATGTTGATGTATGCCACTGCGGCAAAGATATCACCAGCATTTGTCGAGTCCTTGGTCTTGAAGTATGTCGTGAAGACAAGAATAGATACAATTGTTGGGAGTGATGAGACGAAGAAGATCAGTCCAGCTCTCTGTTGTTGTGTTTGATTGATTGATTGAGTGAGTGAGAGTTTGGTTAGTGGATGTGGACGAGTGGACGATGTCCTAGGACATACTTACAATGTGAGAGAATGATAACAACTTGGCGACCTCAGCGGCACGTCGGTCCATGACACGCTTGGCAAAGCTGTCCTCCCAGGCATAGAGCTTGATCACTTTGATCGCTTGAAGGATCTCGTTGGTGGCCTTGACACGACCGTCTGTGTATCTGACCAGTGCACGACGAATACCAACCAATCGCTTGGCGGCAATACCATTGAGTGGGAAGGTGATGATCATGAAGGCAAAGCCAATGAATGTCGGCCAACCAATAGAGAAGTAGAGCAGGATGACACAGGCAATGATCTGGAACGGTGCAAACACACCATTGTTGATCAGCAGGAACACCTCAGTCATTCTCTGAGCATCGTTACTCATCAGATTGACGATCTGGCCTGGTGACGTCTTGGCACGAGATGAGTTACTCAGCTTCAACGACTTCTTATATACATCACAGACGATAACAGATCTCATCTAAGTATGATTGATTGAATGATTGAGGTAATATGAGTTAGTGGAATGATCTCAATGAATGATTGTCCAATCTTGGGACACTTACATAGTCTCCAACTCTTGCAGATATCATGTTGGCTTGATATAAACAGAATGAACCAATCATGGCAGCTCCAAACATTGAGATGGAGTAATAGTAGCCCATGTTTGGATCGAGTCCAGGCTTACCAACACGTGATTCAACGACAAAGTTGACCATACGCTTCAACAGCTCAGGTCCAACAAACTGCGACGCAGCATAAATAGCATAGAATATCCAACTCACTGTGAAGTAAGGTCCAAACGCACGAATTGCTGCAGATTGATATGATGGTCTATGAGTGATTGATTGATTGAGTGAGTGAGCGAGTTAGTATGATTGATTGAATGATTGAATGATTGGATGATTGAATGATACATACTTTGGCTTGACCTTCTCCTTCTCCCATTGTTCACCAAGCTTCTTGGTTAAGTAGTCGGCCGTATCGAATGAGGCCAAGTTCCAGATATGACGATGTTCCAATACATTCCTATAACAGAACCAAACGAAACTGTTTGCCCAGTCCCATGTCATCTTTGAAATGAAGTTTGCCTTCTCCTCCGGACTGTCATGTCCGCCGAACCCCTTCACGGCGGCTCTCTCCTTAGTCCTCCTCTTACCCGCTTCCTCTTTAGTTTCTTTAAGTTTAGTCATTAATTATCTATTTATATATAAATATATATTAATGTTTATATATATATGTATATATAACTATTATAATATATAGACTGATCAGACAGTCTTTGGGTATTTATATCTCTCTCTTGAGTAAAGGATAGGATAAGAGAGAGCGTAAGAAACGAAGTGTGATGACGATGTTATGAGGTATCAGTCAGTGTCTGTCAAAGACCTTGGGTATCGGGGGGTATATTGTTAAAGCCAAGTAATCAAGGAGTCATTGATTGAATGAATGGATGAATGAAAGTTGATGGATGAATAGATGAGGAGGAGGAGCAACAACAATATGTTATGTTGGTGAGCAGCAGCATAGGGGTAAACAATCGACCATTCCACAATGAGGCCGACCATTCATTCATTCATTCATTAACAACATTCAGATGTATGTAAGGGGAGAGAGAGGGAGAGCGTACGCGCGCAGGCCTGTCCAAGCCGCGTCGGGATATGATGTGGTGAATGTTGAGAATTGTCATCATGCTCACACAGGAATGATGAATTCCCAGGTGAGTTGTGTGTAAAGTGAAGATGTGCGACGTTGTTTTGTTTGTCGACTTTCGTACACACGAATGAGCATTGTTTCGATATCTTTTGTCTTGAATCACGCGGTTCTCTAATACTAAATACACACACAGATAATTATTCCATGGACTTGTCTACAAAGTGTCTCTTTGAACTTCGAGATATTAATAAAGTAATCGATCAATCACGATCACTTTGTCATCACAATTTAGAGATTGTGATCAATTCATTCATCATTGTAAACAATTAATGATGGATTGATTGATTGTCTTTTGGTAATGATCGACATTGATCTTTATCAATGATGAATGGTTGAATGGAAGAAGCTTCCATCGACAATATAAATACATTGCCTTGATGAGTCAATGTGTGTGTCCTTCAATATAATGATGAAGCCGCGATGACTCAGCAGAGCAAGTGTGATAAAGTGTACATTGTATTTACATCAATCAATCAAACATTGTTGAGATGAGTTGGATTGAGTTGAGTTGAGTTGGATTGTAGATGATGGATTGGCCAAAGTTGAGGGAGGCTTGGACATGTCGACGTCGTCGTCGTTGCCAAGACGGGAGTATCTGTTCAGTGCTTCTTGTTGTTGTTGAATGGTCCGCCATTGGCAGACATGGTGGTGAGATGTGTTTCCAACTCAGACTTGGAGAAGCCCAACTTCTCAAAGAATGTGGACGGCAGTTCGATTGGCTGCTTGGAGATGGCATCGACGGCAACCATGCCCACCTCTACCAAGGCGATTGGTTTGAATGTGGCGCCAGTCGGCTGGTCAAGATGGAATGTCTCACCAACGTGATGCTCGACAATGCTCTGGGGAAAGTCTGAGCTGCCAATGGGCACCAACGAGCGAATGCGATGACACATGCGGAAGCCACAGCGACTCCTCTCTCCAAATCCACTCTCCACGATCAGATCATCAAACAATTCGCCATTATTCAAGTACTGTGCAGAGATATCACCAATCAACAATTGAACAGAGAATGGTCCTTTCTTTGGCATCAGATTCCTCTCTGACAATCCTATCTGTCGCAAACAATCAACTCTAGCCTCTTAATGAATGAATGATTGATTGAATGGTTGGATTGAATGATTGAGTGAGTGATCTTGTACCTGTTTGTGTGTATGATATATGTACATACCATGAATGATCTTGATGACTGAAGCATGATCTAGATGTGACATGTAGTTCAAGTCATTAATGTTAACTTTACGTTGAAAGACATGAAAGTATTTAGATAGTGCATTCAGTTGTATTCTTGGCATTCTCTCTCACTCTTCCGATATTATTGGTGTAACAATCTTGATATGTTAGTATATCTATCTATATATTTGTTTATATTGTTTGTTTGATTGATTGTTTGTTTGTTTGCTTGATTGATTATCTGTAGACTGAGTCAATTTCAAATTCAACTTATTGATCAATCAAATCTTTCACAAGATTGTTCTTTTGAATGTTTTTCAAACAGTGAATAGCCAATCATCCATGAACCAACATCCTTTTTATTTCCCCAAGTTCAACTAATATTTAAACAACACAACTTGACTGACATGAGTAGATGATTGACTAATTGATTGACTAATTGATAGAGAAGAATAAGAATGCTCCATCTTATTATATTAATATAACCTAACATACGTAGGAAACAAGATATTAATTACTTGGTCACCCATATGACCAAGATGCACTGAAGTGTGCTGTGAAGATAGAGTTGGGTGCTTATTATTGAACAACAACACTTGATTGCTGCTAAGGTTAGCTTGGGTTCTGCAGGGTTCAACGGGTGTTGTGGGTGGATTCTTCAAATATTTGTTTTGGAATCCAAGGTCCGACCCGTGATGACCCTTTGCAACCTCCAACATAGTAATAGCGACCAATTAATACATATATATAATACAACATCTGATGTCTGAGGAGCTAACCCAGTTAATAGTCACCAGAGTTAAGCAAGCAGGTGTCAAATGCTTCTTCTGCGGTACTGAGTTGGATATCTGGGTCTTGGGCAAACACCTGCCCGTGTGCGCCAAACTGTGTTACAATATCATCATTGATATGTTCCAGACTAAAGAATCACAGGAGGAGACTCACACGTTGAGGCTGCGTATAGAGGAGTTAGAGGGAATCATCAAGTCATTATCGCAACAACAACAACAACAACCACAGCCACAACAACAACAGCCACAACAACAACAGCCACAACAACAACAGCCACAACCAACATCGTTGTCATCAACACTCACGCTTCAGCAAATGAAGACGCCAACCAAACAAGGTGCGGCAGAGAACAATAGAGAGCTGATGAATATCACACATACCAAGAAGTTGATGGATGGAGAGACTAGCAAACAAACCAAGTGCTTCCTGCATTCCAACGTTCGAGACCCAACCAATCCCAACCGGATTATAGTAGAGGCGACTTGCAATTCACCAGAGAACAAGATCGAGAAGAAGATCATTGTCTACTATGGCGACCAAAAAATGATGATGTGCAGTGTTGGACATATTACAAACCATACCAGGTCAATGCCCTATTTGAAGCTTGCTGTACCTGCGATTGGAGAACACGATCCAGAGAAGCCTATCATTGGAGATTCTGTCCAACATTGCCAGAACTGTTCAAAGGGTTGTTCTCGCATCTTGAAGTGTTGCCATCCAGACAGCACGTTTGGCGTCTTTGTATACTTCTGTCGATGGAACTGCCTTGTCGAGTATCTAACCAACAAACGAGAGAAATGGACTCAATGGTGCGAAGCGAACACCGGTATCTCCAGCAGGGCAACGATAGATATCGACGATAATGCGATGTCAACAACTACATCACCACCCATCCCAGCACCCAGCCCAGCAGCACCAAGCCCAGCAATAACCAAACCAGTGTCTAAATCAAAGGCCAAGAAAGCAGCTGCAACACCAACACCAACAACAACAACAACAACAACAACAACAACAAGGAGGAACAATAAGAGGAAGAACAATACCCTTGAAGAAGGTGAAGAATAAATATGCTGCCAGCAAGCTAAGTCCATTAACTGACAAATGCCATACCCTCAACTCTGCACTTACAGATCAATGGTTCAACCAAGATGAAGAGTACACAAGTTACTTCAAGCTCTCCCATAGTCAAGTGTCTCAGCTCTGTGAGAAGCACTCTTTTGAACACAAGGACATGCTCGTCTTCCTCATGAGGTGCCGCCACAACCTTCCCTGGTACATGATGGAGCGTGTGTTCCTATATCAATTGACAATCGCTCAGCTCAGGTACTCATTCACCAAGGTGTTCGATAGATTGAAGTCGTACTGCCATGGGTACTTCCAGGATGTGGTTCACAATGGAGAGCTTCGAGACAATCATGCAGAAATATGGAAAGATGGTATTAAGCACAATGTTCATCTCATTGTGGACGGGTCAGAGCAGAGGATTCAAGTGCCGCCACACAAGACGATCAAGGATCTTGTTTATTCTGGCAAGAAATCAATGTATTCTTTGGCAGTGTTGGTCATTTGCGATATACGTGGCAAGATCGTGTATGTAGGTAAGACAGAGGGAGGCGCCCAGCCTGACGTCTCGCTCTACAAGGATGCTGCACCTAGACTACAGGCTCTGTTCGATGAAGATATTGTCATTCTCGGTGACAAAGGATTCAAAGGAGGTCAGAAGTACTACACCAACACCATCACCCCCAAGATCAAGTCGGCTTCATTGATCGATCATATGGAGTACACAGACAAGATGATCAGAAAACGCACGCTCGATGAGCATCGCCTGCGTCAAGGAAAGGAGGCGACCAAGGTATCTAAGAAGTTGAAGGCATTGGAAGCCAAGGTCACCAAAGAAGGATTCGATGCCGAGCGTATCCTGAGAGAGAAAGATGAGAGCAATCGAATCAAGAAGGTGAGGATCATCATTGAGAATGTCTTTGGAGAGATGAAGAAATGGAACATATTGTCAGACACAATCAGATCACTTGGCGACCTTTCTGACAACATTCAACGACACAACGCACTCTGGACAATTATCGCATATTTGACCAATATGTTCCACTCCTTTGGACGAGACGACGATTTCTTTAAGGTCTAATTTATCATACAACAACAACAACAACCACAACAACAACTACAACAACAACAATAAAAATATAAATATTTAATTAACATCAGATAAGGTTTGAAAGGGTTCCCCTTGCTGTTCCAAGGGTTGTCCAGGGTCGAACCAGCTCGAACCCAAGGATTGAGACCGCTGAAAAATGAATTCTCTGCGTAACCTTGACTATCCCCTGCAGAACCTTAGCAGCAACCAACTTGTTCACCGATCTTTAATTCAATCGATGAAACTTTAGTGATTTGTGTCATGTCTCATCCCCATTGATCAAAATGTAGGTAAATGAGTGATTGATTGAAGGCACATGCATGAACCTCGAGGTAGCTCATTGATCGTTTGTTGAGCGAATCTGAAAAATCATGTGTCAGCTGCGTCATGTTTTGGGGTTCAACTCGCACTAAAAACAGCATTGTTGAGCCTTCGGTGAGGCTTGTCTATTCGTGCCCTCAACAGACTTTTGACATAACCTGTGTTGCTCCTGATGACACTCACACCAGTGTTAATCGATCGTTCAACACCTGCAAACTACTGGATCATTAAGTCAAGTCCGACCAAACACACGTAGCCATGCGCATAGGCCACACACTCCTCTGACCAACCAATCAGTCAATCATTCACAAACAAACCTTTCCACTCTACAATCAAACAAACAATCATCCATAATCAATCAAACAAACATATAAACATACTCACTCACTCACTCAGTCACTTCACTCAATCACTCTTTACATTACACTCACAATGATGTCAATGATGTTGAGGACTCTCTTTGTTGTGATGGTGCTCTTGCTGGTTGGCTCAGAGACGTTGTCATCGGCATTCAGAGTGGAGCGTGCTGATGTGACCGTACGTCAATCAAATATACTGGGCGTGGACATGGAGTATGCAACGATCGATGTAACATTCGACCGCGACTTGTATCTACAGACGGCCGTCACATGTCCCAATGATGCGTGTGCGGAACATCAGCTGCTAGGCCCCATAGACTGTTCGTGTGACTACACCGACCCGAACAACTGTGGACATCCAGTGTCGAATGATCCCTCGTGCCCAAAATGCACCAACTTCACCAGAGCTTACTACTCAACTGACGTGTGCAGCCAACACACTCCCTGGCAGGTCATCCATGCCAATCAAACATATCACTACACAAATCAATCATTCACCGAGGAAATGACCATGAGTGGATGGGTCGAGTTCCGTTACAAGGCAAACAACACATATTGTGAGGCCATCAGTGTAAGTCAGTCCCTCAAGTGGATGGAATGGTTCCATGTTCACTCACTCACTCAATCATTCAATCAAACATTTAGGTGATCGTTTCAACAGAGATTGGTGATGATCTAACTTTGTTTCTCAATAATGATGGCTCGAACTTTGGAAGAAAGATTGGCCAGGACAGCGTGAACGCCCGCCAGCAATTGACTGTGTGTCCTTCGGACAATTCGCAGATGTGGGCGTATATCTGGGATTGGACCGTCGACACATACTTCATTTGGATTCGTCCCAGTAGGGACATTGTGCCAATCTTCTCATTAACATTGCTCTCGGTGCCTGTATATCCGCCACCAGCCGTTCCAGTAGCCTGCGCGGCAGTCACACCCAATCACACATGTATAGTCGATGGCGAGGTGGTCAATGGAACGATGGATGGCGGCATGCCACAGTACTACACCTTTGAAGTCACGCACAACATGTCGCTCTCATTCGCCTGTCCCACGCTCATGGAGGACATCGATGTGTTCATCTCGGAGGATCCGACCTCTGCCTTCCCCAACCGCACACACTACACCTGGGCATTCTACCAAGTCTTTGATGATTATGGAACATTGGTGGTCGCTCCTCATTCCAATGGCACCGCTCGCATACTATACATCACAATCGTTAGCGAGTTGGCGACGGGCTTCATCTGCACCTTCTCATCCAAGGCGCCCATTTGGAAAGATGCACTCGTTGACCAATATGCCAAGGGTGGCACATTCAACCTTCAGGGCACAGCCCGAGTGCAGCATCCAGATGGAGAGTACTATCACCGGGTGTTCTACGATGATAATGGACCATTCACAATCTTGTTCCCACGACAGGACAACAATCCACTGTGGCCTGTCCCAACCATATTCTCTCAGATCGATCTGTCACTGGGCCTGCAGTATCAGAGCACAATAACGATTCGCGATGCGACCAATTCACCCAAGCCACGATCATTCCAAGCTGCCTTTATCCTGTCCTATCGCAAGGAGGACCTGTCCATTGTGCTCAGCAACCTGACAGAGATCCTCAACTCCAAGATTGACTTCCTTAACATCATTGTTGACGCTGATGGAAATGTAAGTGTCGTCAGATGGGACTATCCCAGCCCAAACCTCGGCCCAAGCCCATGCTAACCTAACACACTCAATCAATCAGGCACTTGATCTACGTGGCGTACCATTGACATTGGCACAGCAGAGTTGCAACTATACTGCGTTTGAATCGATTGTGGACAAGATCAAGGCCATTGGATCAGTGATGTACAACACGACTTCATTCAATGAGCTCATGAGCAACAGGTATCAGGCGGACATCTACACGATGAGCAATGATTGGGTGGGTTGCACAGCGCAGGCCAACTCACTGCTGGCCACGGAGACGGTCACCACGACTGTCGCCACCAAAGCCTGTCCATACAGCGATGATAGCGTTGAATTCAACAACGACCCATGTTGCCACTCGCCTGGCAAAACATTCTTCCAGTGCTGTGTGCCCCGCAACGTGACCGTCGTCACCAACGCTGTTGTCGGCGTTCGTAATGACCTGATCAGCAAGCAATGCTCCAGCACTGGCTGCACTGCATCAGTATTGAGCGACTACCAACGATCACTTGGCGATATTGACCATGGCGGATGCCCACTCACCACCTCGCAGGACTACCAAAAATTCCTCGAGGCAACGGCCAACACACTGCGCTACTGCCAGGCACAAGTACTACGCGTTGTCTACTGCAGTGACGACAATGACTGCGCATCAGTCGTGGGTGGCTCGTGCAACATGTACACGCGACGCTGCGAAGCGCCTGCGGCGGTCCAAGACCAGGAGTACGTGCGATGCGTGATAAACTCATCTTCGTCCGAGGTGCAGATGTCCATCCGCCTGCTGATAGGCCTCGAGGGCAACAGCACAATTGATGAGTTGGTCGATGGTATGGTGTACGTGTCGTCCAATGTGGAAGACTGCGTGTCGTACACAGGCATCCAGTATCGAATCAAGTACACATACACGTCGAAGGACCAGTCCCATGGAATCAACAATTACTACCCTGTCGTGCCTCTTTGCTACGACACCAAGTCATGTGTCGTCCAGCACGACACCGGTCTGGACGGATCGATCGGTGGCTTCTACTACCAGCCAATCTCCATGAACAGCTCAACATGTTCACAACAGATGAACTGTCGCCACTGCCCACTGGGTGATACTGCCTGTCTCGCAACATGCTCTGCAAGTCCCAAAGAATTCTGCGGCCACTGCACAAACAATCTAACGCGATGCCACGTGTTCAGCCAGTACACAAACGTCACCGAGTGCAATGCCTCCAATCAAGTGTGTCTGTTGCCCAATGGCAAGTACGTCCCGGACCTCTCGCCAAGTGATTGCCAGAAGCGCGGCGCATGTAGCCATGATTGTGGCCGCCAATGCGCCGGCCCCTTCATTGGTTGTGCTGCGCGAGGCTCTATCATATTCAATGAGACCCTGTGCACTGACAACGTGACTTATGGAGTGTGGAGCGACCCGCTCAACTTGTGCTCCAACAACTTCACTCAAGAGGAGTGTGCACAGAACTCGATGACAATGCACTGGGTCAACTGCGCTCAGTTGTCTGCAGATGAGTGCCACACCGTGGTGGAGGGACTGTGTCGCGTCACACCCATACCCTGCACCACACAAGAGGAATGTGAGCGCGCTGGTCTGTGCTCCGACCAGCAGTTCTTCCAGCCCAACATGGTACGACAATATCCACGCGGCCTAGGCAAATGTGTCCGCGGACATACCCTCAAGAGCGTGTACTCGGTTGGCCCCTCATGCCAACTGGACGAGCACGACTCACCCAAGGGCTGCTACAGCCTCGCCCCTCTCGTCTACACTGAGTCCGAGTGTCGCGCGTTGGGATCAGAGTACACTTGGTGGACACAATCCAACAATCAAACACAATGTGAGTCGCACTTTGGATGCCAGATACCTGATGATTCATTGTTTGCGCCTGCCGCACAGTCTCGATTCAACGAGATGTCAGAGAGTATGTGCAAAGGAGAGTGTAGTTCCGACGGTCAGCATACCTGGACCAACATGTTCAGCTGGACGCCAGCAAAGTGGCTGCCAGGTGTGATGGTCAATGCCAGCTGGCTGCCAGGTGGCGCCGTCTCAACCTCCACCTTTGGCTACGCCGTCAACTACCAAGCCGTCGCGGACATAGTGCTAGCATCAAATCAATATCATGTCGCCGATGTACTCAGGTCATCGACCATGTGTAGGATGGAGCGTCTGCTTGAGAACCTCGAGTCCATCACATGTAGTTGCGCCGGCCATGGTGGCGCGGAGTGCTTCAAGTCGTCAGCCCTGGCACTTGGTTCCACCAAGCCATGCGTCAACGCTCGCTCAACGTACGAGTTTGCATATGGCCTGCTCAAGTTCAGTGAGAAATCGGTGCCAGCCTCCTGTGTCACCGTCATTGTGTCTCAGATCAGCCGACAGCTGTTCAAGGCCACGCCCAAGGTATCACTCAGCTCAAACTTTGTATCATATCCCAAGCCCGAGGCGTATGGAATCCCCAACGATCATGGGGCAATCATAGGAATAGTGCTTGGCGATGGTATCAAGGTTCAATCACTCGGTGTCAACTCATATATGGTCTGTCTGTCGATGGCTGGTTCGTCATTCAGTGACAAGTTCCCAACTTTGGACTTTGCACACGTCCGCGAGGATGCCGCCAACAAGTCCATGCTCGTGCCCATGGAAGTCCCCACCATCATCTCGACCGACAACAATCTGCTGTGCGCCAGCCTTAATCAACCGGCCACCGACACCACCTACTTCCCCATCGCGCGTGTATCTCATGGCTGGGCGACCCAGGCCAAGAAACCCTTCGACAAGACTACTACTAACATGCTGTACACACTTGGTGCCGTGTTTGTCTTCTGCGCCGGCTGGGGCATGCTACAGTTGATGTTCGTTGTGCATCGTCGCATATTCAGAACTGAGCTCTTTGAACTGGTGCACGGACTCATCCTCTCCTGCGTTATCTTCACTGCCATCCGCGCCGCCTACTTCTTCATTCTCCCCTCTGGCATGCTCTACGACTCGACAATCGCCGACTACATCCTAGTTGTGCTGCCAACGTTCATCTACTTCACGTCGTTCACCATCATCGTCGTGCTGTGGTACGTTGTGGTCAACATGAAGTTCAACGTCAGCCTCACCACCAAGTTCAACTCGCTCATCGTGGCGACCAACGCTGTGCTCTACCTAATCTTTATAATCATTGTACTTGTATTCAACTACACAAAGAGCAACCTGGTCAACATGTGTGGCGCGCGTCTCTTCATGGACGTCACGACGACAACACCACAGCGCATCGTCAGCATACTCTATGCGGCCATCCAGGCAGTCATCTCGTTGCTGCTTGGCGCGGCCTTCATCTACCTGGGCAGCTCGATTGTTCGCGCCATTCGCCAGGCGCAAGACACGATGGAGCAGCAGAAGAAGGTGTTCATTGTGACGGCGTCATGCTCGGTGGGCTTCATCCTGCATTGCATATTCGTACTGATCCTGGTGGCGGCCGACCCTGCCAACATCTACTTCAGCTTCGTGGGCCTCATCATCACCGAGATCGTGCCAGTGCTCACCATCCTCTTCTCGTACAACCAGTTGAGCAAGTACCGCAATGGCATCCAGAGGTCGCGTTCCAGCACGACGCTGGGCAGCAAGATGAAGGACGTCACACCCAACGTCTCTGGCTCACAATCATACTCATCATCATCAGAGTCGGGAACTGGCGGACTGACCTCATCGTCATCCATCACATTCTCCTCATCGCTCGATACCTCCAACAATCATTCCAGCAACCTCTATTAATAACTTATAACTTAATCTATTTATAAACTACATCCGTGTCGATTTGGATGTTAATGCCGACAACTTATTGTCTATCCTGTTGCGATCATGTGGCGGAGGTTGCCATCACAAGTTTGACTGACCGACTACTTTGTTTGTTAATGTTCCAAGATGTTCGATTGAGCAGGAGATGGTGTCACCAGGTTGTAGGAATATTGGTGGAGTGCGAGTGAAGCCAACGCCATAAGGAGTACCTGTGAATATGAGGTCGCCAGGACTGAGTGTCACAACTTTGCTAAGGTATGATACCACTTGTTGTACATTGAAGATCAGTTCCTTTGTGTTGGACTGTTGCATCACTCTTCCATTGAGTGTACTCTTGATTGATAGATTGTTGGGATCAAGTTCACAAGAGTTGGTATTAGTATCCAAGTGAGCCCATTGAGGATTGACTACGATCGCAGGACCAATCGGACTGAATGAGTTGAATGACTTGCTCAACGACCATTGACCGCCAGGCTTGCCAAACTGCCAGTCGCGAGCGGTGACATCATTGCCAACAGTATACCCGGCAACATAATCCAGTGCAGTTGACTCTGATACATTGTGACATTCACGACCAATCACAATGACCAACTCAACTTCATAATCGACTTGGTCACTCGATGTTGGTTTGACAATGTTATCATTTGGTCCAATGATTGCATTGGTAAACTTTGTAAACACTACTGGTTCTGAAGGGAATGCCATCTTTGTCTCAATAGCATGCTCCTTATAGTTTAATCCTACAGCAATGATCTTCTGAGGATCACTGATTGGTGCGCAAATCTTGACCTCATCTACACTGATCCTTCCAGAACCTGTACCAATGATCTGGTAATGTATGTTAGTTATTGATTGATTGATTGATTGGTAGAGTGAGGTAACATACATCGACAGCCATCCTCATGGACTTCTTGCCACCGTTCAGAAAGGATCGCATGTCTAATGGAAGTGTGTGTTTGCTGTTGGCTGATGCGAAGTCTACCACATGTCTTCCGTTGTCCAACAATGCACCAATACTTCTCTTTCCAGTTGACAATGTCTCAAAGGTTACCAACCTCAATAAGCTATTCATCTCTATCTCTATCTCTATCAATCACTTCAAATCAAGATAAGATGAAGCCAAAGATACTGATGACCTTTCAAGCCAAAGATTTTACCTTTGTAATGGGCAGGCAGGGCATCTCAAGGAACACAAGAAGAGGAAGGAAGATCGTCGTATTAATAATTTACAAGTTTATTGGTTGGATTGAATTGGATTGTTTAAACTTGATGGTTGTTGGTTGTTGGAAGAAAAATTTAAGATAGTTGACAAACAGTCAATGGACTGTTGGAGGGAATGGTGGAGGAGGATGGCAACAGCAACAGGTAGGTGCGGGCGGGTAAATGGGATTGTTGCGGACGGACGAACGCACGGACGTTGTGGTGGATGATGATGGTGGATTTGGGAATTATGCGCAGAGGTGTAATTAGTTGGTTGGATGGTGGATGATGCGTGGTCGGCTGACTGGCTGGTCTGATTAATCAGAGTCAGATGAGGAGTCAGAGTCGGAGGCAGCGTTGGCCTTCTTCTCGTCGTAGATCTTCTTCTCCATCTCCCAACGCTTCTTGTCCTCGGCGGCCAACTTCTCAAACTGCTTCTTGTTCTCTGGCAGTTGAGCATCCCAGGCCTTGCCCAGAAGGGAGCCAAGCTCGCCAAAGGTGGCCTGTGGGTTCTCGGCCTTGATGGTTGGACGCATCTCCTTGGAGAAGTAGATAAAGGCGGACAGATGACGACGTGGTGCGTTTGGATCCTTCTTGACCTTCTTCTTCTTCTTCTTGTCCTTCTTGGTCTTCTTTGACTTGGTATCCTTCTTGGACTTCTTCACCTTCTTCTTCTTCAATTCCTCATCAGAGGAGGACGATGAATCATCACTTGACATTATTTGTTTAGTTTCTTTAGTTTCTTAGGTATTGGAACCTTTAGTTGGTAAAGTAAAGTAGACAAAGGTAGGCAGGCGGTCACGTGAGGTAGAGAGAGAGAGAGAAAGAGAGAAGAAAATAGAAGAATGTTATAAATGTTAGTTTAACAAGTTTAGATGTTTAGATGTTTAGTAAACATTAATTATTGTCCTCGCTAACTTGTAGCATTGATTGTGGACATTGCCAATCAGAGGCGCTACTCGAGTCGCTCGTCTTGTAGACTGGTCGTCGACAGGACATTAGACAAAAATAAAATTTACAAGTCCGTCAATGTGTATGTGCACTTACCTGAGAGGGAATGTTGCTTAGTAGGTTTCTATGTGTTCGCTCACAGAGTATTGTGTGAGAGGTGCAGTGCGAGAATGATGTGAGAGAGTTTGTGAGCGCACTTTGTATGAGACGCCGCACACACCTTCTAATACACACCTCAACAACATTCTTCATAATAATAAATTAATGCATGTTGGATCAATAATAATAAAAATTAAAATCAATTGTGAATGTGTGTGTGTAAGTGGGTGTGTGAGTGAACACACAAAGGTTTGCTGTTAGGGTTATTGAGGGAAGTACGAGAATGGGTTGGTGTGGGGAATAACGGTTAGATTTGTTCAGATTTTCAACTGTTTAAATCTGGCGCGAATTTTGAATTTGAAATATGTTCAACCGTTGAATGTCAATCCAATTAATGAATGGTCGTTTTCGAATAGATCTTCGACATTCCTTATTATCAAATTATGGTCTCTCCCTTGAATGGACTCTCTTATTTACTCATTTATTTTTTGACCTGTCAATCAATCAATCAATCAATCAAACAAACAAACAATATATCGATCCATCTCAAGTCCATTCATGGCATTTCCTATCCTATCCTACCAATGACATGACATGTATTTAAGTGAACTAAAATCAATCAATCACTCAAGGATGGATATTATAGTTAACCATGGTTTGCCATGAATATTATGTAGGTGCAAGTTAAGGTATATATACATGTTATATTATGTGTTATAAATAGAAGGTAGGTGTTCGAATAAGCAGGTGGCCCTTCCCATCTACACCCACCAATCAATAATGATTGGTTTGATGTTGAATTAGTGTTTGTGTGTGTGTGTGGATGTCGATTGGAAGAAAGTGATGGGTTAGTGAGTGATTGGCAATGTGTTTGATCAGCTGATTCATTGGAGTTGAGAAAGGTATATATAAATGTGGAAGGGATGCACCCCCCTTATATCCGATGTTGAGCTAAACACTTTGAAACACCCTTTTGATCTCAAGTGGCGTTAAACATCCACATCCAATGGTTATAAGAGTGGATGTATTATTACATTGTCATGATCATTCCTTCTAACTAGCCACCAGTGTCATACTCACTTTATAAAGTATTGTACATAATTATTTATTATTTATTATCTTGTCAATCAATCATTCTATTAATTAATATTTAAAATATGTTATATTCATGTCGAAGATGTCATACCAGGGTTGAGGACGAATCCATCTATGCATTTGGAAGTCACTACCATCCACATTGCTTTGTTTGTTTCGATTGTAAGTTATATCTGTTGATCATAAATATCCAGAATCACTCATGTATACTTACTCACTCACTCAATCAATCAGGTCATGAACCACTCTCTGACAAATATTATGAGATTGACAACCTACCTTATTGTGAGTTGGACTTTAAGAGACCAAGAGGTCCATCCCCTGGAAGAAATTCAAAGTCCCCAAGGTCATCAGTTTTCAAGGGTCTTGGTAATGGTCATGGACATGGATCTTCAGCAAGGTCACCACCCTTGATACAAGAGTCCGGTGCTGGTGGATCATATACCTCACCAACTTCATTGGTCGCCACCAAGTGTGATGGTGATCAAAGGGTACACACTGTGTGTAGTCCAAGCAGCATGTGCCATAATGATGAGGTGGGCCAGCCATCATCACCAGTCAACAGCTCATCGAACACCTCAACACCATCAGGTGACTTCACAATGGGCACAGTCGATGGACAGTATCAGCGAAACTCAGTGTCATACAGTGATCGCTCCATCAACAAGACTCAAGGTGCATCAACAACAACCAACAGCTTGTTTGATTGTCACAAGTGTACCAAAGAGATATGGGGTGCCACTGTTGTCAATGCAAATGGTAACAAGTTCCATCCACAATGCTTCCAATGTCATGAGTGTCATGGATCATTGCTCAAGGGCTATGTACAAGATGCCAAAGGTTACCTTTGTGCCGCCTGTCAAGTCATGGTCAATGATCGAAACAAACCCCTCCGTCAACAATGTGGACATTGTTCAGCATGTTACAAGAGGTTCAATGTTGAAGAACGTAAGTATCTACATATTTTGATCATTTGGAATCATTCCACCAATCACTTACACACTCAATCAATCAATCATTCAATCATTCAATCATTATTAGATGTGATATCAATTGATCAGGAGAGATATCATCCACAATGTTTCAAGTGCTGTTCTTGCAGAATGCCAATTGAAGGATTGAGTTTCAGTAGGGACAGAGTGACATCAACATTGTCAAGCTATTGTTGTTATTCATGTTTGTCATCAGGTAGAGTTGATCGTTGTCCAGAGTGTAGTGAGGCTGTCATTGGAGGATCGAGCATATTCGCACTCGGTAAATCATATCATCCTCAATGTTTCAAGGTATGTTCATTCATCAAATCAATCAATCAATCAACAATTCCAAGTAATATTATATTGATACATTTACTCAACTCAACATAACACAATACAGTGCTCAGTATGCAGAGTATCAATTGGACATGGTACCAAGTTCTCAAAGGAGGGCAGGATCGCATGTGTATCATGCAGACCATTGGATAGCAACAGCAACATGGTAATTCTAAGTGTATAAAGAATAAAGATAAAACTGATACATCATTCATGGATCTTCGTCATCAACACATCCCATTGTAAGTAAAGTAACTGATATCGATCCAGTTCGAGTATAGGTATCCGTGTTATTATTATTATTACTATAATTGTGTTAAGGATGGTGGGGGCGGGGGGTGTGATCACATGATATCAAGATATGTCCAACGTCTGAACACCCACTCACATAAACAATGAATTTGATAAACACTGAATACGAAGATGATCAGTTATGTTACTATGAATTATTATATACTAACTGACATCTCCGATATCCCTAGAGGTAACTATTTAATGGTCGTATTTTAGACATTATTTATTCATCAATCAATCTAACAATCAATCAATCTAATATACTTAATATATCAATTAATCTATTATTTAAAAATGTTGTACAGTAAGTATTATAATTATAAACTTCATTATATCCTTGATATATTCTAAACATAATACAATATAATAGAATCACTTGCCAACCTCTCCGGAATGAACTCCAACAACAAAATGACCAGCCACAATGGACAATCTATTGTTCAAAACACTGGAGCTGGAGCCTCTTCCCAATCGACCAACTCAACAGCACTACTCCACGTCTATGGTTATATTAATATTCTTGGTCTAATTATCATTGACCCATTAAGAATTGACATCTAATCATCATTGTCCTTTATTTGTTCATTACCCAATTTACATCCCATAAATTAAAATAGTTGTATACACCCAAATTTGGAAAGTTGTAGATTTTTGCAAGTTCAAGATGAGAAACATGTTTTTAATATTTTATTAAATTGATTTTTTAATATCGAAGTTGTGAGTTCGAGTGTGGCACGTGGCAGCTATCCTGCCTGTCAACCTCACGCCACACACACACGCAACGCACCCCTGGTATCCAGCAGCATCTTTGTATCCAACTTCACTTCAACTTCACTCTCACACATTCTCTTTATCTATCTCATATATATCTTTAGATATCAACGCTCCCGCTCGCCAATCCCGCGACCCTCACTCAGGTATCCAGCTCCCTTACAGCTACCGCGCTCCTCCCAAGACCCTCCTCTCTCCAATCCCTTCCAATCCCCTACCCTTGTCACTATATTGTACACTTCCTCATATACAGAACATACACAGCAAACACAAGCATGTCTGACACAACGACCACCTCAACATCGACCACCGAGTCCCCCGCCTCTGGACTCCCAGCTCCATCCACCTCCCGACTCTTTGTCGGCAACTTGCCATACAACTACACCGACGACGACCTGCTCAAGCTCTTTGCCGGCCAAGGCAAGGTTACCACCGCAAGAATCATTCAAAAGAGAGGCGTTTCAATTGGTTATGGCTTTGTCGACATGGAGGATGAGCCCGCAGCACAAGCAGCGATCGCAGCTTTGAACAAAACCGATATCAGCGGAAGAGCTATCAACGTTGAGTTGACAAAGGAGAGAGCCCCCGTCGATGAGACCAAGCCCGCCAAGCGCGGATCCGCTCGTCGTCGCTCTGGCAAGCCCAAGACCAACGGCACCTCTGATGCCAAGGCTTCGCCCTCGACCACCTCCCCAAGCCACGCCGGCGAGGACAACACCACTGGTGACAAGCCAAGAAGAAGAGCCGCCAACGGAGAGAGAAACAAGGCCGCCCCCAAGCCAGCCGCCCCACGCGCCCCAGAGTCGACCGAGCCAAAGCAACCCTCTGCCGACACCCTCTTTGTCAACAACCTCCCATACAGCTATGACAACGCTCGCTTCTTGGAGTTGTTCAAGGACTACTCGCCAAAGGACGCCCACATCATCATCAGCAAGCGATTCAACAGGAGCAAGGGATTCGGATTCGTCGAGTTCAACAACTCTGCTGACCAGCAGAAGGCTCTCGCCCTTGACAACACTGAGCTCGAGGGAAGAGTCATCTCTGTCAAGGTCGCCCATGCTCGCGACTTGTCCGCTGAGGCCGAGACCCCATCTGCCAACTAAGCAGTAGGCACAGCAGTATCCCCAATCATGTTCCCATGTTCCCCAATGTTCCCCAAATGTTCCCAATTCCCCTGTCTTGCTTCCCTTCATCCAGCAAACCTATTCATTCAGATCATGACAGCAACAACATCAATTGATGAATAAAGACTGGATTATATATATTTAGTGTAGTATAGCCTTCTTTAGGGTCTTCTGGCCCTACCTCTTAATTCATTCATTCCATTCATTCATTCGTGAATGATGTCCACCTTAAGGTGTATCCATGGTCTTGTTCCACTTGATTCGAAGCAAAGAGAGCAGGGCCATGTGTGAGTGAGCAAGTGTCCGCCAATCACATGTAGCCAACTGACATGCACGAGTGTTGGCGATAGTACGATTGGTTGTGTTGATACACATCACCATCGTGGCATATTGTCTATCTTCAACTCAACGTCAATGTCACTTGGGAGTTGCCAACATTTCCTTCAATACCTTGTTCTGTTCCATCATCTGTTGTTTGAGTTCCTGTTTGTATGTAGTGTTCATTGTTGTCAGGTTATGTGTTGTCATGTCACCGAGATAGGAATCAACATACATTGAATTGATTTATAGCATGTATCTCTTTGGCAATGTCTTCCCTCAATTGTATTAACATGTGTTCCATCTTTGTTATGCTTGCATTGATCTGTTCAAACTCCACCTTGTTTATACTACTTGGTGATGCACTGTTCTCATTCCTAAGTGAGACCAACAGTCTCAAATCACTTGTCCTATCACGAAAGCTCTTAACCAACGTCTGAAACGAGTCACTATCACTCCTCATTGTTTGTTTGTATGTTTGTTTGTTGTTATAGTATTATTGTTGGTGATGTTATATCAATGATCCAGTCTTCATCATTAAGGTGTCATTCATTCATTGATTCAATCAATCCATTCTCTCTCCTTCCTTTATTGTTCGCGACTCCAAATTTTGGCGCCAATCCATAGACAAGATGTTTCCTTTCCTGTGTTTCCGTCGCGAACTATGGGTGAGCTGGGGCCAAACTCAATCCAATAGCTCGGTTGCCAATGGATGGATGATGTTGAGTGGCCTGTACATCTTGACAGCACAGTGTCAATCCAATGGATTATCGCTTCATCTTGAGGAATTCGACTGGCAGTCCACCATTGGTGAACTCGAGCAGGACGTTCCATTCAACACCAGAGAGCTCTTTGAACATTGGATGTCCATTGAGTACGTATACATTGTGTATCTTGTCACTGGTTCGTATCATCTCTCCAAATGAAACAAAGGTATCTTTGAGACTCTTGCTGATCGCACCCTTGCCACTCATGATCCTGCTGCCATAAGGCATGTTGGTGATGATGTTCACCTTGTGATTGATGCCCTTGAGTGCATCTTTGAAATCGCCTTGCCACAGTCTAATGTATCCATTATTGTTATTGGGTGCGGCGTCGGAGCCCAGGTCGTTGCTTGTTGTCGGGAGTATCTGGAAGCCTGCCTCGGTCAAATTATGTTGTGCAGCTCGCACTGCCTTGGGATCAATGTCCGAGCCGTAGAAGACGACCTTTTCCGCACGCAAGTCATCCAGTAGTCGCGAGCTGTTGATAGCCATCTGTTCATTGATACGCACAAGGAATGAGTCGTAGCGATCTGCTCGATGCAGAGGCCATTGTTCAAACGCGTATCGTCGCTCTGTCGGCGTGCATCTGCCTCCCCGCGCAATGCCAAGCGCTTCCTGTATGATTGTTCCTGAGCCCATGAATGGATCCCAGATGTTGAATGGACGCGCAGACGAGAAGCCAGTGGCGGTGAGCAGAGCGGCTGCCAGAGTCTCGCGGATCGGCGCATCAGTGACGTGCTTGCCCGGTGTCCTCTTGTGCAGCCCGTCGCCATTGCACACATCCACACTGATCTGCGCCATGTCATCGACAAGACGAACAAAGAGACGCGAGTGGCCAGAATCCTCGCTCGCCATTTCGGGCGTCATGCGCTTGACAAAGATGACGTTCTTTTGAAAGTGCTCGAGGACGCGCTCCTCCACCGCACCGCTATGATAGAGCGCGGATGAGGCGCAGGATGCCGAGCACTCGGGCAGGGTCCTGTCGCGTACAGCAAAGTAGTTTGACCAGGGCAGTTGTTGCAGACCAGACTTGAGCATATTGAAGTTGGTCGACTTGAATGGCTGACCAAGACGCACTCGCAATGTCTCTGCCAGTCTAGAGTGATGTGTGATTGACCACAACTGCTCAGGTGTCAAGTCGGCACACTCCACGCCGCCTCTGTCAGTTGTCAATGTTGGCAATGCCAATGGTGGTGTCGATACAACAGGTAATGACTTCTTCTTCTTCGATAAGTCTACATCTTGTTGTTCATGTTGTTGTAGCTTTTGTTGTTGCTGTTGAAGCTGTTGTTGTTGATGTTGTTTCAATATATTTGTTAACTCTTTCTTTAATAGATCTTCAAGTGATGGAGTCACAGCGGCGTATAGCCTATATGACCTTTTCATTGCATTGTCGTTATCACTTGTGTACAACTATCTCTTTGTTTGTTCGTCAAAGTGTTTGTTCGTTCGCGAGTGTGTTTCCGCTGCAACACTTTGACTTCTTGTTTCTCGAGATTAGGTTGCCACCTAATTGCATGTTCGGGAACACCTTGGCGGTCGGTAGCCATTCATTCAGTAGAGGTTTATTAATGTATATATACAAGATGATGAGTCTCACTCACTAACTCATTCATTCGATCAAGCAGACCAGACCAGACCAGACCATTAGACATTAATGCCAAAGGGTCGCTCATTGTAGCTGTCTATTTGTAGGAGGTGGGATATGACATCGACAAAGATTGATCCGTTTGTAATGCGATCAATGTTGATATAGCCTCCTTGTAATGTTGGTTGACATAGTGCGAGTGCAAATCGATCATTGATGACGGCGATCGACAGGGATACGTTGGGCGGCAAGCCACTCCACTTGACCTTGACATGTTTGATGTTGGTGTCTGCCAGCCAACGAAGTTGTGTCAGTTTGTTCTTGGCGGGTATTGGCGGAATATCCTTTATAGTGACCGCTCGTGTTGTCACGGGCAGCCAGTCATTGGTGATCGCCTGTGTGAAGCCATGGCCAAACGTGAGCTTGAGCAGACCGCCTGGCAACATGGCCTTGGTGAGCGGGCGGTACGTGGCTGTCTCCAGGTGAAGCTTGGTGACCGTGCGCGGTATCTTTCCCGGCGCCAACTCTTGACATCCATGCAGACTGAGCTGCGTCAGGGCGGGATAGGGCAGCGATTGTGGCGCGATGTTGATGGCAAAGTGCGAGATCAGGTCGAGTCGGATGAGTGCCCGCGCAGACAGTGTAGTCACCATCCTTGGTGTGGACATCCGTCTGAGGTTCGGCAGCTCTGTCGCATGCAGCTTGCAGTTGAATCCCATTCCAAATACCAGCGTGACCAAGCTTGCCGGCAAGGTGCCTGGCGCTATGTCTTGTGAGAAGTTTCTGCCAAACTCAAGCGTTTCCAAGCGTGGCGGTAGCGCACCTGCCGCCAACACTTTGGAGAAGTCGCGACCAAAGATCAATGTGCGAAGGGATGCTGGGAGCGAGCTAGGCGCGATCACCTGATTGAACATGGCCGACAAGGTCAGATGTGTGAGGGAGTCGCAGCCGGCGAATGTCTCGCGATTGAGTGGCTGATTGAAACTGTAGTTGAATGACAGTGATTGGAGGTGTTCGGGTAGGCAGCCAGGCCCGATCGGTTGATTGAATGTGAACCCAAATACAAGATGACGAAGAGTCGATGGAAACGCGCCACACTGCAATGGTAAGTTGAAGCTCCTGCCCAATGTGAGTGACGTCAGACCTTTTGGAAGTGAGTCCAAAGTGATCGGTTGATTAAATGATGTTCCAAAAGTGATTGAATGAAGCTCACTGCCATCCAATGCATTGGCCACCAACTGCGTGTTGTATGTATAACCAAGTACAACATGTTGTGTGGCACGAGGTATCACAGCCAAAGTGATTGGAGTGTGTCCATAGTGAATGTATGTTGATGCTTTTGATTGAGTGATTGATCGAGTGATCGAGTGATCGAGTGATTGAGTGAGTGGAGTGATCATTCATTCAATCATTCATCAATTCGTTCATACATTTCTTTGACTGGAGCTCATCGTGTAGTTGCTTGAGTTGAGTGGATAGTGATGAGGGAGATGTTAGGAGTCGTATTTGTTGTGTCTCTTCGCTGAACAGGTCAGTACGGAACCAGAGCAGTCTGTCCCTTGCCAAATAGAATCGACGGCATGACCAAATGAGGTAGACCCTGTGCACATTATCGACAATGTAGGATATTATTCGTTTAAGGATCACTTCTGATAGATGTTCAAGTGTCATCATCAACACCATTTAAATATAATATGTGTGGGTGTTGTGATTGATTGATTGATTGATTGATTGTTTGATTGTTTGGTCTTGTAATAAAAGTGATCATGTTTTGAGTGGGAGTTAATATTGATTGGTTGATAGATCTGTGGTGAGAGTTGCCATGCCAACCCTTCTTCTATGTAATTCAAAAAGTAAGAGATACTAATACTAATATTAGAAACAATGAGTTCAACTAACAGTATGTATTAAGTATTAAATATTATACAACACGTGCTGAATAGTAATAGTAATAGTATGTTCAACTGATATAACTAACCTAACAAACATTGAAATTTGTTATTTATTTGTTCTTTTGTAGACAATATTGTAAACATAATGGACGACGTTAACTCTATAACCGATGTCAATGAGGATAATGTCTCTGGCGGTGTGTTCATTGATGTTGATATCGTGGCCCCCTACGAAACACAAGGACCACGAAGCATGGCAACACCCCAAGACCTTCCCAAACCCACAGGTCCTTAAGAACCAACTAACCAATTAAATAAATAAATAATATATGATTGATTGCAAATATCTATCAAATCAATGACAGACAGGGTTGAGCTTGAACAGACCTTCGTGTGTGAGAATGAATAAGTGGTTTATGGAATTGATTGACCCGCCGGTGGAGTACCAATCAAAAAAAAAGTGATTGGACCCGCCGTTTGGTACCCAAAGCGATGTTTCGGGACTTGGTTCCTCTTGTTGTTCATCAACCAATCAGATTTCATGGACTTTGCCTCATTAAGGAACAGGGACTCCTTAGTTCTCAACACACAACTCATCACCTTAATGAGTCAAGTACACATGCGATCACTATCAATCAATCAATCAAAAATATATTAGATAGATATATTCGAAACTATGACAATCTTTAGTATGTTATGTTTGATTATATATATCCTGTTTTAAATATTAACATTTACCTATTTTAGACAATGTTGTAAACATGGGCAATGTCTCTGGAAATGTCAATGAGGTTACCTCTGTCCAATCATCCCACACCGTTGCCTACCCATCACCTGCTTTTATAAAGAAGATTGGTTACAATCCAGAAAAGGTTGCTGCCCAGTATCCAACACCAGAGTACCTCGCCAATCGCAAACTTGATATCTAATCAAATAAAGTCCTGTGTGATGTCCTTCTCAAGACTTTGAACTTTTTCAACTTTGAATCAAATTGAATTAGAGTTTTAAAGATTGATTCATTGATTCGTGTGGATGTAGTAGTTGTAGTAATAACATAAAGACGAATAGACATAGAATAGACAAGACATATATAGAGAGATATAGATAGATTGATACACACTTTCAACGATCACACAAAGGAAATCAAAGTGATTAGTAGATAGATAGATAGACAATGTTGAGAAGTGTCATCATTATAACAGGCAATGGTACATTATTGTTTGAGAAGATATGGGTGGCTATCCCTGCAATGGCTGGAAAGGTATGAGTGCAGCAAGCAAGGATGACGAAGTACACAACATGTTTCACTCACTCAATCAATCAACAACAGGCCAACATGTTCTCATCACTGTTGACAACAGTGCAAGAGTTCTCAAAGCAGAGCACTGGCATGTTTGTATCTTATATCGAGTTTGGACAATGTAAGGCTTAATCATTCTATTCTCAACAACAAGTGAACAAGGTCACTGACATCACATCGTATCGAAACATATATATATATATAGCATCGATCACAGTTGTATATGATGAGAAGAGTCTGGTCAAGTGTTGTTTGTTCCATGATAATGGTGATGGACCAGAGTTTGGCAAGTTGATAGCGAATCAGCTGCTCAGAGGATTCCTCGAGATGTACGGCGACACAGACTTCTCGCACTCACTTCACAACACCTCAAAGTTCAATGCTTTCTCCAACAAGATCTATGACTCCATTGCCAACTCTCCACGTTCAATATTACAGCAATGTATGGTTCCTTCATTCGATCGATCGATCAATCATTCATTCACTGACTGACACTCAATCAATCAATGTAGTGAGAGCAAACAGAGGTATACAGAATGCGATCGTAGTATATAGTGATGGTACAGCCGTCACAACCAACACAGAGGATCAATTGGGTGTCATTGCCAACCTCCAAGCCATGCTATCCTTCTCCAATGATATTCGTATGTTGAGTGGATGGATGACAGGCTGGTCGACCAGCCCAACAAACATCCTGGATCATTAGATACTAACACTTTCAATCAATCACCAGTGCTGTCCAAAGGTGACAGGACCAGAGAGATTATATTGGACATGGTCACTCAACGAGTGTTCATTTCAAAGGTTGGTCCAGCCAACCTAGTATGTATTTGTAAAAAGAATAAGGATCCATCGATATACCAACCAGACATCTATAACGCTGTAACACTATTGGATAAAGGTAAGTTGAGTGGAGTAGAGTAGTCCATAATGTTGATCTCGCCGTGAAAGACGACTTGACTTACACAAGTATCCAATCACCAGTTTTTCTCTTGTTGTCCTATCTGCAAGGATAGGATTGATGATGCCTCAACAACAACTAGCCTGCGACGCTGCGGACAATCAATCAAGTATCCACAAGTTGCGCCAACAACAGGAACTCAATCAATCAATCAGAATCAATACATTGTTCAACGATCAATCGATCGATTGAGAGGCTAGTGTACACTTTATGAGTGGATGTTGGATGATGACAACAGTGCCGCCGCACATGCAAGCGATCAATCTTTATCAAGTAGTTTGTCCAGGAGCTCAATGTCGACATCGGTCCCGGACATGAAGTCCTGTGATTCGAATGTAGTGGGCACCTCTTCGACGGGTTGGAATCCCTTTAAGTGATTGATCACTGGCTGGAGGTACTTTTGTGTCAGGAACTCCATTGATTCCTGACTGATTCCAATGGGTGGTGCCTGGCCAGATGATGATGATGCCTTCTGGATGTTGACCTTTGGATTGTCCATTGTCTCTGTGATATTGCCCACTCTTTCCAATCGGTCAATCTTCTCTTTGACATTGTTGTTGTTTACGACGCTGTTGGTGAGTATGACGCTGTCCACTGTTGCCCTGGAGAATGTCTTTAGAGGCGACTGCAAGAACATATTCACCTGTCTCTCCACCTGTACCAACAACAGATACTCCTGAAGGAATGGACTGAGTTGCCTGTTTTGAGTGCTGAAGAAGTAGCTGTCTTTTCCAACGACTCGGACGATGTGATCAATGTTTTGTCCTGTGGCGCTGGGATCGATCAGTTCGAGCCAAGCACAGTAGACCATGTTCTTGAGCTGCATCGTATTATTGATACCCTCGATCGCCAGTGCACTCCATCGCTTGTAATGATCTTCATTGTGGACGGGATCGCCAAAGAGATGCTTAAACATCTTGATCACGTTGGCCAGTGTCATCTCGTTCCCGATAGAATGTCTGAAGAGGTGCTTGTTAAAGAGATCCCAAGCCTTGTCAAACTTGTTGCTGACGATCAGCCGTCCCAGCTTGAGATTGTCAATGGTCGTTGTGCCTGGAATCATGTGCACCAGGTTGGAGTAGACTTGCTTCGAGTACATGTTGTTGGCAAAGCATGCCTGCACAAACTTATCGCACGTGTATCGATTGATGTTGAGCTCCTTGTTCATGAGCATATGCATGGCCAGACGGATGTGTCCCTTCTCAACAAGCGTGTTCACCAGTATGCTGTTGGTGATCTCATTCTGGTAGTCCTTCGACCGCTCGCTGCTCAACAACGAGACGCCAGCGTCAAAGTCTTTGTGCATGAGATATGAGAAGAGCGGAGAGTTGATGAATAGACCTCGCAGCTTCATGCCCAAGAATCCAAACTGCCTCGCGAATGCCATAATGTTCTCGCGCGGGAAGTACAGCTCGTAGCACACCTCCATCAATCGGTGCGTTGGTATGCCCTTGCCCTTGCCCAGCGAGAGGAAGAGGCCCAGAGCCTCGACATCCTTGTTCTCGTAGATGTTGTCCAGATGTGACTGATCGATCACGTTGTACATCCAGTCGCGTGGTTGCAAGCCCTTCAGATTCCGCACATCCTTGATTTCCTTGGTGTGGTCGGCCTTGGCGTGAATCTGCTCCAACGCCTGCATGGGCGGCATCTGCTTCAAATGGCTGTGCTTGTAACACTCTGCCAGATGCTCCTGGGAGAACTTCATAAAGAAGGATATGTTGCGCCAGTATTTGGCACATGAAAGATTATAGTCACGGTGTTTCTTGTATCTGTGATAGGAGGCGAAGTTGTCGATGATCTTGGCGGTGGGCGCCAGGCCAAACTTGGTGAGCCGGCGATTGTACCACACGAGCGCCTGGTCGAGCAGCTCCAGCTGGAGGTACATGTTGATGATCTGCGTCGTCACGTGATCGGCATCGCTCTTGGACAGCAGGTCGATCACGGCAGTTGCAGTGCGCGTGCTAGGTATCGTGTCGACCAATTCGTTGTAGGCAATGATGGCGGCGATGTTGTAATAGTCCTTCCTGTCCAGGAATGGCTGGACAATGTGCGTGACATGGTCGCGCTGCAAATGGTTCGTGCGGAAGTATGTGACCAGTCGCTGGAGCAATGGCAGCGACGGTATTATCTTGTGTGTGTCAATGACCAAGTTTGTCCAGGGCATGATGATGTCAGTCGCTTTGTTCTTGAGTGCCAGATGCAGCATCTCCTCATAGACCTCCTGGGTCTCGTGGCTCTCAAACTTGAGCGCGGCGACCAGTTTGTTGATTATGTTCGGCTCGTCCAACGCGAGATACACATCAATGAGGCGCAGTGTCTGCTCTTTGGAGAACGGCAGTATTGAGTCGAGTATTGCGTCCACTGCCAGGGGTCCGTTGATCCTGTCGACCAGGCCAATGTCGTGGCAGATGATGGCGAATGACTCTGACTCAATGAAGGTCGGACATGCATTGACCATCGTGGTGAGGTACTCCACTGATCGATTGAATTGGGATGATACCAGGTGATACTTGATGACGAGGGCAATGGCATGATGCAGGTCGTCCTGCGTCAGAGTGCGCACTGCTGATTCTGCCGCTGCCCCGCTGACCTCATTCATTATCAATTCGAGTACAATGTTTAGATGACCATTCTTTATCAGTGTCTTTATGCGCATTCTTGGATTGGGTATACTAAGTATCGTTGGCAAGTCTATTGCAGTTGGTGATGAAGATGATGATGTCGTTGATGATGATGATTTTGTGTTTGATTCAATCATGTCTAGGTGGTCCCAATCGAAGATGCTTGAGAAGTATTGTCTATCAGCTTGCTCTCGCTGCTGTTGTTCTTGTTGTTGTGGTGATATCCTTTGGTTGATTGATCGATTGAGTGAGAGAAGGAAGGTTAGGTTGGTCCCTCGATGATGATGATAATGTCTTACTCTTTCGTTGGATTTTGCTGTTGCTGTCCTGACGATGATGTAGTCAGTGATCGTATAAAGTATGACTGCTGCTGCTGGGCATGATGGTGACCTGCATGAGTCGATTGCAGGGAATGTTGTTGTTGATGAGTTACAACTCGTCTCGTGATGAGTGGAAACAACAATGATGTCACCGACCTAGTCGTTGAGCTAGGCAACACATGACGTAACATGTTTGTCCTAGATCTATCTGTTGTCTATCTGTGTCTCTACCTTTGGCCCGCGACCAATCGTGTCATCAAAGTGAAAGTGATAAATGAAAGTGAGAACAATGAAGTTTGAATTATTTCTCAAGTTCATTGTTATAATTAACGACAAATATAATATAATATACAATATAACGTTGACAGAGAATGAGTGATGATAGTAATGATGCATTGGTTGGAGAGATAAACACAGATCAAGTCGATCAACAAGCATGGCTCATAAAGATCCCCAAGTACCTTGCAGATCATTGGATGAATGCTGGTGGTGGCTCAGAGATTGGCAAGCTCTACTTCAAGTCTGCCAACGATGTACGTCATGTTGATCTATTGATCGATGATTGATGGAGTAGTCGACTAACACTTTGTTGTTGTTAAAGTTATCATTATCGATTGCTAGAGCAAGTGGAGGTAGTAGCGAGGAGTTTCAATTGACTACGACACCATTGAATGAAGCGAACCCTTTGAAGATATTCTCTGAGGACTCTGAGAATGCTTTGGCATTCGATGGCAGTATAGGTCTACGTTGTGATGTCCAAATGGACATCTTATCACAAACATACCGCGAGTTGATGCAAAAGAGAAACACAATGGCCAACACCAAGACAAGACAGTTGAAGCCACTCCAAGATCAGAGCTCAGTCGTCAAGATGATGCATCAGAACTCTAAACCACAAATCAGTACAGCTATATATAATAAGGATAAGGTAACTACAATCACAATCATCATCGTGTCGATCAATCAATCAAGTGCTAACATCTGCTGATGATGATGATGCAACACAATACAGAAGAAGTCTCAGGAGGAGAAGAGAGAGAGAATGCAGGAGGACGACTTGACAGACCTGATATTCAAGGCATTCGAGGAGAAGTCATACTGGACACTCAAGGACCTGTTGGTGTACACGGAGCAGCCACAAGTGTGGCTGAAGCAAGTGCTGGAAAAGATATGCGACTTCCACAAGAAAGGATCGCACAGGAACTGCTACGAGGTCAAGCCAGAGTTCAAGGCTCAAAAGCTCAACGTTGCCAAATGAGATGGTTAGATCTAGTTCACATCAAGGCAATGAATGGCCCCTACGTACACCATCGTGTGTACCCACTCAATCAATCAATCAAGGTCACAGCCACAAGAGCTGGTACTCAACCAAGTCACACAACAGCAGCGAATCCTTTATGGAACACAACCAAAGCGCACATTGGAGACAAGACATGACTCCGCACTGATCGATGGAGGTACTGACATCCCCATGTTGTGTTGCAAGTTGTTTGTAATAAAATAATGAGAGAGAAAGAGAGAGATTAGGGCAACTCCAATCATCATGGATTGTTGAATCATTTAATACTACTACTACTTGCTACCTGCTAATGCTTGTACTTCTCACTCGCTATCTAGCAAGGCATTTAAAAGACAGCCTCTTCATCAATGTCGTCCTCGTCGTCAACAATATCAGCATCGTCGCCAAGGTTGCCGTAAAAGTCGGTCTCGAAGGAGTAGTCCTCAGAGGCGTCCGAGATAGTGCCAAACTTCTTCTTCTGCTTCTTCATCTGCTTCTTGATCTGTTTGTTGGTCTGTGGATTGAACTGATCGTTCTCGTCCCTCAGGTTCTGCTTCTTGCCCTTCATGGCTGCCTGCTGCAGCTCCTTTGGCTTCATCTGTGCCTGCTTCTGTAGCGCTATCAGCTGAGCGGTAGTGTCATCATCCATCTCATCGTCGTCCTCTAACTCCTCCTCGCCATCATCCTCGTTGTCGTCTTCCTCTTCGTCCTCGTCCTCCATATCGTCCTCCTCCATCTCCTCCTCGTCGTCCTCCTCGTCCTCCTCGTCGTCGTCAAACATGGAGGTGTCGATATAGCTCTGTTGGGCGGTGGATGCCACGGAGGCACTCATGTCGTGGTTGCTTGACAGGGTGTCGAGCTCGCTGGACTGGTCAATGTTGAACTCCTTGGCAAAGGAGTCAACGATCTTGGAGGCAATGTTGAATGAGTCCTTGGGCGGCAGGGTGTGGAAGGGGATCTTGCCTCCAGTCCAATCGCGAATCACAGACAGGGCGGCCGAGTTGAGGTCGGCAATACCTCCACGGACAACCTTGCCACGCTTCTCGGCGATCAGCGTCAGGAACTCGGTGGTGGTCTTGAACGAGGCGATCTTGTATATTCTGAGCAGTTGCTCCTTGCTGCAGCGCTCGATGATGGCGTCGACTGGTCCGATGGGGTCCTCAATCTTCTCGACCTTGACGACGTTACGCAGGATGACGTTGGCATCGATCTCGCCACGGATGGGCACGATACCCGGCGAGTCGAGCAGCTTGACGTTCTTGTCCAGATGGACCTCTTGGGCGACCTTGGTGTGGCCGGGTGTGGGCGCCACACTGACGGAACGAGCGCGCTTCAAACTGTTGATCAAACTGCTCTTGCCGACGTTGGGGTAGCCAATGATGCCGACGGCAACACTGGTCTTGATGTTCAATGATCTACTGTAGTTCTTGAGCAGCTGCAGCAGGGCTTCGCCTCCCAGACACTCTGAGCCATCGAGCAACTTCTCGTTGGCGGCTGTTGGGGCCACGTTCGAATGACCCAAGTTACGCTTCTGTTGTTGAGTTGAACACTTAAAGGCCAATGTTGGGAAGAAGTTCCTCAAGTACTTGAGCCACATCAATACATTCTCCTTTGGAACAAGATCTAACATTGATTGATTGATTGATTGATTGAGTTAGTTCTCGTGTCCTCCGCCATCCACAGTCACTCGCACGATCAAACAGGACATACCAATCTTGTTGAGGATAAAGACAATCTTCTTGTTTGGGTAACGCTCGAGGATCATCTTCTCGATCTCGAGACAACGACATCCCATGGGATCACGAGCGTCGAGCACCTCGAGGATGACATCACCAGCTTCAATGACCTTCTTGACCTCGCGATAGAATGATCTGAGCGAGTTGTCGCGCTCACCACGAGCCGAGTGCATGACTTCGTCCTCCTGATCAGCCTCCTGATCCTTCTGTTTGCGGTTAAAGTCCTTCTCACGCTTGTTTACATCCTTCACCATCTCGGCCATCTGATCAGCCTTTGTCTGTGCTCTCCTCTGCTCCTTCTTTGCCTTCTTCTCAGCAGCGATCAACTCCTTTTGTTGGGCGATCCTATTAAGCAAGTCCTCCTTGAATGGGTAAAGGTTTGGTACACCTGGGTCCTTCTTGGTCTCTGTTTAATTGTTTGTTTGAGTATTAGTCATTATGATCAGTATATCATTCAATCAGATTACATACTATTGACAGATGGTGCCAACTTCTGGGCCTTTCTTAGCTTACGATGATGCTCATTGACCTTTCTCTGGATCTTATACTTCTTATGCAGTGAAGTGCGTTTACTTTGTGCTTCTATTATTGTTTGTTTGATCAATTGATTGATAGAGTTAGTATTCATTCATTCTATCATCACATCATTCAATCATGTCATCATCATCAACATCATTCATTCTCTCTGATTCTAATATCCCATAATGTATAATGATCATGATTTATAAGATACACACTCTTGGGCATTGTTATATTGTATGTATGTGTATATGTATATATATATAAGTGAATTGAATAAATAATAATCAATTAAAATGTCGATGAATGAATGAAGCGAGTTGTGTTGAGGAACAAAAAACGAACGAATCGATTGTGTCAAACACACATATCAAAGTAGTTTTTCAAAAATGGAAGTTCTGTCAAGTTGAAGATTGAGTGAAAGGAATGATCAACGATCAATGGCATTATTTGTAAACATGTTTATATATTATGTATGTATTAGGATGAATGAGGATGTTACAGCTTCGCTCTCATCTCCTCGGGATAGTTGTCAAGGTCAAATGGACCGACGCGTGCAAAGATATGCTCGTAGATGTCACCATCCACCATGGCTATTGGTGCATTGATTAGTTCCTCTTCACATCCCAGTGCATCGGCAAGTAGTGTAGCCTGTTTGGATAGCTCGAGACATAGTGCTGAAATGGCACGAACTATTGAGTTGACATGTCCACGTGCTAGATATCTGGTGCCACGATAGAATTCAAAGTCCTCGCGGATCCTTGTCAAGATATGCAGACGACATAACTTCTCCAACATCATCTTCATCTCCTTATCCTTCTCAGTCTCAACCGCTTCGATAAAGTTGATCGCAATGATCGTCTCTGTGTGTGCCTTGGCAAGATGCACAAGTGTCTCAACTATTGGAGCGTGCGAGTAAATGTAAGTTAGTATGATTGATTGGAATGATACCAGAGTGTGATCGAGAGATGGATTGATCAATGATCGAATGATTGGAATTATTCCAGTGTGGAGAATGTGATTGATTGAATGATTGGAGTGATTCCGGCGTGTGATTGATCGATTGATGGATACTCACGTGATTGGTTCCATGCGGTAAATGCAACTTTAGTCTCTTTGTAGGCCTTGGCGACTGTGTTGGCGGCATCGACTAGGAGACGGGATGAACGGAACTCCATACAGTGGCGAAGGAAGTCCATGTCGGTAATGTCACCAGCGAATGGGTTATGCTCACTCAACAACAATCTTGTACTCTCACCAAGATACTTGAGCGCACCAGTGAACTTGTTGGACGAGTACTCCTTCTTGTACTGTGTCAGCAAGTCCTTGGCAACTTGTTGATACAACAATGTGTTGTCTCCTTCGAATGTCCTACACACGTCCAATCCCGCGATGATCTGGGCGAAACGAGAGTAGCCCGAGTATCCATGGCCGCCACATAGTCGACGTGTCTCTGCCGCGGCAACAGTACAATAATGACTGATTGCTGCTTTGAAACCTGATGCCAACACATGGACCTCGTTGTCGGTGGACCTCTCCTTGAACCTCCTTGCCAAGTACGACTTGACCGCATCGAACGCGAATGACGTGGCAATCATCGGCATCAAACAAGTATAATGTGTTGGATACTCAATGATTGCTGTCTCTGGTGCGCCAGGCTGGGCTCCAAACTGCACTCTCTTAGTAGCGTACCTCGTGGCAATCGCGACCAACACCTTAAGCATGCGACTAAATTGGTGAATAGGTAAGTTGATTGAATGATTGATTGATGGACATCAGTGGACTTACCCAGTATTGAACGCGATCAGCATGCGACATGTGATGGTCTGTGAGAGGACTGTGGCGAAACGTTGGGATGGACTCTTGATTGGCGAGGTGTACTTGCCATTCTCAATGCTGCCAAACCTGTCCAAGAGGTTATCGTACGGTATCCTAACGTTATCGAATATGAACCAACCATTATCAACACCGTCCACTCCATACTTTGGACCACAATCACCTATCTTGACTCCTGGCATCGGTGTTATACCATTGGCTTTACGAATTGGTACCAAGAAACAGTGTACCTCATGATCCTTTCCATTTAGAATGAGTCTGGCGAATACACTGGCCATCACAGCATGACAAGCATTACCAATCCACCACTTTGTTGCCGTTCTCTTTGGGGTATTGATCACAAACTCATTGGTCTCTGGGTCATAAGTAGCTGTAGTCTCCAATGCTCTAACATTGGATCCATGTCCCATCTCTGTCATTGCAAAGCATCCCAACTATTATTTGGGGTGGTTAGTCCTGGAATCATTCCAATAAATCAAACATTCGATCAAACTACATACCAACTCTCCAGATTCGATTGATGGCACCAACTTTTGATGCTTCTCTGTTCCCAAGTTGTAGACTGATCCACCAAACAAGAAGTTGTTAACAAATGTCTTGACGGCCAATGCTGGAATGTGAACCAAGATGTTAGTCGATGTCCACCGATCAATCAATCAATTTAAAAAATGAATGAACTTACATCCATCACCATATTGGCATGTGATATCACCGTGAGCAAGGATCTTGGTAGGGTCACCTCTGATGTCGGACAGTGACACAGAGCCACCTCCAAACACTTTGGAAAGCATCTGTTGTGTCTGCTTGAGACTGAGTGATCTCTTCTGTGGACGAGTCATATTGACAAGATTGTTTGTATACAATTGTTCATCTCTCAATACATTCATTGTGACTTGTCTAATTTCTGGATGATCATAATTGCGAATTGACCATTGTTTCAAGTTCTGTGCCAGTTTGGACTTTGGAGCTTGGTAGAATCGGTACTTATTTGGTGACTTCTCTTGGACTTGTTCCAAAGGAGTATGGTCGGCACCCATAAACAACTCCTGGGCATTCAATACCTTTGACACATTTTCACTCAACACTGATGGATGGAATGGATCCACCACAGTCATTGTAGTATGTGCCGCCAAAGGGTTATTCTGAAGATTACTAGATATTGTTGTTGATTGATCCATCGTAATGATCTTGGATATTATTATTATTATCTTCTAAAAATAACTTATGTTTGATTGATATATTATGATATGACGTGATGTGATTGACGTGATGATGTCGATGTCGTAGTAGTAGTTATTATTTATCAGATTGATTGTGTAACTACTGTTTGTTTGTTGGATTATTGGAGTAAGAACTCTACAAATGATACTACAAATGGTAGAGGCGATCTGTCAAATACTGGCACAATCATCAACAATATAACATCAACCTTTGTCAGATTGAATGATTGAGTGAGTGACACAGTGAGTGAGAGTGAACGGACAGGTCAGGTCAGGTGATCGTTCATTATGGTCGTGTATGTGATATAGTGGACTGTCCTTTGGGGAGGGTGGTGGGGGAGACTGAGGTAGATGGCTGTGATTGGACGAATGGAAAGCGGACAGACACGAGAGGAGGAGGAGGATTAATTGGATCGACCAGTCTTGGAACGAGTTTACCATCTATGGTCAATTGTTGTATAATGGTTTGAATCATATATGTGTGTGATTGAATGATTATCTGTATGTGTGGGGGTTTGAAGCGAAACGGTTGGAAGATGAAGTGTTGAGTGAATGTGCAAATGTGGGAGTGGGGAAGGTGATCAACCAATTAGGGGTGATTGTAAATCTGACGATTGAGATATATATTGATTGAATCGATGTATATGTATAGGCAGTGTATCTGGACAGGGGGGAGGTTTATACGCGTATTGTATATGTACATTAATGTACGTCTGGTTTTATTTGTTGGGGTGATTGATTGGATCGCGATGATGATTGATCATCATGTGACATGTCCATAAGAAGTTTTGGTAACCAAGTTCTGCTTTGGTGCGCACGTGACGACGACTCCTCCTCGCGCTGTCCCTGCAGTGCCATCACCTGCCCAATACAAATGTTGAAGTTGAATGAATAGTTGGCGCCAGCCTTTGCCTGATTCGTTAATAATGAATGAATGAATGAGCGAGTGAGCTTAAACTAAATCCTAGTTTAGAGCTTCGCTTTCATCCTCATCTCCTCCGGGTAGTTGTCCAGCGAGAATGGTTTGTCCACGCGAGCACATATGTTCTCGTAGAGGTCGCCATCGACCAGCCCGATAGGTGCGTCAATTAGCTCCTTCTCGTTATCGAATCCATCGATGAGCACCTGTGCGTGACGTGACAGCTCGAGACTGAGCTGCGACACGAGCTTACCAACTACGTTGGCTTGGCCCTTCTTCAAATAGCTTGTGCCTCTAAAGAACTCAAAGTCCTCCCTGATCGTTGTCAGGAGGTACAATTGGCACAACTTCTCCAACATCTCGCGAGTCTCTGGGTCCTTCTGGGAGTGGACCGCATCAACAAATCTGGTTGCAATGATTGTCTCTGTGTGAGACTTGGCCAAATGGATCAAAGTCTCGACTAAATTGATTGATTGAGTGAGTAAGTATAATTAATTGAATGATTGATAGTGGGGGTACATACGCGACTGGTTCCACGCGACAAATGCATCCTTGGTCTGGCGGTAGGCCTTGGATACAACTTTGGCAGAGCTGAGGAGTAGACGTGATGAACGGAACTCTAGGCAGTGGCAGAGGAATGTGATATTCATCATGTTGCTGTCCTTGCTCATGAAGCTGCTGGCTGGATTGATCTCACTGAGCAACAACTTGGTGTTCTTGCCAAGGTACTTGAGCGTGCCTGTGAACTTGTTGGAGGAGTACTCCTTCTTGAACTGTGTCAACAGGTCTTTGGCGACTTGTTGATACAACAATGTGTTGTCGCCCTCGAATGTACGTCCAACATCCATTGTGGCCAAGAGGATGCTGAAGCGTGAGTAGGCAGAGTAGCCGTGGCCACCACACAAACGTCTAAGCTCGAGTGCTGACACTGTGGTGAAGTGGCTGGTCAGAGCCTTGAATCCAGATGCGAGCACGTGGATCTCAGACCCATCGCTTCTGTCCTTGAATCGCTTGGCCAGGTAGGACTTGACTGCGTCCAGAGCATAGAGCGATGCGACCATTGGCATAAGAGTGAGATAATGAGTTGGATACTCCAAGATTGGTGTCTCTGGTGCGCTTGGGTTCGAACCAAACTGAAGTCGCTTCAATGCATATCTGATGGCAATTGATGTCAAAATCTTCATTGATCGTCTATTTTGATTGATAGGAAGTTGGTCAATATTCCTGACTATGACCTGGACGTTGATTGGGGGGTGGGACTTACACAGATGCAAAGGTGATAAATATTCTTCCAGCAATCATTTGAGAGAGGATGTTGGCAAATCTATGAGATGGACTCTTGATTGGTGAGGTGTACTCGCCATTGATGATACTGCCAAACTTGTCCAAGAGGTTGTCATAGGGTATTCTAACATTCTCGAATTGGATCCATCCATTGTCAACACCATTCAATCCAAACTTGGGTCCACAATCTCCAATCCTAACACCTGGCATCAAGTCAATGCCATTCTCCTTTCTGATTGGAACGAGGAAGCAGTGAACCTCGTGATCCTTTCCATTGATGATGAGTCTGGCAAATACACTAGACATTACAGCATGACATGCATTACCAATCCACCACTTGGTAGCAGTCCTCTTTGGAGTCTGGATAATAAACTCATTTGTCTCTGGGTCGTATGTGGCAGTGGTCTCTAATGCTCTAACATTAGATCCATGTCCCAACTCTGTCATGGCAAAGCATCCCAACTATTTAGAGAGATAGTATTAGTAAATATATGACTTGGAATATTTTTGATAATATCACGTGATCGAGTTGTCAGCTGACACCATGTCACGTGACCAGTTGCCAGTCATGTGACTGATTAAAAAACAAATAAGCAACATACCAATTCTCCAGTCTGGATTCCAGGGATTAACCTGTGATGCTTCTCAGTTCCAAGAGTATAGACAGCGCCTCCAAACAAGTAGTTGTTCACAACCAACTTGGTCGATACACCTAATATACAAGTCAATTAGTTTCCAGGACTTCTGGCGCCTAACGATCAATCATGTCGACAACACATACTATTATCATCAAACTGGCTGAGCACATCTCCCATGGCTAGAATTTTAGTTGGGTCGCCTTTGAGATCTGAGATCTGAACATATCCTGGACCATAGATCTTGGCCAAGAATGTCTTTAGCTGAAGCAATGATTGTACTCTCTGCTTCTCCTTGGGTAGGTCTGCACCTGTAAAGAACAATGATTTATCCTTAATCACCTCAGCAACTACTTTTCTAATCTAATAGTGTTTAAATCAATGATTGAATGAGTGGGATTATTCCTTCAACTTCAACATCAAGTTTGTCAAGTCAACATACCTCTGGATGCTCATAGTTGATCTTTGACCATCTGGCCAATTTGGAAGCGAGTGGCTCCTTTCCTGTCTTTGGATGAAGAGGTTGAGTACTGTCCATTGGGAATGTATTCATCATTAGACTATTGGTAGTCACATCAGACACCATTGTTGTAAGTGGTTTGGTTGCGGTAGACATATGTATTTATATTGTAGAGTTGTAGAGATAGTATCTCTTCCTTCTTTTGTTCAATGTTGGGGTTATTTGACAATGGTGAATTTAGAGATGGCTGGATGGATGATGTATTTAGTGTGTGTTTGTTTGTTTGTTTGAGTATTAGTGTGAGTATGAGTATTAGTGAAGTGAGTATTATTAGTGTGAGTAGTCGTGTGTATTCATTCCAGGTTAACTCAATGACAGAGGCCCACCACATATGCCCTTTGACTAAAGTGGTCCCAATAGTTTGAGAGGGTGTGTTCGTTAGAAAGATGACCCGCAAAGAGTACAAACAATTCAATTGAATTTAACTTCATTGTGATGACCCGGGTCACCGGCTTAATCACGGGTCTTTGATGCTCGGCACAAGGCCTTCAAACCCCACTCACAACTATGATTTCAACTTCAATTTTAATGATCATAATGATAAAATAGTTAAATTAATTTAGTATCAGATGTAAATGAATTAAAGATAGATAGGTATTGCGACTTTGATAGTGAGTCACTGATCATTAGACCCTGGGGCAAGAATGGGCAAGTATGCAAGGTCCACATCTTGTAACAGATGTCTTCCAAACCATCATTCCATCCATTCTGCAGACCTCGTTCGACCAGATTTCCATTGTCCCCCACAAACAAGATATTTACAATCATTGTTGATATTTTATAAAGTCGCGATGTTCCAAGTCGTTTGAATAATGAATGAAGTTGGTTCGGTCGATGAAGTTGGATAGATTGTTGTTGTTGTCCAAAGAACCATGACTACAATTATTTATCTTGATTGTTGTTGGTTCATGTTAATGTTCAACTTTATCAATTAATTGAATTGAATGAATGATGCAATATACATACATAAATACAATTGTTTATGACCTTACTTGACATAATACCCAATCAATCAATCATATTGTTAGTGTGTGTGTATGTATGTGTATGATCATTGATGGGATGACGTTGATTGATTGTTATAAATTTAATAATATTTGACGACAGTGTTACAGATACACATAAAGATACTCTCTACTGCTGCTACACACTACATCAAATGATATGTTCATTATTCTTATTCCTATTCTTAATCATCATACTGTCATACCTTACTTCTTAATATGGGTCTGATCATGTCCATCACTCACACTCAATCAACTTAGTGAACAACACTAACTCACACTCAAACTCACACACTCACTCAATCACATGACATTGATTGATTGATCACCCGCGGTTGTCAGATTTATCGATCACACTCCATGATCATTAACAGAGTGTCATGATGATATAAGGTATACCAGCCCATTTACTATTGATTAATGTCTGTCTTTGGACAACAACAACAACAGTGCAGCGATCGATTGCTGCCGGCATGATGTCACTATGCAGCCCCTCCATCCATCTCTTGATGGTCAGTTAGAGATACAAGACACTCTACCCATTGTGATCACATGTACATGTCTTGTTCATGTGTCCGAATGCGCGAGTGCTGCTCGACACACATCGTATTTGTTGGCGAACATCCAACCCTACCCCTGGCCGGCTGGACATCATCAAAGGGAGGGAGGTATATTTAATACACATAAGTATTTCTGATTATTATTTAACACCACCCATCCATTCAATCAGTGATCAATCAATCAATCAATCAATTAGTGATATCATCATCTCTAATTCAACATTTTGATTATTATTATTATTATTATTAATATACCAATATATAATTATAAAATCTAAAATGTTGTACAATAATAAATTTATAATCTTTGTACTTATAATATTGCTGGCAATTGCCAGTTACTCAGCGGCCACTGGCGACCCACCCGCCGAACACTCACCAGCCCATATAGCCGCCAAGCCCAAGGGCGCTACTGCTGCCAAGGCTGCTGATGGAGAAGCTGCCAAGCCCGCTGCCAAGCCCGCCGCTAAGCCTGCTGCCAAACCCGTTGCCAAACCTGCTGCCAAACCTGCTGCAGACGCGGGAGATGCCAGTCCAGATCCCGCTGCCGATCCCGCTTCCGAACCTGCTGCCAAACCCGCCGCCAAACCAGCCGCTGCTAAGCCTGGTGCCGCTAAACCAGTTGCCAAACCAGGTGCCGCCAAGCCCGCTGCCAAACCAGGTGCTGTCAAGCCGAAGCCAACCAAGAAACCTACGACCGCCACTCTTGAAGATGGATATGAGTGTGGAAACAAGACATGCAAGTCAGGTTGGGTCTGTGCCTTATCTAATGGATCTCCTTGGAGCTATTCCTGCCACAGTAAGTATACCAAATTGGAACTATCCCCCCGACCCTCATCCACTCACCAATATTCATACTTACAATCACACATTAATCAACAGACGCATCTTATATCAAGGACAAGTTGATACTCCAATGTGATGTCAAAGGCGAGCCATGGAAGGATGAGGGAGGACAATATTATATACAGGTGGATTGTTCGATCGTCAGCAAGTGGCAATTACATATCTTCAATGTCACTATTGATGCGGGCTCATTACCATTGAGTCCAGCACGCCACTGGAACATTGACCGATCAAGTGTCACGGGAGACTTCAAATTGACTGGCACCAACAATGAGTTTAGCATTGGAAAGAAGGTGGATTTTGGTTTCATCACGACAGGTAGTGTGAAGCCTACACTTACTATCAAGAGTGCATTCATCTACACACTATAGTCACCAGGTTCATGACCTTGAATAGTTCCAGCCCCCGACTGATGACTCACCCCACCCCCCCTTTGTCATCAATCAATCAATAAACTTGCCTAATGTATACTCTCTCACACGAACACATCTTAAATATCTTTATACAATTGTGACCCAAGATGGATGGGATACCTACAGGGCAATGTCCCTGGTCTCGCCAATCTTCATGGCAGTGAACTCGTCTTCGGCCAGGCCAGCCTTGTCAGCCTCCTCTTTCAGCCTGCGAGGCGGCTCCAGTAGTGGCTCTTGTGTCAGGACGAACGTGCCCCAATGCATGCCTACTGATTTCTTGGAGGCGAGGTCGCGGTGCACCATCACTGCCTCGGCGGGGTCGACGTGCATCTCGCGCATGATTGATCGCGGGGAGTAGGCGCCGATGGGGATCATGCCAAAGTCGATGCCGCCCATGTGATGTCCAATCTCCTTGAACACGTCGCAGTAGGCAGTGTCGCCAGAGTGGAACACCTTCTTGTCGGTGCGCTTGTCCGTGACGACCCATGAGCACCAGAGCGTGACGTTGCGATCCAGCAAGCCCCGATTGCTGTTGTGATGGCTAGGTGTGCAGGTGATGCGCATGTGCTCGCCAAAGTCGGCCTCCTCCCACCATTCGAGCTCGGTGACGGTCGTGACGCCACATGATGTGAACCATTGCTTGAGGCCCTTGGGCACGAACCAATGAGTGCTGTTGCCCAGTGCCTTGACCACGTTGATGTCGAGGTGATCGTAGTGACTGTGACTGATCACGACAAAGTCTGCCTTGGGCAATTCAGTGACCTGGCATGGTGCGTCGCGATATCGTCTCGGTCCAATAAATGACAATGGTGAGCAACGCGCTGAGAACACGGGGTCTGTTAGGAAGTTTGCTCCAGCAAACTGTACAAAGAATGATGCATGGCCAATCCAAGTGCATCTCAAACTCGAACTTGACTCCAACGGTTGTCGAAGACGATCAAAGTCCACTGGTAATACCGGATGTACATTAATCTTCTCATCATCTGTCAATGGTTCAATCTTTTCTCTCTTATTAAGTGATTTCAATCCTTCACTAAAGTTTGATTGATGGTGTGTGAGTGTGTGAGTGTGCGAGTGATTGATTGATGGGCTGACGAATGTTCGTGTAAGGGCTTACAAGAGTATGTCAGTGAATGACATTGTCATCCATTTGTTGATGTATCTACCATTTGGTAGTAGTAAGGCCTTGGTCTTTCCAATGACTGATGGTGCCAATGTGGTTGAAGCTGCATTGGCAACAATATTAATTAATGTAGATGCCATCTTGTGTGCTATATAACACTTAAAAATTGTTATATTCTATTTATAAACCTAACTAAAGACGCTAACTTATGACCGATGAGGAATAACAATGATGATGATCAAGTACCGAGGAAGTCGAGGTCTGATTGTTTGTTTGGAAGGAAAAAAAAAAAAAGACACGTAATGCAATCGGCAAATGATTCGTGTCGGGCCGGAATCATTGAACTTGGGTTGTTTGGATTGGTTGTCAGAGCCAAAGTGAGTTCATCATGGCATCGAGTGCAGTTTGTGGGTAATCTTATGACTTGGAATCAAACAGAATCAATGGAACAAGAGTTCTAAATAGGGTTTATAAAGAATCATCATTATGTATATAATATTCACAACTTATGTATGTGTGTGTCTGATCGATTGAGTTAATGATTGATTGAATGATTGAATGATTGAATGATTGAATGAATGTATGAGTTATTGAACAAAAGTTGGGAAACTAAATATCCTTTTAAGTTCATTAGTGGTGTTGGTTGGGTGTTGTTGAGGCAATGAATGAATAAATGAATGAGATGATTGAATCAATCAATCAATCGAACCTGCAAGGACTACAAACCTGTCGACATGACTATTCAATTTGGGTTTTGTGAGACTCTCTACACTACTAAGCCCACAACCAGTGTATTGGGGTATCAATTGGTCCACATTGACTGACTGACTCTGTCATAATCTATCGACCTATCAAGAGATATTTCACACACTAGTTAGAAATCGATTGTCTGGTGAATAGTCACAGCAAGAATAGGGTGAATGGTGTGCGGGATGTTGAGGACGGAGTGGTTGTTGAGCAAAGGATTGATTGATATGACCCGATGTGTCACAACTTACTTTTTATTATTTTTTTTATAATTTGCAGCCTTTTTTACAATACACCCCCAAGTTGATGACATTAATTCATACACACACAAGAGTCACACACCAGGCCAACCAACCACACCCCATCAACCTTCACTCATTCATTCAATTACATCAACAACTACAGAACAGATACATATATTATATATTTTATAGTACTTTATTATTCTATTGTATATACATATTATCTATATATCATCAACAACAACAACAAAACAATGACTTCAAGAGAGGGTATGTTATGGTCATCTTAACTTGTGTGTGAGTTCACTCAATCACTTAAACTTACATACTCAATCAATCAATCAACTCAATCAATCAATGACAATGATATCACTTGCGATTATAACTCGAATTAACAGAGCATAGCAAGATTATTTTTGGAGACAAGGCATTCGTATGTGTTTACTCAATCGATTAGATCGATCGATCAATGACATGGTCGATGATGATGAAGAATATAGAGATTAACAAACAAAGCAAACATAATACAAACAAACAAACAGATCAATGGAGTTCAAACTATTGAGGTTGGCGAAGCAGTTGCTGGTGAGACCAAGGCCAGAAGAAACACCAAGTTCCCAAACATGATTGCCAAGCCAGATGAGAACACAAACACTCTTTATGATCTCTATCAGTATGTTTAGATATATCGATAGCATCTGTTGTGCGTCTACACAACAACAGCTCCAACTTACACGCTTGGATCACTATCATTATAGACGTCACAAGGATTCTGATAGACCAATGTTGGGAATTCGTCCATTGCAAGCTGATAAGAAGCGTGGCCCATACGGCTGGATCACCTACAAGGATGCCAACGCAAGAGCCAACAACATTGGTTCGGGTATCATGCACCTCGGCCTGCAGAAGGGCGACCGCATCGGTATCTTCTCCATCAACAGACCAGAGTGGGTTCTTTCGGATATGGCCGGCACCAACCACGGTCTCGTCCCAGTGGCCCTCTACGCCACACTCGGACCAAACGCCATCGAGTACATCATCAACCACTCTGAGATCAGACTGGTTCTGTGCGAGGGCAAGAACATTGACAAGATGCTCCAAATGACCGCAGCTGAGACTCTGACTACCATTGTCAGCTACGACGCGCCATCCGAGGCCACCGCCGCCAAGCTCAGAGACTCAAAGCTCAAGTTCTACACTCTGGCCCAGCTCGAGGAGCTCGGTGCCGCCAACCCCGCCCCACACACTCCATCCTCGCCCGATGACACTTGTACTATACTCTACACCTCTGGTTCCACTGGCAACCCAAAGGGTGTGATCCTCTCCAACACCAACATGGTGTCTGAGGTCGCCGGCGCTTACTTCTCCCCAGCAGGTCTTACAGAGGAGGACGTCCACATGTCCTACTTGCCACTGGCTCACTCCTTTGAGCGTGCCGTCGTGTCGATGGTTGCCTACGTCGGTGGCCAGATCGGTTTCTACAGTGGTCAGGTGCCCGAGCTCTTTGACGACATTCAGGTGTTGAGACCCACCTTCCTGGTCGGTGCTCCACGTGTCTGGCAGAAGCTGCACGACAAGATGTGGCTCAAGATCAACTCTGAGTCATGGTTGAAGAGAACCCTGTTCAACTGGGGTCTCAACTCCAAGCAGGCCACCATCAAGAGTGGAGGCAGCGCTCCAGTCTGGGACTGGTTGGTCTTCTCCAAGACCCAACAGAGACTCGGTGGTCGTGTCAAGTTCATCCTGTCTGGTTCTGCCCCATTGGACCCAAAGCTTGCCGAGTTCTTGATTGCATGCTTCTGCTGCCCAGTCGTCCAGGGTTACGGTCTCACTGAGAATGTCGGTGGTGCCGCCGTTGCCTACCCAGAGGACCCACGCATTGGTCACGTCGGACCACCCCTTTGCTGCACTGAGTTCAAGCTGGTCGATGTGCCCGAGATGAACTACTTCTCCACTGACAAGCCAAACCCAAGAGGAGAGATCTGTATACGTGGTCACAACGTCTTCAAGGGCTACTACAAGGACCCAGAGAAGACTGCTGAGGACTTAAAGGCAGACGGTTGGTTCCACACTGGTGACATTGGTCGTTGGAACGAGCACGGCACCCTCTCAATCATTGACCGCAAGAAGAACATCTTCAAGCTGTCACAGGGTGAGTACGTCGCCGCCGAGTACCTCGAGGCCATCTTTGTCCGCTCGCCACTGGCCGCTCAGGTCTTTGTCTATGGAGACTCGCTCAACAGTTTCTTGGTCGGTGTCGTCGTACCAGACTTTGACGTCGTCGAGAAGCTCTTTGAGCAAAAGTACTCGCACATCAACAACAAGGACCAGCAGGCTCTCGTCAAGACCAAGGAGTTGTACAAAGAGATCATGGACTCATTCGATGCATGCGCCAAGGAGGCCAACCTGCAGGGCTTTGAGAAGATGAAGCACATTCACGTCGAGCACGAGGCCTTCTCCGAGGAGAACAATCTGTTGACACCATCGTTCAAGCCACGTCGTCCACAACTCAAGGAGAGATACCAGGACACCATTGCCACACTCTACGCCGAGTTCAAGCGTGACCATCCAGAGATGTAAATATGTTATGTTTTAAGTACGCAGTAGGCACAGTCAGTACAAGGTCAGTCATCCCGCTTGGACCACCGCGAAGACCCAAGCTATATTCATAACCTTTGGCTGGTCCTACAAGGAGGAGAGGTTTTAGATATCATTTATAAAGTATGTTCGTTTCTCAAACAACAAAGAATGGATTGGTTTGGCAATTGATTGATTGATTGATTGAGATGGGTTGGGTTGATTGGTCAGTCATCAGCCTGGCCGATGTGGAACAGACAGACCAGGTCTACCTTTATTATGCGTATGTTGTCAACAGTTGGTTGATTGTTCCTCGAGTTGGTTATGTACAAATGTAGTCTCCTCTACTTCCTCCTCCTGTTCCTCTTCCTCTTGTTCCTCTTCTTGTTGTTGTTGGTATGCGGTACTAAAATACATGAGTAGTAACTTGATAGTCTTTAACTCGTTCTGATGTTTGGCCATTATTGCGCTGGCGTCGGTTGCCGAGATACCAGCACCTTGTCCAGAGAATACAGTTGGCGTCAGCACTCTGGCGAGATTGTCCACATCCATTTTGGTGTTGGCCACCACTTCTGGCTGCAGGACACGGCCAAAGAACATTCCAATGGTGTCGACAACGCGGGCCACCAGGGGCGACTCTATGCGCTCCAGTATCGAGGCGATTGTGTCGGATTGATTGCAGGCAACCAGTGCATCGTATAAGTATGTTGGCAACAATGGTGTGGGCAGCTCTCTGATCCACTTCTTGAGCAACGAAGCCCAAGTATGAACGCTGTAATGTAGATCGGTGTCCTCTGGATCAAAGCCATCCTTTGCAATCGTCTCGACATCCTGCATGTTGCCACTTATCCTGAACAGACCCTCAGTGCCCAGTCCACCATTATCAATGATCTGATCAATCAGTATGGTCAATATCATTGGCACGTCTCCATTGTCGTCTCCTTGCAGCTCCATCAACTGTTCAATCTCCACGCCAAACATGCCTACTTCCTCGTCCTCATCTTGTTCCTCCTCATCTGCTGCGTCATCTTCATTCTCTCTATCCTCATCATTTTGGTCTGCAATGGCTTCTTCTTTATGTTCTTCGGCATCTGTGCAGCTTGAGCCCATTGGGTGCACGCCTCTTGCTCCAGTCGACTCTTGAGTTGATGAATCCATTATCTTTGTTTGTTGTTCTTGTTGTTGTATGACTATAATGTCTGCTCCATCATCAACTGTTTCCATGTTATTGTTGTCGATGAGTTGTGGAAGTGAAGAGTTTGGCGCCAAAGTGTGGCTATGTTGGAAGTTGTGGTTGTGTGTGGCGAATGTGTTGTCGACGACGGGCGCGGCGACTTCTGCTGTGTTGATCTTGTGTCTGATTGTGGAAAAAGCTAGATGTGCCTGCTGTTCGAATTCTACCATCAACTTATGTAGTTGAAGATTATTACTACTATTATTCTGTTGTCGACGATGTCTGTTGTTACTCTTTCTTCTCACAACATTTGACTGTTGCTGCTTCTTCTTTCTAATTGCCATCGATGTTATTGCTTTGTTGTTATTGTATTGTTGTTGTTGTTTGTTGCGTTGTTGCTTTGTTGACACGTGGATGGAAGGACAGACGGCAAGACGGAAAGACGGATTGTTGTGTTGTGTGATTGAGTGACAAAGTACTTGGGGATTATTATTATTACTTGAATAGAGGTAATCAATCCAATGGATGGGTGTGAGTGGTGATCAGGTGATTGCTATTAGATCGATGATCAAACAATGTGTAGCTGTGATGGATTGATTGATTTATGCGTTTATTGTGCTGTACGAATAGTGGACAATGAGTTTGTAACAACCTTGTGCGCCCATACACTTGGACAAGACAACAACAACACATTAATTAAAAGAATCGTTTTGTGTTTAGCTCTCAATCACCTGACTATGATCTCAGATTCGAGATTTACACACCCCACTAGTTCTGATCGATCACCACCTTCCCACTCACACACTCACGCTGATCAACAATTGAAATGAAAATGAACTTCTTATTGTTGTTTAGTTTAATTAATTGAGTGAAGCTCTGTTATGTGGAAGGTTGAGGTAGTCCATCTCTGGACCCTCTGGAACGATGCCAGTTGGGTTGATGCTACGATGAGACTCGTAGTAGTGGTGCTTGATGTGATGGAAGTCGACGGTGGACTTGATCTGCTCGTTCTGGTAGATCTCGCGGAGGTAGTTGGACAGAGCAGGATAGTCCTTGATCATTCTCTTGTTTGTCTTGAAGTGACCAAAGTAAACTGGATCGAATCTGACCAATGTCGTGAACAATCTAATGTCGGCCTCTGTCATCTGCTTTCCCACCAACCATCTCGACTTGGACAGTCTCTCCTCCAACTTCTCCAAAGCAGAGAACAATTTTTCAAAGGCAACGTTGTCTAAGGAAGTATGATTTGATTGATTGAATGAGTATGAGTGAGCTGAGCGTCCAACTTGATTGAGCTCGATGATGAAACTTACATGCCTCTTGGTCACCGGCAAAGCCACACTTGTAGACTCCATTGTTGACGTTGTCATAGACAAATGTGTTGATCTCGTCGATCTCGGCCAACAACTCTTTGGGTGCAAGGTCGAGCGATGGGTTCTTGGCGACATCGTTGAACTCTGAGTTCAACATACGGATGATCTCTGAAGACTCGTTGTTGACAATGGTCGAGGTTTGCTTGTCCCACAGCACTGGCACTGTGAAGCGGCCTTCAAACTGTGGGTTGGCCTTGTAGTAGAGCTGCTTGAGATGAGTGTAGTTGTTGATTGGGTCCAACGTAGCGCCTTGTCTCTCTGAGAAGTGCCATCCCTCTCCTCCCAAGAAGTAGTCCACCACCGACAATCCAATAGCATGTTCCAATCCCTTTAGTTTACGAACAATGATTGTTCTCTAATTGATCGATTGATTGAATGTCAGTTGTCATTGGCTTTGACTTGATTGATTGATCGAGTGAGTGAGTGAGTGGATTACATACATGTGCCCATGGACAAGCGAGTGAGACGTAGAGATGGTAACGGTTGGCCTCTGGGGGGAATGGACCACCTTTGGCAATGGCATTTCTGAATGAACTTACCTTTCTCATGAACTCACCTTTCAATGGGAAGTCCATTATCTTTACTGCTGCTGATGCTGTTGTAGACATTATTAATAAATGATATTGATTGAATAATTGTTGTGTTTGTATTAATTATTATTATTTGTTTGTATCTTATCTTATCTTATGTTATTGTTATTGTATTGTAACATTTATTTATAAATTGAATAGGTACATTCTTTCATTCATTCATCTTATTCTTCTTCTGGGGTCTTCCAAACACACACACACACATTCTGTCAGGTTGCCAGGTGTGTGTGTATGTCGGGTTCGACCAATATAAATGTCACAGTGCTGTTGTTGATGGCGTACTTCCTAATCAGATCGACAATGCGATTGTGCTCTTCCAGTGTGTTCTCGATCACATGCGTCAATGGGACTCAGATCACGGTGGCGAACTTGTTCTACAACAATCCATCGAGGAAACTTGAGCCTCAGCTGAGCTCAAGCCGGCACAAGGAAATGGAGATTGATAGATCAGACAGCGAGTATGGTGTCAACAACAACAGCAGCAGAAAGCACTGCAAATACCACTACCAGCACTTCGACAACCTGCTCCAAAAACAATGCATATCCATCCATCCATCCATCAATCAATCAATCAATCGATAGATGATGGTCCGGGAAATGATCGAAATAAATTCCTAAACAAATGAGTTATAACACAGATCCACATTTCCTTCTTGGACCAGACCCAATCAGAGTCTGTTCAGGTCGATCAAGATCAACAATAACAACTAGACCTTTGACTACAGAGACCATCTTTGTGTGTATAACAACAAGAGTCGGGTAGATGAGAAGTCACAATCTATGTGACAAAGGAAGGTGATGTTTATTTGGGTTTAAAACCACAATTGACACGGTACTATCATTGGAGGAAAGGGAGTTATAGTTAATATTAAAAGATGATAAATGGAGTTGAATATTGTACTTACATCACCATCAACAATAGGAGCTCCTTTGTTTTCACTTCCATTGGCAGTAAAGCAGAAAGAGCCGGACTCTGCACCCTCTGGTGAGAATCTGCTGTTTGGTTTTGTGGCAGCATCAGGCTTGGTCAACACGTATCCAGCAGGGGCATCAATCTCGACACAATAGCTGATTGTTGAAATAATAATTGGTTAGATTATGCTTTGATGAGGTTGGTTTTAAAATCCAAATGGATTATAAGTAGGTACTTACTCTCCTGCAACCAAACCAGTTATCCTGTATCCATTGCGGTCAGTAGTGGAAGTGTATGTGCCAAGTAAATTCTTGTTGGAATCTAGGACCCTGACTGTTGCTCCAGCAATGTTAGATTCACTGTTATCGTTTACTCCATTCTTATTCCTAATTTGGGTCAAATATTATTAAATGAGTACAATACTGGTTTGCTTTAAAAAATACTTACGAGTCTTTCCATGTATAGCCACTAATAGCGTAGGTCTTGGTCTTCTTGAAACCAGCGTTGACACGGTACTATATACAATATGTTAATATATTATACATTAGTATTAATGATTGATTTTGTACTTACATCAGCACCGTTAAGAACTGTTCCATTTGAGGGCTTGCCATTGTCAATTGAGAAACAGAAGGTGGAGTTGGTAGCACCCTCTGGCGAGAATCTGCTATTAGGTGCTGTTGCGGCATTGGGCTTGGTGAACACGTAACCAGCTGGAGCATCCATCTCAATGCAATAACTTAGGATTACAGGTTGGGAAATTAGTAACTTTTAGGAAGGATATCCTTGTCATCGGTCTACTTACTCTCCTTCTTCCATAGCACCAGTCCTCCATCCATTGTAGTCCGCAGTGGTGATAAAGTTGGCAATCACTACCTTGTCAGCGTTGAGGACTCTCACTGTGGCTCCTGGAATATTGACTTCGTTGTTGTTGTTTGTTCCATCACCGTTACTTAATTTGATTGGTTCATAATTATTAGTTCCTCTAATAGGTTTGAGTGGATTAACAATCAATAAACAATAATCTTACCCATCACTCCAAGTATAGCCAGCCATTCTGTACTCCTTGACAGCATCGTAACCAACTCTGACGATATGCTCTCCTTTGCTATTCAAAACAGTGTCCTCGCCAATGGTGAAGCAGTACTTGTTGGTGGTTGGATCGATCTTGTTGTCCTTATCGGTGCCGGTGGTGCCAAGTTTGCCAACCTTGTAGTTGGTGTTCTTGTAGTCGACGTTGAGGCAGTAGTCTCCATCATCAAGAGCACCAAAGTCCACACCATTGGCTCCATTGGTCGAATCGAAGGTCTTAACCATTGTGCCATCAGCCTTGGTCAGATTACCACGTCCACCGAAGTAGTAAAGCTCGCCAGTGTCATCATTGCCGTTCTTGTTGGAATCACCGAATGAGAACAGCTTCAACTTGGGCTTGATTACTTGATCATAACCAACACGGATGATCAGCTCACCTTTGCTGTTCAACTCGGTTTCCTCACCAATGGTGAAGCAGTACTTGTTGGTGGTTGGATCGATCTTGTTGTCCTTATCGGTGCCGGTGGTGCCAAGTTTGCCAACCTTATAGTTCTCGTTCTTGTAGTCGACGTTGAGGCAGTAGTCTCCATCATCAAGAGCACCAAAGTCCACACCATTGGCTCCATTGGTCGAATCGAAGGTCTTAACCATTGTGCCATCAGCCTTGGTCAGRTTRCCACGTCCACCGAAGTAGTATGGCTCGCCCTTGTCATCATTGCCATTCTTGTTGAGATCACCGAATGAGAACAGCTTCAACTTGGGCTTGATTACGTGTTCATAACCAACACGGACAATAAGCTCGTCCTTGCTGTTCAATTCAGTCTCCTCACCAATGGTGAAGCAGTACTTGTTGGTGGCTGGGTCAATCTTGTTATCCTTGGTGGTGCCAGTGGTGCCGAGTGGGCCAACCTTGTAATTGTCGTTCTTGTAGTCAACGTTGAGGCAGTAGTCTCCATACTCTATRGWRCCAAAGTCAACACCATTGGCGCCATTGGTCGAATCAAATGTCTTAACCATTGTGCCATCAGCCTTGGTCAGATTACCACGTCCACCGAAGTAGAATGGCTCACCGGTGTCATCATTGCCGTTCTTGTTGTTGTCACCGAATGAGAACARCTTCAACTTGGGMTTGRTWACGKGTTCATAACCAACACGGACAATCAGCTCTCCGTTGCTGTTCAACTTGGTGTCCTCGCCAATGGTGAAGCAGTACTTGTTGGTKGYTGGRTCRATCTTGTTRTCCTTRKYGGTGCCGGTGGTGCCRAGTKKGCCAACCTTGTATCTCTCGTCTCTGTAATCGACGTTGAGGCAGTAGTCTCCATCCTCCATGGTGCCAAAGTCAACACCCTTGTCGCCGTTGGTCGAATCGAAGGTCTTGACCATTGTGCCATCAGCCTTGGTCAGATTACCACGTCCACCGAAGTAGAATGGTTCACCAGTGTCATCATTGCCATTCTTGTTGTTGTCACCGAATGAGAACAACTTCAACTTGGGCTTGACAACTGGAACATATCCAACCCGGACGATAAGTTCACCTTTGCTGTTCAACTTGGTGTCCTCGCCAATGGTGAAGCAGTACTTGTTGGTGGCTGGGTCAATCTTGTTGTCACTGGTGGTGCCAGTGGTGCCAAGTTTGCCAACCTTGTATCTCTCGTCTCTGTAGTCGACGTTGAGGCAGTAGTCTCCATCATCCATAGAACCAAAGTCAACACCCTTGTCACCGTTGGTCGAGTCGAATGACTTGAGCAATGTTCCATCGGCCTTGGTCAGATTACCGCGTCCACCGAAGTAGAATGGCTCGCCAGTGTCATCTTTTCCATTGTCGTTCTTGTCACCGAATGAGAAGAGCTTCAACTTGGGCTTGACATTGGGTACATAACCCACTCTGACAATCAACTCGTTATTGCTGTTAAGCTTGGTATCCTCACCGATGGTGAAGCAGTACTTGTTGGTGGCTGGGTCAATCTTGTTGTCCTTGGTGGTGCCGGTGGTGCCGAGTGGGCCAACCTTGTATCTCTCGTCTCTGTAATCGACGTTCAGGCAGTAGTCTCCATCATCCATTGTTCCAAAGTCAACACCCTTGTCACCGTTGGTCGAGTCGAATGACTTGAGTAATGTTCCATCAGCCTTGGTCAGGTTGCCACGACCACCGAAGTAGAATGGTTCACCAGTGTCATCATTGCCGTTCTTGTTGTTGTCACCGAATGAGAACAGCTTCAACTTGGGTGGTGTGGTGCGAATGTATCCAACACTGACATTGAGGACACGGTTGGTGGCTGTCTGCTCATTGAGGTCGAAACAGTACTTGTTGGTGGTTGCGTCGAACTTGTTGTCCTTGTTGGAGCCGGTCTTGCCAAGTGGGCCAACCTTGTAGTTATTGTCACGGTATGGCAAGTTGAGGCAGTAACGACCTGGAGTGAGCTTGAACTGAACACCATTGGGGCCATTGGTGGTGCCAATGTTGGAGAGCACAGTTCCGTCCTCCTTGGTCAGAGTGCCCTTGCCACCAAAGGCAAATGGCTCATTGCTGCCTTGGGTACCATCCTTGTTGTTGTCAATGAATCCATGGACGTTCAAGGAGAGTGGTTGCTGATTAGAATCGGTGGTGGAGGCAGTGGTAATTACTGGGGGTGGAGTCACAATAGGACCGGTGGTCGAGGCTGTGGTAGATCCAGTGGTGGTTGGAGGACTGGTTGTTGAGGCAGTGGTAGACACAGTTGTCGTTGCAGTGATTGTCGACGTTGGTGTAGCGGTCGTGGTAGCAGTTGTCGAGGCAACGGTGGAGGCGGTCGTTGTGGGTGGCTTGGTGGTTGTGGAAGACGTCGTAACAGTTGAGACTGGTGGCTGCGAGGTAGTTGTGGCGGTGGTAGTAGCAGTGGTGGTCTGGGTGATTGTTGACGTTGGGGTGACAGTTGTTGAAGCGGTCGTTGACGCAGAGGTCGAGGCAGTCGTAGAGGTGATGGTGGTTGGCTTGACAGTAGTCGATGCAATGGTGGTGGCCGTGGTAGTTTGGGTGATTGTTGACGTTGGATTGACGGTTGTCGAGGCAGTTGTTGATGCAGTGGTTGAGGCAACGGTAGAGGTGACAGGTCCTGTTGTGACAGTCATTGCAGTAGTAGTTACAGTGGTTGTGGCAGTGGTAGTCTGAGTGATCGTGGATGCTGGTGAGGTAGTGCTTGCAGTGGTGGTCACGGTTGTAGATGCCGAAGTTGAGGTAACACCAGCAACGGTGCTGGCCACTGTTGAAGCAGTTGACACAGTGGTAGATGTAACAGGTCCAGTTGTCACAGTCATTGCAGTAGTGGATACTGTTGTTGTGGCCGTGGTGGTCTGAGTGATCGTGGATGCTGGCGAAGTGGTACTTGCGGTGGTTGTCACGGTAGTTGACACTGTTGTTGAAGTTGGAGCAGTAGTCACAGTAGAGGTGCTGGTGGTAACAGTTGATGACACACTCGTGGAAGCGACAGTACTGGCAACAGTGGACGCGGTGGACACTGTTGTTGTGGCAACAGTTGATGACACACCCGAGGTTGAGGCAACCGTGCTAGCAACTGTGGACGCGGTCGACACGGTTGTTGTTGCAGAAGTAGAGCTAGTAGCGCCGCCCTGACAGAATGGTCTGCCACTCACGTCAACCGAACAATATGATCCAGAAGGACATGTTTTGAAAGTACAGATGTTGATGCACTTTGGAGCGACGCTCAGGGTAGGGTGACAACAGACTGTGCCAAATGGACATTGGATTGTGTTGCAAAGTCCTTCATTGGCTGTTGAACTATGTTAGAAATTGATCAAAAAGATTGATTGATTTTTCGGATATTTACCATTGGCATTAACATGTATCACCAAGAGGAGAAGGAGGAAGAACCCAGTCTTCCTAAATGTTTTGGAGTACATAGGAAAGATGGATGGTGTTGTGGTTGTAGTTTTAAGTATTTAGAATATATTAAACTATAATAATAATACTGATGGTAGATATGAACAAGAATAACAAATTATTATTATGTAATTAACAAACAGGTTAGAATATTTATAGAGAGTAGAATAGGTCCAAGCTACAACAATATTGATCTCAATGGTATATTAGGTACACTGTATGGATATATCATTCTATCAATAAAAGTAACCCTGAACACCCCACCATAGCTACTTTTATGATTGTGATCACAATCATAATCATCAAAGAGGGTACAACTTTAAGGAATGATGCATCATACATACAACTTTAAGGAATCGTGCCTCAAGCACACAAAGAGGAGGTACTATACTTAACATTTAAATTAAGTTGGTGGGTGGATGCACTGGAACTACTCATACTCCATAGGCACTGCAAAACCTCACCAACATCTGATCATTCATTACCACAGTGGTAGTAGGCTGAGCACTGTTCCTTGTTCTAACAAAGTGTTACTGAGATGGATGTTACTCATAATGTTCTGAGGAATCCAATGGACCATTGGCAATGTTGCGAGTGTTGATAGTGTTGGCGTATGCAGGAACAATGGAATACAACAACAATGATGTGATGGCTAGCCATTATATTATGATCAAGCATATAATTAAGGTGAAGTTAATTGATCAGATAGATGGTTGGATGGATGGATGGGTAGGTCTTTGTTAGGGGTAGGGTAGGTGTGTGTGGTATTTGTTACTGATTCTGATCACCCGCCCATCACCGACAATAACACACCATTTAAACAAAGAGTATGGTGTATACACCTATGCTTTGGGGTTGTGTTGAACTCAACCACTCACTCATTCAATCACGCTTCTCCACTCAGATGCCTCTTAAATGTTACAATTTGCATTTGATCAAAAACATTCTAAGCTTCGAGGCATGTGAGTTGTACACATACAAGTGTTTTTGCATCTGCCTGCTTGATGGCAGAAAAGAGTATTGCTTGTAGAGATCAGCTGTACTTTGGTTGGTGATCTGTATTGGACATCGTTGTCTATAGATCTTATTGTTTATATGTATATAAGTCAGGTGATCACAATGAATGAGAATGATCTGTGCTGGTAGGACATTTCAAATTTTGGCGCCGAAGATCTTTAGTTGTTCATGTTTTAATAACCTTTAACTTTTCACACAAGAAATGGATTGACTAAGAATGAAAGTAAATTTGATCTTTGTGTATCATTCGGAATATAAAAGGTGTTATTCCTCTTAAGGATTCTGCACCCTCCATAGGTAAAGTAAGTCTTCCACATTTAGTACTGTTGTCGGAGAGATGGTCGATAGAGTGATTCATCCTATCCACTCCCTCGAGGAGTCGCTCACCCCTAAAAGGTTTGGTAGTTCATTGTTAGTGAGGGGTGTTTGTTTAGGATTGGTTGTATAAATTAATTTCCTTCCTTCTAAAGGTCACCTCTCAAACTATAAAAGAATACTATATAAAGGTTTGAGTAGTTATTTATATCTTTTACTATATAAGGAGAAACTGAACTGAATAAATCACAACTACTGGCAGTCTCCTTTACAACTTAAAATAACAAAGAATAAAGTAATCAATAAATATTTTTTATTATTATTATTTAATACTTCATATTATTATATTGAATAACTACTTTTGTTGTTGTTCATACTGGATAAGAATATTTGATCATACCTATTATCATTCATTAATAAATAAATAAATAAATAAATAAATACGTATCAAACAAATAATGAAGATAAATACAATTAACAAAAAGTTAGAGATTGAAGTTGATCCCAACACTACAACTTTAAAGGATATTAGGGAGAGGGTTCAATCTCAAGTTGGATATCCAGGTGCCCAACAACAGGTAAATATTATTATTATGGAAATTTTCCAATATTTACAAATATTAATTATAATATTTCACGAATAGCTTTTCTTTAGGGATAAGGAGGTTCCACATCGTTATGATAATAGGACTTTGAGTACTCTACATATTGACAACTCCTCAGAGGTATTGTATACTTCTCAAATAATAATAATTAATTAATCAAACTAACAAATTAAAATTACAGCTTGATGTATTCTATCACCTCAAGGAACCAAGTGGACGTATAACTGATACCATCCATAACAAACTTAATAGATCATGGTAATGAATGTTGTAGTTCCAACAATCAATCAATCATTATGTCATTCAATAAATGATTAAAGACTCTTGTAAATCATATAAATAATTAATTAATTGTTGTTGATGTTGATGAATGAGTTTTAATCAAATGCCTTGTTACGTCATTTCTTAAAGTCATCGTCAACTGATAGGTCCATGTCCCCAAGATCAATTCCACCTTTGATAAGATTGTTTGGCTTCCTCGGCCTCCGACTAAGGGGCTTGTGGACTTTGAGTGGTTCGGCGACCTTCTTTGCTTTGCCTGGTCTCTGCTGGTTGTTGCTGCTTTTGTTGTCGCTACTATCATCAGTGCTGCTATCATTGTCTTCGTCATCACTATCTCCACGTTGTCTCTTCTTCTTCTTGTCGTTGTTGATGTTATTCTTGTTCGCTTGGGTGGATGTCGCTGCTGATGTCTTGGACTTGGCTGTGGAGGTGGTGGAAGAGGAGGTAGAAGAGGAGGCGGATGTTGATTTGGCAGTGGATATGGAGGATGTCGATGAGGATGGTGGAGTAGACCTATAGTTCTTGTTTGTTCGATACTCTGATACCTTTGTAATCTCGATGTTACTGCTGCTACTACTACTACTTTTGCTGCCTATGCTGCTATCACTATCATCCATGCTGCTGCTACTATTACTACTAGTATTGATGCTGTCCTGCTTATTGGTCTTCATCATGGTATCCTTTGAAATAGTCAACTTGTCGTCAATGTTGTCATCATCATCATCATCAGTATACTTCTTCACCTTCTTCATCTTCTTTGTCTTTGTACTCTCCTTCTCACTCTCATCCTCTTTGTCCATCTCCAACTCCAACTCCTTCTGCTTCACCTTCTCATTCTCCTTCTCCTTCTCGCTCTCTTCCTCTTTTTCCATCACCAACTCCTTCTCAAACTCTTTGGATAGATTCTTCTTGTTAATAGATACTATCCTCGATGTCTTTGGAGTGATGATGTTCATAGAGTTGTCTTCTTGGTCACTGACATCTCTTTTGGGAGAGGACACTGGAGAGTCAGACTTTGTCCTGCCATTGCGATCGCCATCATTGTCACTTGATGCCTTCTCATCCTCGTCCTTTGGTGGTTCATCTTTATCCTCGTCCATCTTGTCATTGTCCTCATCCTTCTTGTCATCCTTCTTGTTGTTCTTCTCCTTGTCATTGTCTTTGTCGATCGATGAGTCAAAGCTGGTCAATATCTCGAGACTGCTGGTGTCGATTGAGACTGAAGCGCGTGCACTTGCATCAAAGTTGTTCTGAATGATTATCCTGTACTCCTTCTCCTCGTCTTCAGTCATTGCGTCCTCAAACTGTTCCTTGCGCAGTTTGAATATCAGTGATCTCAGGACCTTTCTCTTCTTGATTACATCGGTTATTGGGAACCAATTAGGTTTCTCGAGCTGTTTGTTGTTGTTTGTGCGCGTGTCAGAGGTTGTCATTGCTGCCAAGCATGGCTATTAATGGGTACTACTTACAGGGTTAACAAAGTTGGTCTCTGGCTTCTTACAAAACAGCTCCAAGTAGTGTAGCAAGAATACGCCGCAGTCGCTAAAGTTGTTCTGGACGGGGACGTGTGGACAGAATGCCTTGAAGTTCTTGGCTGTGAATGTACGGCTTGGGTACTTGCCCTTGCCATCAGGCATGTCCTTTCCAAACTTCTTTTCTTTCCACTCTTCCGTGAGGTATTCACGTATCCTGGTAAGATTGATTGAGTGAGTGATCATGTCTGTGAGATATATCAATCATTCATACCTTGTGTCGATAGGACTTGGCTTCTTGTAAAGTGAATCTAGATATATCATACAGGGTCGTCTGTCCTTGGGTGGGTCATCACTGCTTTCATCGCCAGGGAAACAAACGATCATTAAACTCCAATGTGCGCTGGAAGTTGGAAGTAAGTATTTGCTCACTCAGTCAATCAATCATTGAAGTTGAAGTGAATACATACTATTGGTTGATGGGAATAAAGATAAAGTCCTTCTCGAATATGTCGTCGTTCTTTGTCCACTTGATCACTTCGCGGTAGGAATCCTTCGAGTCCTCCTTTGAGGTCAACTTCTTGTAGAAGAAGCTGTTGAAGAAGAAGAACTTGTAGTCCTTATTGAGAAAGTTGTCGTTGATGTATCTGTGGCGGGGAATGATCATTGTCAGTTGTCAGTGATGTTGTCCAAGCCATTGGTTACTCTTGATGGATCATACTTTGTATAGAACTCAATGAGGCTGTCATTGAGGAACTCGCCTTCGTTCAGTCGCTCCAAGTCGTTTCGCGTGATGATCACCTGTCCAACAGGTTTCAGTTCCTGTGGCGTTGATCTCGGATAGTGCATCATGTGATCGTCTCCATTGACAGTCTTTATCTCCTTGGGTGGTCTGTAGACGCTTTTGGTACTGCTGCTACTGCCTAGACTGCTACTGCTTCCAATGCTGATGGCGATGCTGTTGCTAGTGATACTGTTGCCAAGGTTGAGTGGAGGTTTGAATGGTGATGCATCGAGCGCCTTGGCAAGCGCAGATCTCTTCGTTGTTGATGATGAGTTGGGCTTCGACGTGCTGTACGTGTCTGACAGGGAGTCATAGTTGCTCGAGGATGATTTTGGCTCACTCTTTTCGAGCTGTGATGGGTAGCTAAACCTTGTAATGACTGGCGTATCGACAGATTGAGCCGTTGTCGAATTGGCTGTGCTCGGAGCATTCTGGATTATGCTGCCATAGTGATTGTTCAATGCTTTCTTGGTCATCATTAAACTCAGTGATGAAATCGAGAACTTGGATATAACAGACTCTGATAGGGCAGGGCAAGAGTTGAGAGAACATTGTGTCAGTTAATTGGATTGAAACACATCAACAATCAATCAATCATATATCTTACTTCCATGGATAATGATTTCACTGCCACCCTTGTTGATTTGAATTGATCTCATTCTCTCCTTGGTATACTTGATTTCTTTGGTCCCCTTGTCGTAGTATATTGTAATGTCAGTAGATGTGACTACCATGGTAGCATTATGGATAGGAGGGTCACCACCGTTGATGTACAGGTTGTCAAGCTCAACAGGTTCATAAGTTTGCTTCTGTTGTTGTTGTTGTTGTTGTTGTTGTTGCTTCGGCTGTTGTTGCTTCTGTTGTTGTTGTTGTTGTTGAACGCGCACTTGCTTCTCTTTCTCCTTCTCCCTCTCTGGCAGACTTGGAGCATCCGCATCATCATCTACGTCCAGTATGGATCCTTGCTGTACAAAGGCAGGCTTTGCAGGATGAGCATCGTTATTATTCTTCTGCATCTCCTTAAACTTATCGAAAATCGTCTTTGATGTGTCGTAGTTCCTGTTCTGGTGGACTTTAGTGACTTGCTGTTGGGCGCCAGGCCCCATACTGTAGCTGAACGCATGCTCTGTCTGGTTGCTCATATTACTGATGGTGCTCATACTGAGAGTGCTGCCCTTGCTGTTTGCCAGTGAGTTGCCTGCTTTCCAATAGGAGCTCATGCCGCTTTTCTTTACAGTGACATTGGCCGGCTTGTTGGGCCGGTCTTGATTGAGATGCGCTGTCTTCCTGGCCAGGTCATCGGTGGCACTTGGGTCCAATGGGATGCCAACGTCATCTGTATCGTGTATGTCAACAGAGTATGAGTTCTGTGATGGCGGAGGTGAACTCTTCTTATTCCTTGCTGAGTTCAATTGTAATGTTGTAGTCGTAGCCGTGGTTTGTCTTGTCTTATTTCTATTATTATTGTTGTTATTGCTATTATAGTTGTTGTTGTAAGAATGATTGTCTGTGTCGTACTGCATTTCTTCATGCTACAGTAGGCTGATGTTCATGTCGCGCTTCAATCAATCGACTGTTTCTTTCTTGTTTGTTTAGAAACAAGATGTTGATGACTTTAGTTTGTTTGTTGTTGTTGATATTGTTTTGGTATTGGTTGGCTGGACTCTTCCTTCGTTGTAGTTGTGGTTTCGAGTATTGTTGATGGATTGATTGTTATAGATTGTAAGAATGTATGATGGATGAATGAATGAAGTGACAATGATGTGCTTGGGATTCTCAAGGTTCAGATTACCAACAATCCAAAATTTCAATTAAAGAGGGAGTGGAACTTACTTCTTTGGTCAATCAATCAACACAACTCAACACAACATAATCATTATTCATTCATTCATTCAACTCTTCTCTCTATCATATACATATATAGTATACTTATACATATTTGGTGTACATATACATATTTGGGTATATAATCCTTATTTAAAATGTATGTAGTATTGTATATACATCCAGGTTGTAGTTGGAACATGCGGATAAAGCAGGCATGCAGGATATTGAATGTTATATAAACCAAACAACAACTACAACACCAATCACTTATACTTGTTGTCCAAGCATGTAAGCGGGAAAATAACAAACTAACATTGTTCATTATCTAGGTCAACAACAATGGAGTCTACTCCCACAACAACAACAACAACAACAGTTGAGGGTTCATCCTCCACCTCATCAACTGCTCAGCCAAAGCAGAGCTCTGTTAAAGAGATAAATGAAAGATTGAGAAGAGTATTCTACACAAACAAGACGAGAAAGATTGAGTGGCGTTTCGCTCAACTAAAGGCTCTAAAGAAGATGATGACCGAGAACAAGGATGACATTGCCAAAGCCGTCAAGAAGGATTTGGGCAAGCCAGACTTTGAGGTCAACCAAACAGAGGTCGTGATGGTCATTGCCGAGATCGAGGAGACCATCTCCAATCTCGAGAGCTGGGCCAAGACCGAGACGGTGTACAGCCCTCTCCACTTCAAGCCGTCGTCATCACACGTGCTCAAGGACCCACTTGGAGTCGTGCTCATCATGTCGCCATGGAACTACCCAGTCAACCTGGCACTCATCCCATTCGCTGGCGCCATCGCCGCCGGCAACTGTGCCCTGCTCAAACTCTCTCGTCACAGTGGCAACGTTGCCCAGCTGCTTCACTCTCTGTTGATCAAGTACATGGACAACGAATGCTTTGCCTTTGATAGCGAGGGTGGCGCACCCTACATCACTGAGCTCCTGGAGTACAAGTGGGACCACATCTTCTTCACTGGCAGTGTTGCAGTTGGTCGTATCGTCTACCAATCTGCCGCCAAGTTCCTCACCACAGTCACACTTGAGCTCGGTGGCAAGAACCCATGCATCATTCATCAGGATGCCAATGTCAAGTTGGCCGCCAAGAAGTTGGTTTGGTAAGTCGTCAATGTCTTCCCCTTCATGCTACACCAGGACTAACTCAAGTTGTACAACAGGGGCAAGTGTTGGAATGCAGGTCAGACTTGTATTGGACCAGACTACTTGTTGATGCACAAGTCAATCGTGGAGGAATTTATTGAGGAGTTCAAGGTGGTGCTGAAGGAGTTCTTTGGCGATGACATCAAGCAGAGCAAGTCATACGCTCGTATCATTTCGAAGCAGCATACAGAGAGACTTCAGAAGTTGTTTGGCAACGGCAAGGTTGTCATTGGAGGCGAGGCCGATCCCGAGACTAAGTACGTCGCACCAACCGTCATCATGGAGCCCCAGTTGGATTCGCCATTGATGCAGGATGAGATCTTTGGACCAGTGCTCCCGATCATCACCTACGAGGACATTGACGAGCCAATCAGGTTCATCCAGGAGCGTCCCAACCCTCTCACCCTCTACCTGTTCTCCCGTGACTCCTCCGTCCAGGACCGTGTGTTACAGTCCACACAGTCTGGCTCGGCCATGTTGAACGATGTCCTTTTGCACTTTACCAACCCACATCTTCCATTCGGAGGCAGTGGAGACAGTGGCATTGGAGCATACCATGGTAGACTTACCTTTGACACCTTTACCCACAAGAGAGCCTTGGTCAAGGCTTCCACCAAGAAGGTATGTTTGTCATGTCATCAGATGCATCTAGTCATCAATCACTTACTTACCATATCCTAATTAGTGGTTGGACATTCCATTGAAGTACCCACCATATTCAGAGTTTGCTGGTACAGTTGCTGGCAAGATGATTGGTTCAGGCTGGTAATCACACGCACATACATACTACAGTATCCATTAGGTCATTGTATCCATTTGATAGCAGCATCAGTCATAAATCTGATCATTAGTCTTTTTGTCATTATATGATATCTGAGTGTAAATGTATGTGTACATGATCGAATGGATCCTATCTCATTGCTAAATCAATCAATCAAACTACTTCGTCAGACGAGTCATCATAATCTGGGATGTGAGAGTGGGAAAGGTGGTGTGAGTAAGGTAGAATTACACCAATCAATCAATCAATCAATCACCAACACCACACCACACCACTACTCGTACATGATTGATCGTCAAAAGGTAGAATGTTCAATGAATTGTCCACAGGTCAGGACTATCTATCTGACTACTACAATGATTGATTGATTGATGATCACCAACTCAATCAATCATTCCATTAATAATTTCCAGACTTTCATATATCTCCAGGATAATCCATCCAATCAAACTAGAAGAATGACAGTTGGGCGCTACAAGACATATACTCTACTTATACTTATTATTGCAGCCATATCAATAATTGATGGTAGTGATACGACAGACAACAAAGACGGGCCTAATTCACCCAGACATCTCAGATTGTCCTTGACCAGCTCATCCTCTCACACAGACATGCGTGTCTCTTGGACAACTCGAGAGTTGATCAAACAGCCAGCTGTATACTACTTCCAAGGTGATTGTAGTTTGGATTCTCAAAGTGGAGGACAAAGAATATCAATTGGCTATTCATCATCATATTTCCAATTCAATGGATACTTGCACACAGCCTTGATGTCATCGCTTCGACCTGGTCAACAATATTGTTACCGTGTTGGAGATGCCGATAGAATGAACAACAGCAACAATACATCACCATGGAGTGACTGGAAGCAATTCACTACTGTGCCCGACGACGATCAATCACCCGTGTACTTTGCAGCCATTGCTGACTCTGGTACTTATGGCAATGTATCCAATGTGATGAAGTCCTTGTCCAGCGATCCAGACATCACAATGGTGGTCCACGGAGGTGATCTGTCTTATGGATTGAAGGATCAGGTTTGGGAACTGTTTGGAAACATTGTGGAGCCGGTTACAAGTATCAAGCCATTCATGGTCATACCTGGAAACTGGGACGTGAAGCCCGACGCCATTGGATCATTCCTCAATCGGTATAAGATGCCATTGGCCTATCCCAACCCGACTACCACCTTGACAAATGGTAGTATCACTTCTACCAACTTCAACATGTTCTACGCACTACCCTACAACACTGCATACATGATCATGTTGTCATCGTACGACCCTCTGGACAAGGATAGCGTGCAATACTCCTGGTTGCTGGACCAACTCGTCTACGTCAATGACAGGAGGGATGTCTATCCATGGCTGGTGATCTTCCTCCACAGCCCAATGTACACCTCATCACAGGGACATGGTGGCAGTGACCTCAAGATGCGAGAGTTACTGGAGCCCCTGCTCACTGAGTACCTAGTCAATGTGGTGGTCTCAGGTCATGACCATGGCTACGAGCGTACATACCCAGTGCAGGGCGGCCAGGTGCTCAACGAGGAGAGAAACAACTATGTCAAGTTTGATGGCACAATCCATGTGTTGGCGGGTACGGGTGGAGCAGACCTCGACCCGTGGATGGACTACCCTAGTTGGACAGCTCATCGCGAGAGCTCAGTGGGATACACCAAGTTCAAGGCCACATACGATCGACTCGATGTCACGTACCTTCGTGTTGACGGCAGCACTGGAGACAGTTTTGTACTCCATCGCAATTCTGGACAGTTCCGCCATCATCTTAGAACGAAGAGTGACGACGAACTACCCTTACTCCTAGAATTCCTCATACTGGTGTCAGTGGTACTTCCAGTAGCTGCATGCCTTCGAATCTGTTGTCCAAAACGACAAGTTATCAGCAATGATCATTACTACAAAATGCGAATGCGTTCATCCCTAGTGTAGCCCTGTCATCCATCCCTCAATCAATCATTCAATCAATCAACTTCAAACACTAATCAATATTCAAAACTACCATCTTAAGTAGTAGCGCCGACTCTTCCCAATCGAATGGACAATCACACGTACATACACCAGGATCATGGTTGGCAATGGCGATCGACAGCTGCCCCAAAGGTGATCAGAGATATATAATGCAATGTTATCTTTCACTTTACATTGTGACATAACACTCTTGTCAAGTCAATGACAACCATGGTAATACCATATCCATACCCTCATACGACGGAATGGACTGGACTGGAATGGGCTGGATCTCCACACCCCATCACTCTCCCCACCCTTGAATGATCAAGTGTGTTTGTGTTTCCAGGTCTAAAATTACCTCCACTCTCAACAACTCTAATAAGTGTATAATGATAATAATAAAATGGTGGATTGATATGATTGACTGATTGACTGACTGATTGAATGAACTTGCTAACTTGTCCCGCCCCATAATCACGGAAACAACTCACTCACTCTTGTACACATAAGGAAACAATTAATCAATTGATTAATTATTATTATTGGATACTACTGATGATATCAATACCTCTAACGAATCATTATTATTATTATTATTATTATTATTATTCCTATTGATCGACGACACTCCCTCGAGTTATTACAACACCAACCTCATCATCAATCATTCTTCGGCAATCCTCATTTCCCTATTATTATCTATCTATCTTTAATTAGATAAATATATATATCGACATCAACAACACAACCACATATCTATTCTATTCTTTAGAGATTCGATCAATCAATAATCCAACCATGTCAACAATTGCCATGGAAGAACATTTGTAAGTGGACAATCATAATCACAACCTGGCGAGTCCAGACTGGTACCACTTGATCACCATTTAGGACCGAAAAAGTCCTCCATCCAGCAATCCAATCAATCATGTTTATCAATCTCCAACTCATTGAGAGACTCTCTGCACCAAGTCAATGTAGACTCAACAAATACTTTAATCTCCTAGTAATATTTAGGCAGAACATCAGCCGAATCATCATCACCCATCTCTAATCACACCAATCCAATCCAATCCACTCACAATCAAACAATCATTCAAACAACACAAAATAGACATATATGTACAACAACAATCAACACATATATATGTGATCGGGCATGCATTCCAAACGACTCATCTCAACACACACTAAAGTGATCAATCAATCAAACAGTGATTGATTGATGAGTAGTGATGTGATTGACCAATCATCAATGTTTATCTTTGTGTGTTTGAAAGGGTTGGTTTGACGATTGATCAATCAAACAAACACACAACATATAACACGAGTGGTGTGTGGTAGGGAGGGATGCCCATGTTCGACATCACTTCCATCAACCCATGCCCATCGATAAGATTTACATCAATGTTTAAAGCATACCTACCATCTGTCATCAGTATTTACTACTGCAACTATACCCTACCCTATTCGCACGACGACCCTAGACAGACAGAAAGTGTTTGCTTGCTACACTCTCTTTTACTCCAGGAAGTGGCGGGCGGACAGTCTATTAAGTTGTTCTTTGCTCCAATGTTATGTTGTGTTCAGTTCAGTTCAGTGCAGTGATTAGTGTGTGTCTTTGTATGTATGTATCTATGTCCTGTTGTTAACGATATGTGTGTATGCCTTCTACATTCTTGTTTCAACAACATTAACATCATCAATTAATCAATCAATCTATCAATCAAACACTCACTCATCGTTATTGTCTATCCCCGCCACGCCACGCCACTCCACGACATCCAATCAATCAATCAACCAAGCCAGCCAGCCAGTGGATTGGTGTTACCAGCTGCCCTTTAAAATATCATCATTTGTTTACATCCTGTATCCATCAACATCACATACAGGCATATGCTGGCTCCACCTCACACTCATTCTCACACCATATAACATAACTTCACTTCTCATCACTCTACTCAATCAATCAAACAATCAATCACCCATCTCAACTTCTCATCGTCGTCGTTGTCGCGAGTTATCCCAATCAATCTGGCCTGGTCCATCATCAATCATTCATCTCTTATCAATCCATCCTACCATCCATCCATCCTCCAGTATTGATTGCCATTCATTCAATCATTACTCCAACATATACAACAAACAAACAAACTAAGTTGCCTTAGTATTTATTATTAATTTATTATCAACATCATCCTTCTACGAAGGAACATCAATTGCCAAACCGCAACGACAAAATCTGGCACGCTCCAACTCAACCTCAAACCCAAACTCAAACTCACACTCCATCGCGCCAATCATTCAAACATCCAGTCTACAGCAGCAACAGCAACAGCAACAGCATCAGCAGCCAATACTCAACTCCTTCGGAGCAATGGAGGGTCTGATAATATGCAAGGTGTGCCTTGGACAGACACAGCGCTATAATAAGGCATGCCATCTGTGCAGCAGCGAGCTTGGAGAGCGTTGCTGGCGATGTAACCATCTATGCAAACCAAACTCAAAGTTTTGTTTCTGGTGCAATGTCAAGCTGCACCTAATTGATATACCATCGGTGGACTCGATACTCCCCATTCCTCCATATAAATCAACACTGGCTGCAAGCCAGAGCATAAAGAAGCACCAACAACAACAACAACAGCAACAACAGCAACAAATACCTCATGTTCAGGTCAACTTGATCGCTGAGAAAGTGGACCAGAGTGGTACACCTCCAATTAGATCATTAATAGAGAATATCAATAAGAATATTGCCTCATCGCCACAGGTCTGCTCACCTCCCAGACCTGGCAACATGACCAGTCCTCGACAAAAACAGCCAACATATTCTAGCGCCACTTATGTGGCGCCAAAGAAGAGAAGCAGCTATCCCAACACGCCACTCACACAATCAAACCCTGTCTGTGTACTGGAGAAGCCCAGTCTGTCGTCCTCTGTAGCTGCTCAGCAGAAGCCGCCTCAATCTCTCCACGAGTCGAGCTCAACTCGTATTGAGGAGTTCGACTCTGCCAACACTTCACAAGAGTCCATTGAGTTCCCACCTGCCACGGCACCGCTGGTTTCCACCCCTTTGATCCAGACACCTCAGAAACAAACTCAACCTCAGCCTCAACAAATACTTATTCAACCTGCTCCTCAACCTCAACAATACTATACGATAGCATTGGCACCTACTATCCAACCAATAATCCCACCACAACCGATCACACCGGCCAACGACTCGGCCAACTCTTCATTTAACAGCCAGACACTTAGCTACGACGAGATTGATATACGTTTCACCGACTCACTGAGAATGCTACGCGAGGCTACATATACCATTGGCAAACCAGCGGAGGACCCCAGTATCCTGGAAGGCTACAAGTCCCCAACATCAAGCTCCAACTCAACATCCTCCATGTCATCAGTCATTAACTCACCTACATCAGAACTGACCTCGACCAATGAGCTGGCAGGTCTGTCACCAATTCGAGGCAATCTTACTCCAGTCCTGCTCAACGTTGCTTCACCACTACATGTTATAATGTCACCATCCTTGCTGGAAGTATCCTCTCCCAATCTACAATCAGTGTGTGATCAATCCGGCAACGGACCCAACGACAGAACGATGAATGACTTTATCGATGCATTCCCCTCGCCACCAATCAACAGGATGCTCTCTCCATCGGGCTCAATTAGTCTGCGATCAGGTGTTCCAGCATCATTGACATTCAGCTCACCAGCAATCATCAAATCACCATCAACTCCTCTGTCTCCAGTACTCAAGCCAACCCAACTTGCACAATCTGTGGCGTCGACCTCGTCCTCAGCATCCACAGTACGCAGCCTAACTTCATCGATTGATAAGCGTGCAATGCTCATTGAGGAGATGACAACTACCGAGCTGGACTATATCAAGGACCTGGAGACCATTATCCAAGTATTCTACAGGCCTCTTCGCGATGACCTCAAGTTGCTCTCCACCGAGGAGTTTGTGACCATATTCTCAAACATTGAGCAACTTCTCCAGGTCAACCAAGAGCTATACACTAGGCTGATATCCTCATCCTCATCGATTGGAGAGGTGTTCTGTATAATGGTATGTAGTACAACTACAACAACTACGATCTTCATTCAAGACTAACATTACCCTCACTAAACAGTCGAGTTCATTTGATGTATACTCTGTGTATTGTAACTATCATCAGAAGTCATTGGAGAGCATTAACAGCTTGTCCAAGATGCCACAAATGGAGAACTTTGTGTCTGAACTGAGTCACGAACTAAGGACAATGAGTCTACACTCATTCCTTATCAAGCCAGTGCAGAGGATTTGCAAATACCCAATATTCCTTCGTGAGTTGCTCAAGGCTACACCGGTAGAACATGATGATCATGGACAGCTGATATTGGCATTGGCCAAGATCGAGCAGATTGTACAGATGATCAATAAGGAGAAGATGGAGAATGATGTCTGGCAGAGGACAATGCAGATACTTCAGACACTCAAGGGATCAGAGACTCTACAACTCTCAAAGAGACACCTGCTCAATGAAGGTGCACTACAGTTGGTCGAAGGATATAATGAGAACTCTGAGAAGAAGGCGACGCCCAAGTTCAAGAAAGGTTACTACTTCCTCTTCCACGACATCTTCCTCTTTGCCAAACAAAAGGGTAACTCATATAGATTACTCTTTAGCATCCCTCTGGACACTGTGTTGGTACACAACAATGTATACAATGGTAAGTGATTCACTCATTCCAGTCAAGTCAATTTCATCAATCACTCTGACACCATCCTTTCCTTAGACAAACATTTCTTCACTTTGATCGAGATTGGTGTAGGTGGCAAACGATGGACGTTCCACCCTCAGCCAAAGGCGCTCAACCTGATATTGTACAACTCTCTGCAGAAGCTGATTGAGAAGTGCTGGGAGAACAGGTTCGACGAGCCACCCAAGTCGCTTAACTCGCCATCCAGCCAGTCGCCCACCAAGAAGAGGCGCTCAAACAGGTTTGTCAAGAGTCTGGTCAACATGAAGACTCTCTAGAGTAGTTAGTAGTAGCCACTGCTTGTACAATAAACCCCCTGTCACCTACTCATTGGCCAATAGCTAATGAAGTTGGTTGTTTATAATAGATTGATTGATTGGTTGATTTGATTGACAGTAATGTAACATGGATGGATGATGGATGGTGAATGCGTGCTCAACATTAATGTTGTTGCTTATGTGATGGTATCAAGTCCTCGATCTCGTTGTCGTCATGGGTCTCCTTGACATCGGACATCTTGGACTTTAGCTGTTGTACAAGCTTGGCTGTGCCAGGCTTGAGTGAGAGTAGTGATACAATGGAGGTGGCAGCTGAATTGACGCCTGGCACCGCATACTTGGACGTGGCCGTATGTTTCAGATGTGGAATGTGCACCTTGCGTCTGGCATCGCCCAGGTCTGACATAAAGTTGTTCCTGGCATTGCTCAACTTGATGTCTCTGAGTGTCGGCAGGCCGCCTGCAGATGACTTGTACGGGTTGTATCCCGGCACCATTCTATTGCCCTTGTACAGCGGGTAGTTTGCAGATGGCTCCAGGTCTGTCTCCACAACACTCCTTGCATTGATCAGCATGTTCTTGTAGCCATCCGTTTCCGAGATGATCAGGTCGTCCTCCTCTTTTGATCCGAGTAGCTGATAGAACTCGGCACGGTTGTTCCTGCAGAGCATGGCCACACGCTTGGGCACAGTCTCGGCCTTGGATATCTCGATGAAGGTCTGATCTATCTGATACTCCAGAAGCTTCTTGATGTAGATCCTAATGCGCTCCTGATGACGCTCCTTCAACTTTATCCACACGGCCTCGATCATGTCCTCAACGACTGAGCGCACCATTGGTGTGTCAATCTCTGGGTTCTTGCCCACAGGGAAGGTTTTCTTCTTCAACACCACCTTGCAGGTCTTAAACTTGATGCCCAGTCCAATACTAGAGAGGTTGTCATCGCCTCCAACCACCTTTCCATCTGGTCCAACCAAGTCATAGTAGTGATACTTTGGTATCTTGAGCTTATCGCACAGTCCCTTCATGATCTGGATGTTTGGCGAACGAGGTGAGTTAGTGATCAATCGAGTGAGTTGTTCAAGGGGGTACATACTCTCTTCAAAGGCTGATAGGCATCCACTTTGATGGCCTTCTTCTGCATGCCCTTGAACTCTGGCGAGTCAGGCATCATGAACTCAACGACAAAGTTACCGGTGCTGTCGGGCTGGTCCAGAGAGATGAGACGCAGCTGCCATGTGGTGAACAGGGCGCCAAGGCCATATGCCTCCAGCGGCAGGTTGTCATAGAGTGTTCTGCCCTTAAGCGTGCGCAGCACAAACTTGGTGGGCATTCAGGTTGCTGCTGACCTTCTCACAGATTAGACAGATGATCTTGAAGACGGGCGTGCTGATGTCCAGCTTGTAGGACTTGCGGTAGACGCCCTTGAAGTCGTCGGTTGAGGGCAAAAGGAACTCCACCACTGCCTTGGTGTCAATGGGCAGTAGGATGGACTTGTACTGCTTGACGATCTCTAGCAGGTCCACAGTGCCCTCCCACACATCGAGTTCAGTGAATCCACGTGCTGTCAATGCTTCAAACACTGGTCGCGACTCTGGCAACTTGCCGTATCCCTGTGCCGATGATGTCTCCAACATTGGGTACTTCCTCACCTGAAGATGTGGTAATGACTTGACCTGTTTGATCGATGGAGAAAGTTAGTTAGTCAATTGATCAAATGAAACTACTCCACTCAATCACTTACATTCAACTTGGCGATTGATCTGCCACGCTCGAGGGCGCGTGTGAGGAGCTCGATGATCTTGGGACGCGGCACCATGAAGTAGGTGGTCTTGTTGTTCTGGCTGTCTTGGAGGCTGAAGAGACCGCTGTTGACAGAGTCTAGACCAAAGTCCTTTAGACGCTCGTGGGGGAGGATGTAGAACATCTGATACTTGTACACATCGAAGAAGATGATGTTCTTCTCCGAGACGAACAGGTAGGTTGGCACGAACGATATGCGTGTCGAGCCCTCGGCCTGCTCCTTCTCCTTCTTCTTGGACTTGCCAAGCTGTGCCACCTGCGCCTTGCTCTTGTTTGAGTTGGCCAGCACCAGGTTGCCGACGACGCGCAGCACCAAGAACTGGTCCCAGCCCTCCTCCTTCTTGAAGTGCTTGGACTTGGACAGAATGTACTTGAGATGCGACGCCATGCTAAAGTCTGTGCGCTTGAGGTGAGCCAAGGGTGACTGCTTGGTGTTGAGGTGCTGGTTGGCGTCCGCCAGCCATGGATGGATGGGACCCGGCGAGGGTGTGGCCCTCGGGGCATCCTTGAGCTGCTGTGCCGAGGTTGACGGTGAGTTCTGTATCCTGCGATGTTCCTGCATACCCGCCTGGAGCTGATTGGTGATGCTGGCAAACTGCGAAGAAGGTGGCGCCAGCAATGAATCTGAGAGCACTTTGGGCGCGAATGTTGGCGCAGGTGTCGAGTCGACCTTGGGTGACAGGGGTGTCGGTGACATGCCAGGCGACTGGGGCATCGATGGTGAGGCGGCCGGCGTCTCCTCGACATAGTCCTCGGTGTTGGTCTCTGTGCCCAGTATGGGCACTTCGAGCTCGGGGAACACCGTGCTGTAGTTTAGGATCAGCTTTGTGACGCACTCATTCGACACCTTTGCCTCGTACATGACGGTTGGCGAGTCGGGCTTGGACCTGAACAGGTTGGGTCCAAACACAACGCCCATATTATGAGCGTTCATCTTGTTCAACTTGGAGTGTCTCGTGAATATGATCATCATGCGCAATATCCTCTTGAGTGCCTTTATATTGTCAGCTGGTACCTTTGCCATGAATGCTGCCAAGTCATCGATCTCAATCTGTTTGTCTAGAATTGGTGTATGTGTGGCCGCATGGTCGCGCTGGCGGGTTAGTCAATGGCGCGCTAGTCTGAGTGGCGCAGTGGGTCCATACCATTGGCTGTCACTTGACTGGCAACAAAGCCAGACCATAGTTCATTGGGTATGAGCGGGTCGAACTGCTCTCTAATGTACAATTTAAGCGCGCCTGTTATATTATGTTCATTGAATCCAGGCTGGAAGTCGATGTTATCTAGTTTGGTTTGATTGGAATGATTGATTGATTGAGTGAGTATGTTGGAATGATCGATTGATCGATCGATCAAACAATGAAAGTGATGATGCAATGTACCATTTACAAAGGTGGCCCAGAATAGTCTTATCTGATTGGCTGAGCCTGATATACGGAAGATACCCTCAATCTCTAGTGCACACTTCTCAAGACGACTGCACAGCTGTTCAATCACATGATATCGCAGTGGGATTGGTTTGTAATCCGACTTGAGCACTCTATTCTGTACAAGATCCTCCTTCGCAGGTCTTCTACTCAAGAACTTGTTCAATATATTGATAATAACTCCTTTGTTGGGTATGCCTCTGTTGTGATTGATAGCTTATATTAGTCAATCTCAATCAATGTGTATGTGTCATTCATGATGGTTACCCTTCGCCAAGATAGTCATCGCCCTGTTGTTGTTGCTGTGAATGTAGTGATGGAGTGTTGTTGCCACTTGAGTTTGATGATGTGACGTTGATGTTGACCATTGATGGATGTGTCTTGAATGCACTGGTCGATGACATTCTGGGTATGGCATTGGATGATTGTGGTAGATTGTTTATCATTGATTCCAATTGACCATGTTGACCTTGACCATAACCTCCAAATGCCATTGACAATCTATTATTATTACCAATCAATGTCGGTGATGACATTGATTGTTGTTGTTGTTGCTGCTGTTGATCTGTCATAGTTATATATATAATATATGTTATAACTATATTTAAAACCAATGAATAACATTAAAGTGTGTTGTACTTGAGTTATTCATTGTGTCACAACCCCCACACACTCAATGATGATCATTTGATTCATTCACCTTCACAACAATTCAAATAACGGGCAGACACCCAACAAAGGTATTTTGATCATTTATTTTGAAAAGACTTCAAACTGATCAAAATCTACAACATCGATGTTGGGTCACATGTTCCAAGATTTATCATTTATTAAAATATCTGTGTAAATTGAGTGCCACTCAATCAATCAAATAGATAATGCATTGATTAGTTGTTGTGCAATCTGTTGACAATCACCTTCAAGTGCAATGTCGTCGACTTGTGGATTGTTACAGGCGAGTCCAGCATCTGAATGACTTTGATCATGTTTGAGATTGATCAGTACTCTTGGTTTGGAACGGAAGATCTTGACCATTGTTGCAACGGGCTGTACCGTCAATGATGTACCAATGATGATCATCAGATCACATTTGACAACATCCTCAACAAGTCGTTGACTAAATATTGTAGGTAATGAATCGCCAAAGAATACAACGTCAGGTTTGATCACGCCTTGCTTGCACGACTGTTGTTGACACCTTGGGACAGGTCCACGCAGCTCATCGTTCCAATCAATGAGCATGTCGCTGACCTGTGCGGCAGAGTACTCGTGATCGCACACCATGCAGTGCGCTCGGGCCAGTGAGCCGTGGGCCTCGATCAGTGAGTGGTCGGGGATGCCTGCAGCCCGCTCCAACACATCGATGTTCTGTGTGTAGTTGCGAAGGAGCACGCCCATGTCGGCTAGATGTTTGATCAGACGATGTACATTGGTCGGCTGGTATCGGCCAGGTTTGAGCATCTCACGACAAACCGAGAAGAAGGGCTCTGGATGCACTTTGAAGTAGTCAATGTCAAATACCGCCTCTTTGAAAGGCAGGTTGAAGTGCGCCACGCTGTCATAGAGCCCAATGCCTGGAGTGCGAAAGTCTGGTATGCCTGCGGATACACTAATTCCTGCGCCAGTCAACACCACCACATTCTTGCATGATCCAGACTTGATGTATTGTACCAATCCATCCAATGATTTTGATTCCATTGCCAGACGTTCTGGTTTGTGATGGCCATGTCCTCCATGAGCTGCATCAACAAACAAATGCATTGCCTTGAATAAATGGCCCAAGTGTCTTGTCCATTCATCATCATCATTTCCATCAATGATTGATTGGCAATCACAACAAAAGTACTTGATCATACCACTTGTGTCATACTTGACCGATACCTTGTGATCTTGATCCTTGGCAGCATGGTCCATACTATGTTGGCGGCATGATATCTTGGCGCATTCCAAGCATATATACACTTCATCACCTAAGCCACAAACATTGCAAGTGACCTTAATAACTATGTTTGGATGTTTGGATGTCCAAGGTCAGGTCATTCATGTCCATCTTCGATCAATCAACATCATTCATTCATTTACTCTCAGCATTATCAAACAGAGCAATACTCAATCTTTCATATATCTTCCTATCTATTCCACAACATTGTGAGTGAGTAGTATTATTACAACAACTATTCATATTCATCTCTAATGTTATTATTACATGTATGTATTATGTAAGTATGAATAAATGATTGAATGAATGAATGAATGAATGGAGTGATGAAGTTGAAGTTGTATTTGTTTGGTCTTTGTGTTTAATTTGTAGAGGGGGTTGTGCGTGAATGTTGGCGGCCTGCATTCCCCGGATGAGTTTCCCCATTGTCAATACTAGGCACGTGAGATTCGACACTAGGCAGGATCCACAACTGTTTGAAGGTTGGGATACGACTGTCTATTCATCTGGCCGAGCCTACTAGAAATTACTCCAACAGGGTGGAGCTTCATCAGTAGAATGGATCACCGTAGTGGTCCATCGGCATGAATTTACCAAAATCAACAAACACTAGGTAATATCACTCAACCCCTCATCATTGATTATGGGACTCGTTCGTTTTTTTAATAACTCTAGACTTTTTGATCACGCGATCATTCGGTCGTTGAATGTAGTTATACATTGATCAACTTTCCAAAGTATATATGTTTGATTGATTGATTGAGTAAGTGATCATCATTGAGTGAATGATTGAGTGAGCGAGAGTGATTGAGTGAGAGAATCTTCAATGAGCGGCATTCGCACGCGCATTGTTTATTGATGACAACTTGTTCAGATTGGTGTGCCAACAATAACAATAACAACATCACGTTATTGGTATTACAATAGTGTGATCATTGACTTGGTATACATGTAGATGGATGTGGATATATCGATTGAATGATTGAGGTGGGGAGTAGGGGAGGGAGTAGGTTGTAGCGTCTCGTCTTTGTCTATATTACATTGGACATCTTTGAATCACGTTCCATGATCCTGGCCTTCTCAAAGTTCTGTAGGATCTTGCGTTTGGCCACTCTTAGACACTTTGGACACTTGTTCTTATCGAAGCAATCCTTGTGATGGATGCTCTGGCATGACTTGCATTGTGTAACCTTTGCAATATTATAAGGATATATCGTCTCCTTGCTATCGCAGAACTCACAATATGATCCTTTAGCTTGACACAATGGACATGACTACATTCGAGTGATTGATTGATTGAGTTAGTGAGTGATTGGAATGGTTCCAGTAAGTGATGGATACATACCTCTACATGATTGAGCCACCTGGCAACAATAGCTCGAAGTGATTCTAACAATTGTTTGTAGTGTACAAGGTCGGCCAAGGAATAAAAGTCAACGTCTGAGGCGAGGTAATCATTGCTGTGTAGCATGCCGAGGAGTGAGGGTCCATCCGCCGTGCACGACTTGAGGAAGTCCTTGAGGAAGTACATCTGGCGACGCAGGTTGCGCATGCGTAGCAATTGATTGTTTCTGTACAGTCGCGGATTGATCGTGGCAATATCAAACAGGGGCACTCTGGCAATGTCCATCAGGAACGCGTAGCTAAAGTTGGCCACGGGATACTGCTTGAAGTCCCAGTTGGTAATGATGCGTGCCGGTATGTACCACTGCGTCTTGTTGTGGCAGTTGGTGCAGAAGAACTTGCCACTGTACTCGCAGTAGCGTGACGTGGTGAAGTAGCCAGAGAGGTCGCGACTGCAGCCGGCACACATGTTGCCTTGATGCTTGATGGTGAGTTGCACGGGGATGTTGAAGTAGAGCTTCCTGCGCAAGGGTGCCCACTTGAATGTCTTGGGGTCGGGTATGGGCGGGATGACAGGTGGCGCCGAGTCATTCATGATGTATGGGTTGGACGATGATGTATGCGCGTAGTTGTGCGGCAGCTCAATCTCCTCGATAATGGCGCCAGAGTGCTGTTGTGGTGGCGGCTGGGTGATGTAGTTGGGCGATGATGATGTCGATGAGGATGATGACGATGCTGACGACGATGATCTCCTTCGCTCGGCCGTCGTGCTCGCCACAGCGGTCAGTTGCTCGTCATCCATGTAATCATTGATAACAACAAACATATCGTGTCTCCTGGCCGATGGTGTGTCATCGGTGGGCTCCATCTCGTCCAGGTTCTCAATATCATCAGTCATCGAGTGTCCCTCGGACGAGTTGTTGGCCGGTGTAAAGTGTGCAGAGAATGTCGAGTATCTATCTGATGGGATAGCTTCCATGTCCTGATGTTGGTCGTCCTGTGAGTGTGACAATGATGGGATCTCCATGATTGGCAGACTGCTGTTGGTCCTCTCCTTCCTGATGGTGTCCTCCTCGATCATCTCGTCGCGCTGACTCAGCAAGCTCTCCATGCGATCCACTTGATCCAGCAGGAACTGCTGCTCCTCCATCGATATAATGTTTGATGATAGTGTGATTGATGTGCCATTCAGTCCGACCACGCCTGGACTGGCCTCCCTTTGACGTCGCTCATATGCTGCCACCTCCTCCTCCAATGACAACTCATTGCTTGGCTCTGATTTTGGTTCCTCGGTCAGTGCCAAGACAGGTGCCTCCACAACAACATTGTTGTTGTTGTTGTCATCAATAATGTGATTGATTTCGATTGATGCTGATGGTGAAGGTGATGGCGTAGTTGGTTCCGAGATGATGGCTACAATCTCTGGTGATGGTGGCACTGTTTGAGTTGGCGTGACACCATTGCTAAAGTCGCTGTCATCCAAATGCTCAATCTTGTTTAGCAACTCATTGAACTCTGCAGAGTCCGTTGAGCTCTTGATCTGTGACTCTTGTTGCACCAAAACTTCTTGCGTGACAATTGTTGGAGCTGTGTCGCCAACATCCTCCAAGGATGTGTCTGTCACAATGATTGTGGATATAGCCTCTTCTACGACTGTCTCCTCGTCAAGTGGTACATTGTCCACCTGTTGTTCAATTGGCTCCTCTACAGTAGTTGTCATTGGTGCATCAGGCTCATCTTCATGTTTGATTGGACCATGTGAAGATGGTTCAACCTCAACCTCTTCAACCTCCTCAACCTCGTGCTTGATATCCTCCTGTTGTTCGTTATCTTGATTACCATCGGTTGTTGAGCTGATCTCAATTGATGGGCTATCCTCACTGACGATCATAACCTCTGATGCTGTCTCCTCCTCGATGATGTCCTCTGTAACCGTAACTGTGGGAACACTAATATCATCGATTGGTTGCTCCACTGTTGCTGGCTCCTCCTCAACATGCTCGCTCTGGTTATCTTGCACCAGCTCTAGAGCAGCCACATCAGATTGTTCTATGGAATGTGAAATGGACTCCACCTGAACAACCTCGGGCTCATCAAAATTATCCTGCAGTGTCTCTGTTGTAAGTGATTGTTGCTCCATTGTAGTTGATTGTTCTGAATCTTGGTTGATCAATAATGATGGTTCATCATTTGTGATGATAGTATCTTGCGCGCTTTGTTCATTCACCTCGTCCATTGTTGTTGATACTGGTGTTGTTGTGCTCTCGACTACTGGCTGCTGCTCCTCGTCCTGCCTCAGCTCGCCCTCACTCTCCTCTGTGATGGTAGATGGCACTGGCAAAGACTTGTTTGATGTGAACAATGATGAGAACTTGGAGCTAAAGTCGGGCAGAGATATGTTCTGTACCTTGGCCAACAGCTCCGATCCAATAATGCTGGCATTCCTGAATCCACTGTTCTCTCGACTGCCTCCACCATTGCTGCTATCCGAGCTCTCCCTTAGATTGAGGTCGACTGGGGCAGGCCAATCAGACTGAGATGATGTCGTTGGTGTGGTAGGTGGCGGTGGTGTAGTGGGGGTGTCCATATCAGATGACGACTGCAATAATGGACTCGTGCCATTACTGCTACCGTTCAATGTTAATGATCCATTGCCATTGCTAGCGCCATTGCCATTCGTGTTGTCCACACTGCTCTTCAACACCTTCTTTGTGATCTTGATCTTCTTGATGATCTTGGTCTTGCCAGTCTTCTCATCGACGATGGTTGTGGTGGTCGTTGTACTATTCTTGCCACGTGCAATCGTGTCAGCTGACGTCTGTTCGCTCTCGACGACGGCCTCGCCACCATCGCCTCCATTCAAATCGATCACTCTAGTCAATGACTTGATCTTCTTTTTCTTGGCCGGTCCTGTAGTCGCCACAAGATTGTTACTGTTTGATGTTGATACGTATGAGAGTGCCGGTGATGTCTGTGGTGAGGCCAGTGGCGAAGGGCTCTCATAATAGATCGCGTCCAAAGTGGCGTCGTTGTAGTCGATCTGGAAGGGGATGGTTTCGAGCGGCACCAACATCAGTCGGAACAGATCGGCGTCATCCTTGAAGCGCAGTATACTATCGTCATCGTAGTGATGTTTGAGTATCTCCTGATTGGTCGTTATGATGTTGATGGCAATGTTGAGCGTCGCCTCATTCAGACATCGTCGAATGAATGCGCGTAGCTTGCCAATGTCCGTGGACACCTCACTCAGACTCTTGATATATTCAAACTCCTCCTGCCACTTTATAACACGTTGATGATTGCCAGCATGATCATACTTTAGATGTGGCAGCATCAATACTATCTTCCAAAGTGAGAATGTTGTAGAGTTGATTATCTTGACTGTGTATCATGTATCATGTGTAGTGGCGTGTGAGTGAGGAGCGGGTACTTCGTGCGTAGCAAGTACTGACATAACATACCCTTGAACTTATGTGCTATGAATGCTTCGATATGTTGACATAATGGAGTGAGTAGTGGATTCGACTCTGTTATTGGTTTGTTGTTCTCAAAGTGATATTGTAGACAGTCCTTGATTGCCTTCTTTACTGTTGTGATTGACTCTTTACGATTACTCTGTGCTGTGATCGATTCGACATCTATAAAGTAATATTATAAGCATTAAGTATTAGGTAAATGAAGTATGAGTACACCATAACAATCACTACACTTACATTCTTGATCACCATTAGCTCGTAGCCAATGGTTTGACATTATTGTTGAACCTGTCTGTTGTTATATGTGTATGTTACAGATATTGTAGTTGTAATAGTAATAGTAATAAATAGTAATAGTATGTGTGAGTCTGTATATCGGTAATGGTGGTCTTCCCAACAACTACAAACATACATCAATGCCTCAACCGATGTTGGGCTTGACCCAGACCAACTAACCCCGATAATTTGTTAAACACCAAACCAAAAAGATTTTGTACTTTAGTGTTTTTTTGAGCGAACCTGTCAAATGTGTCGTGTAGATTGACTTGGGCTGGTCCGCACCAACCTTTCCTGATCAATCAGCATTGCTGGTACCCCACCCAGGTGCAAATAATATTATCACGGTAAATATCCTAGGATAGGAGGGAGGGGTCGAATGAAAGAAGGATTGGAATATTATGACCCTGGTATTACCAATCATGATTGTTTGATTGATTGATTATGGATATTGAATATGTTTGAAAGATGATGATGATGTTTATTGGGGATGACTACCCATCATAATCTCTCTTCTACAAAGGTTCATTGGGAGGGCGCAAAGAGGTGAAGAGATATGAAACAAGTAGATAATGATAAGATCGTCCATCGTAACTCGACCCGTCGTTTAGATTCCGAGCTTGGTGCGTCTCCAATGTCTACGCTTGTTGTTGTATCTGTTGTTATCGAAAGAATGAGTTAGAAGTCAAAGTCCAAGTAATCATGTATCGTGTCGTAGTAACATCGCTGTCTGTCTGTCCTGTGTTGTGTTCATAAAGCGTACCTGATGGTGTTGCCAGTTCTCATTCTGATCCATTGTGGAACTGGTCTGTTTTGCTTCTGCTTCTTGCCGAGCACTTTCTTGATTCTCAAGGTCTTGTGGGAAGGCTAGATTGTTGTGTCGCGATGCAGAATGTTAGTCGCTTGTTCATCTCTACTGTCCTACATGATGCTAGATCGTCGGATTCGTCGCTGTATCGCTAAGTTGCTGTGTAGCTCTGTTGAAGTGGCTGTTGTTGTGTTGCTGTTGCTGTTCGGATGATCACATGATCCATTCATCTGATTGTAGAGCGAGAGCGAGAGGAGATACCAACCATTGTTGATCTTGCGGATGAACCTTTGTGTGTGGATAAACGATGCGACAACATCACCTTTTGGATGTCGTGTTGCCTGTGGAGCGCAAGCACGACCACTCTCTCGCTCGCACATCCTCCAACCAACTCCTAAAAAAAGAAAACTAAATTAAAAATTAAACAAAATCCAAAAAACAAACACGAATCATCAATGGATGGAAGTTCGTTCATTCGTTCATTCGTCAATGTTGGACAAGACGATCGATCAATCATTTAATAAGATATGTCTGTCCTATTCATCGATGACCATGCCATGCATGACTTGCAAGCGTCAACAATGCGTCAATCTCATTGTCAACTCCAGTGCGACACGTGGTCGCGGTGGACTGTCCGCGAGTGATTGAATGGACGGTCATTTGTGATGCAGAACAGAGGGAGTTGTCCACTCTGCTCTACTCAATAGCTATTGAGTCGCGTTTATAACATTGAACTGCTTGACCAGTACTTGATTGACAATCTTATTGCCATCCAGTCCAAATAGAGAGATGAGTGATTTACACTCATTACACAGTTGTTCAAAGAGTGCCTTGTCATCCTCCTGTGTGAGTGCTCGATGTGGACTACTCATGGCCTTTGATGATGGTGATGTGACCTTTGATTGTACCTTGCAACAACCTGCGTCGTCATCCTTATTATTTCCTTTGCAGCATCCATCATCATCATCTTGTTGCTGTGGCTGTTGCTTTTGCTCACTCTTGCAACATGAGTCTCCATTAGCTTCATTGCAGTTGTTGCCATTATTATTGTTGTTGTTGTTTGAGTCTGAGCAGCATGAGCCATTTGATCGTTTGTTGGTAGTCTCCACCTCATCCACATGTGTATAGCCAATGAACTTTGATTTGAGCAAGTCGATTGAAGGTGTTGAACAATGTTGATTCAGTATTGTCTTTAGTCTATTCTCCATATCTTGTAGCTTGGGCGTATGTTCAGTATTGGCAAACTGTTTGTTATGATGATAGAATACATCCATTGAACTTATTAGACCAAGTAGTAACGACCATTTATATGCTATCAGTGTTGCCTCTGTCAATCCCGCATTGAATCCACGTTGCAATGTCTGTTCCTTTCCAATCTCAATACCATCTTGGTAACCAAGCTATGATAGTTCGATTGATTGATTGAATGATTGAATGAATGAGTATAAGATTGAATGAATAATGATATGATTCTTTGATTGATTGATTGATCTGATCATACAGGGAATATATTACTCTGTGATCTTATTGCCTCTCTGTTATTCATTTGTGAAGTATGATCATCATCATCTCCATAAAAGTCATCATCATCGTCCATTGATGTCATTATTATTATTATTATATATGTATGAAGTAGTAACTGTTAGTATTACAACTGGATTGATTGGACTTTTTCGTCTTCTCAAGTCTAGTTTGTTTTGCGAACTTGTTTGGGACATGTTAGGGAGAGTTCTAGGGCAAGGGAAACATGTTTCCCTCAACGCAACAACAACAATAAAGAATGAATACTCGACCAACATACTCATGAAGTCAGTATCCTTCACTATAAGCTTCTAAAAAAGTCGATCGTGGAGTACTGCAGCATTGTGAAGCTATTCTACAGACTCGAGACTCCATCACGGCCTCCAGGAGAGGACAATAACAACAACAACAGCAACAGTAACAGAAACCTCTCATCACAATGGATGTCAAAATGTTCTTGCTTTCGTCGTCTGGAACATGGTTCCAAAGATGATGATATCCTTGGACAACTTTATACTATCAAGTGTAGATGGTCGAGATACCTTTAGGTATGACTTTGATCAAGAGGATGATTTCCAATCAATAGTGTCCTATGAATTTGAAGGAGACCACTCAGAACAAAGGATGGTTCATGTCTTTTCTCAATGGGATGCCAAGACCAACAACAAAATAAGATCCAGGAGTTGTATTCGAATACATTTGTCCTTTGGTAACAAAGTAATAACCAAAGTATAGTACTATAACAATGAATGATCTGGCTTTGACATTAGCTACAACAACCTCCACATCATCAACATCAACATCAACATCAACAACTACAACTAGTGGAGCAGACATTTATTGTTGGGGAGACATAACATTTGTACCCTTATTACCAACTATCTCACTTGATTTACATCATCATGAAGACTTACCTGTTACCTCCATCACACTACCATTCAAAGTACATGACTTGAAGTCTACCTGTGACACTCTTGCCATTCTAAATGGTATGTGTAACATGTTACATTCATTCAATCACTGACTGACATACTACTTCACAGATGATGGTCAGTTGACAATGCATCGAAAGATATCATTGGTGGATAACTCTGTTAACAATGGTATTAGGACAATAACATGGTGCTCAAGGGTGATGTTGATATCAACTGGTTATAATCATTTACATTTCGTTGATGATGTTGGTATTGTATACGCCAAGGGCAGTAATCTTTGTTATCAACTTGGTGTCAACTATGATGTACCATGGCTGGATCATCCTACCAAGGTCACATACTTCCAGGATCGGAACATTAAGATCAAGGCACTCGCTGCAGGTCGCGAACACAGTCTATTCATATCAGATACTGGTCAATGTTATGGATGTGGAGACAACACTTATGGACAGACTGGCCTCGGTCTCGGCTTGTTAGTGGACAATGACGACTGTGACGAAGATGAACAAAGTAGCAATCGACGTACACTTGGTTTGATCACTTTCAATAGCGAGTCTGGTGCCAACACTGTCACTTCATGTTACTGCGGTGACTTCCATTCGATTGTTATCGACTCTGCATTAGGACTGGCATACAGCTTTGGATGGGGACTATACTATCAACTTGGTAATGGTCAAGCGGCCAACCTATACACGCCCGCACCAATCAATATCCAATCACAATCAATCAATGACAATGTTGATGGCAATGGCACAGGCGTCAGTAGTAGACCACGCATTATCAAGGCAGCTTGTGGTACTTGGCATTCATTGTTGTTGGATGATGAAGGCCAGGTGTATAGCTTTGGCTGGGGAGAGTTTGGTCAGTTGGGACAGGGTGACACAGACAGTTGTACAACACCAACTATAATAGAATCATTAATGGATGATATTAAGATCATAGATATATCATGTGGAAGTGCATCATCATTATTATTAGATGATCAACAAAGATTATTATTATGTGGACAACAGTGGAGGCCTCCAAATACATCATCATCGTCTAATAATCCATTTGAACCTTGGCGTAAGATAATGTCACCTGCACCAATCATACTTCCAAAGCATACATCAAGAGTATATTGTAATACATGGACAAGTTATAGTTGGACATGATGATCATGGTCATTGGTTGAAAGTTGTAAAGTAATAAATTGGAGTGGGATTGATGCATTCATTCAATCAATCAAAGTTGCAATTTGAGAGTTAGTGTGAACAACAACAACTTCGCGAGACAGTGAGAGAGATAGACATAGACAGTGAGAGTGAGAGATAGAGAGACAGTGAGAGAGAGGGACCCTTAGAGAGAGGCCAAGCGATAAGAAATAACAACTATCTATAATAGCACAGAGCTGCCTGTGCAAGGTCGCAAGACTTCCCTTAACGATCCAGAAACAGCCATCATCTCAGTCATAGTCATAGTCATCACCAGCTGCAGCTCACTCATTCAATCATGGAGCAAGGCAATCAATTGAATTGGTCAATAGACGATGCAGAGCGACAACAATATATACAGAAAGTGTAAGCAGGTGTTCATGTCATTCATTCATTCAATCAATCAATCAATCAACATCATCTAACGCATTGTTTGATTCATTGATTCATTCATTCAATCAACAGAGCTGTAAAGCTGGGTATATCATATCCTGACAGGACAGAGAAAGAGTTATATGAACGAGCTCAAGGCTTTGAACAGAAGGTGTTTAACAAGCGATATCCAACTGTATGTTTGTTCAATCAATCACTCTATCAATCAACCAGCTCACTTACCTTGTGCTGCTCCGATCATTTGTAGAGAGAACAATATGTCGCAGAGTTGGCTGGTCTATTGTATAAGTTGGAGAACAAGCAACAACAGACACCTGGCCAACAGACTCCTGGTCAGCCAACACCTGGTCAACAACATCGTGATCAGACACCACCGCTTAATACACAGCAGGTGCAGACACAGACACAGCCAATCAATGGACAACACAACATCAAGCAGCAGCAACATATACCAATTGGCAACACTGGTACAGCGACAGCACCCAACAACCAACAAGCAAACTATCTGGCGGCTAATCAGCGCCCAATGGCTGCTCAATCACCGACAAACTCATCATTCACACCTGCATCTCCCGCCAACTTCACGCCGACGCCGACGTCGGGGCCAATGACAATGCCGTCAAATCAAGGCAACGCGCCAATGACGACGCAGACACAGACACAGACACAGACGCAGATCAAGACACCACTCACACAGCAACAGATCACACAAATATTCAATCAGAAGAAGGCGCGTCTCGACTCGATCGAGTCGAACCCACAGTTCAAAGCAGAGGCCGATAAGCTGCGACAGGAGCTGACGAGTCTGCAGCAATACACCGCCAAGATGGCGGCACAGTCGCCCATCACGCAACAGCATCCTGCTGCGGCCAATCGGCCAAGTCTACCGGGCACATCACCAGCCAACATTGTCGGCTCGCCACTACCCGCGCCCCCATCCAATCTCAAGAACCCTCCACAGCCAACGTCGACGCCGGTTGGCAAGTCGGCACCACCCGCTTCACCATTCGCGACACATCCACCGCTGCCGACCAACCCACTGTCTGTTCCAGCTAAGCCAATGGCACAGGGTGGCGCTGGTGCTGGCCCTGGCGGCGCAGGCGGTGTTGGTACAGGAGGCCTGGTAAGTGGTGGGCCGCCACGCCCACCAGTTGCGCCAGAGCTGGAGCAAAAGTATTGGGATCTACTCAAGCGTCTCAAGTCCATGACCAGGATCATCGAGCCTTACATCCCCCAGCAACAGGACAGGAATCGACTCAGCGACACCATGCAGCGCATCAAGCAATCATCACAAGAGACTGGCTCCACATTCAAGATGGAGGAGCTCGAATCCCTCGACAAGACCCTCCATCAGTTCTTTGAGACAAAGGTATGTTTGTTGTCGTATACCCCTTGACTATCGCTCGCTCACTCAATCAATCAATCAATCAATCATTGATCAGATCGCCACTGAGGAGTTCTTCATGAAGAGGATCATCGACACGCTGAAGAACATACCGTATGAGTCATTGATCTTTATTGAAAGGGACTTGCTTTCGACATTGGAGCGTTCAAAGAGGTTCACGCCAGACAACATTGTGAATAGATCAGGTGGCATCTGCTCAAGGACACAGCTGTGGTTCAAGAATCCTATACTCAACAATCCATTCATCGATGCACCATCAAGCGATAACATTACACCAAAGCGCAAGCAACAACAACAACAACAATCACAATCATCAACAACAACGACAAACACAACATCGACTACTGATTCCACTCTGCAAGTGGATGCATCCAAACGACAACGACTGGGCGATGATTCAAACAATGATACAAGCCTATCATATTTGACAAGCTTCATGACTGATCTCATCAAGTTAACAAACAATGACAACACAATGGTACCTGCCAAGCGTATTGACAATGAGGTACGTATCATCCATCGACCTCGCCAGGTCCTCGCCAGGCTCAGTCACTTACTCACTCACTCCCTCAATCAATCTCAATAGACTATTGTCATTTCCGAGCTATTCAGGAGCGACTCAAACAAGAACTTGTACGTCCACTTTCAACCATCGATTATAACACCAGCTTGGAGTGGCTCGCGTCACAATGCTCCCTTGTGTATAAAACAGGTGCCGGCGATACAAATATCGACCGACTCCGAACTCTACTATATCCAGCCGCTCTGTAGATGCTCGTGCAACAGTGCCGTTGACATCATAAATATGTACAAACAAGCATCGTCCCGTGGCGACTGTATAAAGCGCGAGCTCCTGGCGATCGAGCAGCGCAAGCAGTACAGCAGCAAGGTCCGTATGAACGAGCACGACAGCAGTCTCGAGCTGCACTTCACCTTCACCACACATTCCAAACGACCTACCATCACACTGATCGTCATTGTACCCGACGACTATCCAAGCCAACCTGTTAACTTTATGCTTCCACTTGAATATGGTATGTTAAGTTGTGCGATGTGATGGTCATTCATTCCCTCAATCAATCACTAACAAACCAATGGTACACACTCATAGAGCTCTCTCCATTCCTGACAGACATTATGAAGACTATGTACAAAGAGTGGCACAACATGGTATACAATATGCACGCCAACAATGTGGCGATGGACGGTAGCACCAAGTACAATGGAAACATCGTCGAAACACTTGATCTGTTTGATCAAGTCATTGAGAGGATAGTCAATAAACAATGATCATCATGTTCAACTATGGTAGTTCACGAGTCGACTAATTGTTTGATTGGAATGATTCCAGGTTTGCCCCACACTGTCCCATCACTTTTGAGAATGAAGTCGACCAAACAAAGATGCATCAATCAGGTGACTTATTGATCAATCAAATACAAGTATTAGAATGTTGAGATACAGTAGGAGTAGCAGCAAGTTGATACAACACTTGGTAACAGCATCAAATGGATACAGACGACCAACACTAGTGAGTGGAGGTGTTCGTCCTCTCGACTCTATCTTCCTCTTCAGTGCATTGTCAACATCAACATCATTATCAATGATGACACCTACATTCATGCGACACTATTCATCACAGACGCCCAATGACAACCCTATCTCAACGACTACGAATACGACTACAACTACAACAACAACCTCAGAGATACCAACGACAACATCAAATGACATTGGTCGGTACGAGGTTGACTTGAATACACCTTACAATCATTCACAAACGATTGATATGGGACAGTTGACAAGTGGACTGCCTCAAGACCCTTCACTCATCGAGATCACTGGCCTGCCGACATTCATCGAGGTCTGCCTGCATCATTTGCACTCTGCAACGGGCTTATCATGGCTCATCATTGTGCCCACCTTCACATTGTTGGTGCGTGCTGCACTGTTTCCATTTGCCATCAAGCATCGTAACAATGCCCAGAGGCTAATGGAGATCAGACCTCAACTCGACAAGTTCAAACAGATCGCAGCGGATAATAGAGCGAGAGGTGTGTCCAACTATGAGAACTCAGACAACATCACCAAGTTGCTCAAGGAGAAGAAGTGCCATCCTGCACTCACATACCTTCTGCCCTTGGTCAACCTACCCTTCTTCGTATCCAGTTATATGGCGATGCGTGAGATGGCCGAGACATTCCCATCACTTACAACTGGTGGCGCACTATGGTTCACTGATCTGAGCGCAGCTGACCCGACATACATCCTGCCCGTCATATCCAGCGCATTCTACTTGCTAATCAATCAAATGTCTCTTGCACGAACAGACATACTCTTCTTCAAGATCATCAGTTGGTTCGCCAGGATCATGGCTGTCATGATCATCCCTCTCAGTTACACAATCCCATCAGTAAGTTGGTTTGTTGGTCATGGTGATGTCCTCGCATACTGACTCAATCGCCCACTCATTCAATCAATCTAGGTCGTGTACTTCTATTGGATACCCTCATGTATATTCTCCATCTTCCAGTTGTACGCATTCCGTTCAAAGGCCATATGTGATGCGCTTGGAATGAAGGCTGTGAATGATGGCCAACCCCTCCTTTCATTGCCATCATTCCTCGGTGGTAACAAGGATACAACAGCCTCGGCTCAGGACGCACCTGCCCCACCCAACACCATAACCAGTACGGTCAACAACACTACAGCACCAAAGGGTAGCAATAGCAGCAACATTACCAACCCGCCAAAGAGGAGGAACARGGATATAAACTGGAAGGGGAGAGGCATCGATGCCTTGTTTGGTTACAGTTTATTCTTCTTGTTGGATATGTGTATCGTTCGGAAGAAGGCCCGAGGAGGCGAGGGCTCGGGGGAGGACTGGGGTGAGGAGCTTGGTGAGGAGCTGGGCGAGCTGGAGATCGACACGGACGTCGACCCTTCATCCTCTTCAAAGTCGAATTCGTTGTAGCCAGTGTCGATGCTGTTTGAATGGTTCGAACTGATTGAGTTGCGATTGGTGAAATTGCCGTTATTTACATTGTTGTTGTTGATGTTGATGTGATGATTGTTGTGTAGTTGCTGTTGTTGTTGTTGTTGTTGTTGTTTTTTT